AGAGAGGCCAGATTGGTGGACTTATGATAAAATAATATCTTTTAATTTTGGTGATCCTACTATCAAGTCTAAGGAAGAGTTAGAATCAGAAGGACATGTCTGCCATTGGTTTATTTATTTACAATTGAAAGAAAGATTTAAATTATATAAAAAGAGTCAAGGATTTGACTTTGTTAAAAATGAATTGGAAATCTTACTGTGTGGTAGTGATGAACATTTTATTGCTAAGGTCAATAAAATGTTACTGAAATTGAATTTGGAAAGTGAACATGTAAAGCAGTGTTTCTCAACCTTGACAATTTTAAGGCAATGCTGGCTGTGGAATTCTGGGAGTGGAAGTCCACATGCCTTAAAATTGTCAAGGTTGAGAAACACTGATGTAAAGCATTGTATGATTCAATGGGCAAGGAATTTTGGATATAATGTTCTGCTTTAACAATGAGAGAATATGTGGACAAAAGGTTTAAAATTTATATCAAATTACAATTTAAAAGAAAATTTCTATAAGATAATGTAATGCTGCTATTTAACACCAGGCAAGTTATCCAAAATGTATAAAGGTATTTCAGTTGAAAGTTGGAAATGTAAATGTAGAAAGATCTTTTATCATTTATGGTGGACATGTGTAAAAACAAAGAAATATTGGAATAGGATTCATATTCTAATACAGAAAACTCTTAAAGTGAATATAAAGATAAAACCAGAAATTTTCTTTTGAGTATAATGGAAAAAAACTTGGGGGGAAAATTTGGAACTTTGATGTTATATATGTGGACGGTAGCAAGACTACTTTATGCACAAAAATGGAAGGACATTTTGATCGCCACAATGGACGAATGACTGCAAAAGTTGATGGCATTAGCAGAGATGGCTAAAATGACTGCTTTGATCAAAGAAAAAAACATAAGTACTTTTATTTCTACTTGGAAACCGCTTCTGGACTTTGTGCTTGAAGTGGAAAAATATAAAACTTTGATTTGGGGTTTTAGTGATTAGATAGATTGGTTGTTATAGAAATAGCTGGTTTATACTATTATATAAAAGTAAAAAGTTGTGGTTTGATGTTGCTGTTTTATTCTACTGCACCAGAGGGAGTGGGAAGTCAACACCTTTTTTTCTTTTCTCCACTTCTTCTTTCCCCTTTTCCTCCCTTTTTTCCTCCTATTTGCTTTCATAGTTTTGTATTTTATATTATAAACTAATTAAACTCTCCAAATACATTCTTCCTAGTTCTTGTGAGGTGCAGCCCATCCCCTGCCAGAAGCCCTTTGTGTAGGTAGTGTGGAGTGTGGTCTAGGAATCTGAAGTTATCACGGCGGCACCAATCCTTAAGCCCACGGGTGTCAAACTCGCCACATCATGTGACGTGTCGAGACGTATCGCGACTCTTTTTGCATTGCCAGCAATGGGGTGGATGCAGCTTCAATATGATGGAACCAGCCTGTAGGCCGGCAGTTTGACACCCCTGCTTAAGCCAGTGGTTCATTTCAAAAACGCTTTGCTCATTCATTGAATGTTACCTTTTTTTGCAAGAACAGATGAAAACAGCACTTGTGCTCCTAACTCCTTAACTTTCTTGCCAGTCTCCAACACTGGCCCAGGAAATGGTGCTTCCCGGCGGCCACTGTTGTGGATTGTCTAATTTTTTAATCACAGTTCAGACAATTCTGGGGGGAAATCAGGCAACTGCTTTCTGTTTTGTTTTGAAATATTTGGCATACACTTAAAGGAAGAGAAATTACTTATTTCAGCATGTGGTAGAAAGCCTGCTTGCCTGTATAGGAAGAGTGTTGGGATGGGAACAAACTTCTAATATTAGTTGGTTCAGTTGGGAGAGAGGGAGGGAGGGAGGAAAGAGAGAGAGAGAGAGAGAGAGAGAGAGAGAGAGAGAGAGAGAGAGAGAGAGAGAGAGACTGTTTATCATTAATGGCCTTATGATGAGCTGAAGGAACTGTTGCAGAGGAGAAGGTTGGCCAACGTCTTGGCTTTGGAAGTGATGGTAACGGGTGATGATAAGGCAACTGGGACACTCTCTCAGTCAAATCCCTAAAGAAGCCTTTATCAGGGTCTTGGTAGTAGACTCTATACAAAAGAAATCCATTCTGGTGCTTTTGCTTTGTTTTGCTTTGCTTGTTTGTACAATCGATCCAGCCATCCATCTCACAGCAATGACTCTGGGCAGTGTACAAGTTAAAAGCAACAATTAGAGCAACCGTCCAAACAATATGTCAAAGCAAGAATATTCAATATTCAATAATGTTTCATTAGCCGGAGCCATAACACAATAAGTGTATGAGGTCGCCAAAAACAAATTCCAACTTCCAATGCAAACAACATCAGCTGGCAGAACTCACCCTGCCTCCCAGCCCTCGTGCCTGGTGGGGGGGGGGACGGGACAGCCAATTTTTCTTGCCTTGCATCTGGATCTCCAGCTTGGCCATACAGGCAGAACGAAAAGGATGAAGTCACAACACATGAAAGGAGAGTGAGTGAGCCAAGAGGAAGAGAAGTTACGGTCATTTGGAGTTCAGATCCTGAAGCAGAGAGATGCAAAAGTTTTAAAGAACATGGTGCAAAGCAACGCATAGACACGGTGAACAGAGGGAGAGTTTGCAAGAACAGACAATCATAGAGATGAATAGAAGAGAGTAGACACACAAGGAATTCATCTCTGGGGCAGAAGCTGTGAGGAGAGCGCCCCGCTGCCTGCCAAAACCCCTCCCCCGGAGTCCATCAAGTCTGATATGTGAAGTAGGTGAGGGCCATTTGCTGACCACTTCCAGGCAATGGTGCATTTCTTCATTCCTCACAAAGGGTGACACCTCCCAAACGGGGCAAGGCCAACACGGCAGGGGGCTGGTTCCTTGCTGTTTCCAGATGGCCTTGTGGAGCTAAGACTGAATGCGTTTCAGCATAGATGGCCACCACAAAATTGTACATTGGCTCCCGGCCGGCCTGGGCCAAGGTCAAGGTAGCGGGGGCCGTTCCCTCACTGTTTCCAGAATGGCTTCACGGGCCGCATGAAACCACTTCGTGGGCCGCATCCAGGCCCCGGGCCTTGTGTTTGACATGTCTGCTTTAGGCTCTCTCTAGTAAGTCAAAAGGCCCCATTTTTTAAACCTAGCTCTAGCTTTCTTTTTCTGCCAACCAGGTTTCCATACCAGTGCCTTTAAGTTATCAGATAGTTCTCCCTTCATTCTGGCACATGTTACTTGAATCAAAGGAGACCATCTAATCATCAATTTTCCAAAAGAACTAATCCATTTGTAATCATTAATTTGTTGCCCTGGTAGTTCAAGTCTCAGTGTTTGCTCTGGTGTCTTTATCTTCAGTTCGGTCTGGTCTTTCTCCTCAGGTTTCTTTTGGTTTAAGTAAAAGGTCATATCCAATTTTATAGTTATTGTTTGGTTATCTAGGTTTTCAATATAGTGATCTTTAGCATCCTCTGTTTTGGTATTAGTTTCTTCCGTTTCTGTTACTTTTTGGATTGTGGGTTCTTTAGTTACAAACAGGATTTGGTTGTCAGAGTGTTCAATATATTGTTGTTGTTCCTTAAAGTCCTCTGTCTTAGTGTTGCTTTCTTCCATTTCTGTTGTTTTCTGAGTTGTAAGTTCTTTAGTTGGAATCTGGGTTTCAGTTTGTAGGTTCAAGCTAGCACCTTCATCTTTCAGTCTGGATTTAATTATCTCAGTAGCTTCAAGAATTTTTTCAAGTATAAGTTTATAGTCAAGCGAAGTTTGTTGATGGTCCCCCTCCATTTCTAAAATAGTTATAGATAGTCCTTTAGTGGAGGCTAATTTTTAAGCAAGAGTCAATAAATGTTCACCTCCACAGTTCTTAAAAGCCAATTTCACCTCCCAGCTGTTTCAGCTTTTTATCTTTAGATAATACCAAGGACAGATCTAGGTTGTAAACAGGTCTCTTTTAGCAGGGATATTCACTTGCTGTACCAGGTTGCACCACAAGATGTCCACGATAGCATTTGAAATCCTTTTCAGAGGGGCTAAACTTTTATCCAATTTAGGTTCGTTTTCTCTCTATTTTTCCGCAAGTAGATAAGATAGCTGAAAGTAGGAATTTTTTGGGTCGTCAAATATAAGAAACATGTAAGTCCAATTAATTATATTTTTCAGGGCTTCATTTCCCCTACGTAATCAAATGCCGCCATTTTAGAGGGTGGGAGAAAAACGTTCCTTTCCCTCTCTCCTCACAGGGGGAAGCAGTTTCAAAAAGCTTTTTACAGGAAAAAATACTTGGGGTAGAAAGAAGGTAAGATCTTACCCAGTTCCTCCACAGTGCTTTCAAGTGCTTAGTTGTAAATTTGGCCTCGGCTGGAAACAGCATTAATGATGGGCCACGTTAAATGGCTGATCTTTTCTCTGTCAGTTAGAAGAGCTGCTCTAGATCATCCAGAAGGGCTGCCACCCCTCCGCAATCAGTCGGAGGTCCTCTTCACGCTCGTTGCCCCTCCAGGGCGACTTTCGACCCTTTTCAGGGTCCCCCGATGGGAGAAAACCGAACGGCAAAGGGAGCGATCGCTTCGCACATCTGCCGGCGCGGCGATCACAAACCAGAAGCCCCCTATCTCCCCTGTTTTAAGTGTCTGTCTCTTTTCGTAATTTATTGTTTTCCTCTTAGATCATTAAGAATTCAAAAATGTATAAAAATTTAAAATATGTAAACTGTTTTTTCAAATGTTTCGTTGAAAAAAGAAACTGAAAAATTAAAAAAAATTCTATAAAAAAGCTGAAAAAAGAATTTTGAAATTGAAAAAGATTTAAAAATTGAAAGGGCAGGGGTGCATAAGTGTGTGTGAGGTGGAGAATAGCTCCAGTTTTCATAGACACAAAGAACTGTAATGGACAGCAGAGGTTGCACAGTATGGCGGGCATTTTGTGAGTGCTCCCTTGACATTTCCTGAAATTCCAGATGTGTGGGAATTCTGCTCTCTTCCCATTCAACACATTCAGAAAAGTGGTGGGTGGGGTTCCTCTTTTAAGGGAGGGGGCCTCCGAGTGTTCCAGGGAAGAGGGCTGCCCATCAGGTGGGGCTTCCGTCATTGTGGTCTGCCTCTTCCCTGCAGGGCGACATCCAGCAGCTGCTCATCGTCTCAGATCATCAAGCCGCCTATGACTACTGTGAACACTACAGCCCAGACTGCGACACAGCGGTGCCGGATGTGCCTCATTCGCAGGACCCAAACCCTGATGAATACGTGAGTGGGGAAGGGGCTGGGGGCCTGAGCAGCAGCCGGGGGGTCTCTCCCTGTCACCCACGGGCAAGGGCTGGGTTGGGCAGGGCAGAGTTCCCCAGGCCCCTTTAGAAAGGGGGGGCAGAGCCAAAAGGCACACAGCGGAGGTGTGCAGAGAGGACCCTAATATGCCTCTGGTGGAGAAACACCCATGCAGAGACAGAGGGTTAGAAAGGGAGACAGAAAAGGGTCAGTCTCTGTTGTGTGTTTAACACAATCTTGTTTAAATATGCATGGATTGTGTCCCTTAAAGGAGTTTTAAAAAAAATATTTTTTAAAGCATACCGATGATAACATTATGAACCAGGAATGCAGTTCACCAATAAATGAAAAAAAAAATCATGCAAGATATTGTCCAAGCCGAGCTTCCCAAAGACACTTACGCCCTTCTACAAAAGAACTGAAGACTTGGAGTGGTGAGGCATTCACAGATAACATGAGCGGATAAAAGACCTTTGCCCCGTGGAAAAGCACCCGCCTAATGTGACCTTTGATCGCTCTTGATATATACAAGACAGGCTAGTTAATGTCCAGGTGTAGAATGAAAGCAGCATCATGCAAGCTGATCCAGCATCACTTGGAACTTCCGTGGAGAAGTTTGGTTGCACCCCTCCCTTTGAAAACCTACACAGTGATCCTGGCTGTAATGTGCAGTGGTCATTTCAAGTGTGCATCTTTAAGCAAGGATGGGAATGGCTCTCTTGTAAAGCAAGACGGGGTCTCATCTTACTCACCACGCCACTCACCAAGTTGCTTTGGTGGTTTTGCTCTAAGTGGTAATTCTGAGTGACCCCATCCCAATCCCAACTCTACTGTGGACGTTTCTTGCATTCTAACGGGCAACAGTCGTGATGGTCATCATCACTGCTGCTGTCTTTATGAGTAAGGCCCTGCCTTGAACATTGTGTAACTTTCCCTTGGACTTCAAAGAAGCCACCCAGAGCCTCCAGCTCCGAAGTCTACCAGCTGGGTGAGCCTCTTTGCCTACATTCGCACATGCAGCAGAAGAAAAGAGAAATAGTTGGGTCCCCTTTTGATTATTGTTTTCGTCTGCATTCAAAACCAAAGAGCCCTGATTGGGATGCTGAGATGGACCTTGGAGATAGTTTGGGAGGAGAAAAACCCAGAAGAGCAAAACTGACAGAGAAGTGCTGGGCACCCTGTGCGAGCGATGACTTTGGATTCACAGGGGTTCCATGAATAACTATTACAATGAAAGTTACATTTTTGTTGGATTTGGGCTAAGACCAGCAACTCTTGATAGACCCGTCCCCTGTGGGGGTAACCGGTTCCCCTCCACCGCAGCCAAGCCAGCGGCCTTCCTTCTCCGGGTCCTGTGGGCAAATCCCACAATATAATGATGTCCTGTAAGGGTGCCTGTTGTCGTTTCAACCACTTTCTTTGTTTCACAGTACCCAGACGGGGCCGGGAACTTGGAAGTTGAAGGAGAAACTTACTATTATGAATACCCCTACTATGAGGACCTCGATGACACAGGGAAAGCCACCCCGACCACTGTCCAACCTGTGGAAACTGATGGAGCAGCCAGGGAAGTGACTGAAACCACTGAGGTAAAGGACAGTGGGAGAGTGGGACCGTCTGCCAGAGTGAAGTGGACCAGTGGGTCTGTGTGGGTTGAGTGGAAAGGAAGGTGGGATGGAGCCTCTAACAAATTCCAGGAACCATGGAGGATTAAGCAGGAAAAGAGTCCAAGAAGGAAGGAAGCCTGAGAAAGAGACTCAAAGTAATTCTAGTTTAATTATGCTAGATGTAGGTTGAGCTGCAAATTGTTTGCCAGGCTTTCCAGACCCCATTCCCTTACCCTGCTAGCCATCAGGTCCACCGTGCTCCCGTTTCCTGCATTTGCTTGCCTCAAAGGGTTCAGTGGAAAGGCGACACAGGCTGACCCAGGGCCTCCTTCTGGGGACCAAGCGAGGTGCTTTGTTCTTGTCCAGGAAGAGCCCCAATTGGGTTGGCAAGTGGGTCATCTCTGTTAACTTCCAGTTTCCTTATGGGCATGGATTTTATTCTACAAACCTGGGGGGGGGGGATGGCTGTTAAATAATTCCATTTAAAAGTCTTTCTTCCAAGTAGTTCAAGACACCGTGGGTAGCCCTTGACCTGGGGAGTGTAGATGCTTTGGAAAAAAAGAAACTGTATTTGATATCGCTTCGGACGAAGTGAGCTGCAGCTCACAAAAGCTTATGCCTTTTAATGAATGTGCTAATTGGAAAAGGTGCTGTAGACGCCTTAGTTTTTGGCTTCTGCGGATTAACACGGCTCTTCTCTGCTGTTCCCTTCAGCCTCCGAACATAGATAGATGTCCCGCCAAGGGGGAAGCCTTGTCCTCTGAGTCCGATCTTCCATCTCCTAGGAGGGAAGGCTTGAGTTAAGGAGGAAGCCAAGAAGGAAGGAGGAAGATCCAAAGCAGATTAATATTTTTCCAGAGATCTGAAATGTTGCTGTAGTGAGCAGAAGGAATGCCTGTTCTATCCCAGCCTATTGTCGTCCTTGTTAACTTCACAAGGACAAAACCCCTGCTATTACAATAGGCTGGAGACTTGCAAACAAAAACAAAAACCTCTTTTAATTTTGTTGACAAACCTGTCAAATACAGCAAACTCAAGTCCAAAAGAACACAATGAAAAGCAGACGCGAAGTCATAAGAGAAGTCACAGACCAAGACTCCAAGACGCAGTTTTCAAACAGTTGCCTTCAGCAACCAGCACCACCCACACCTCCTCTCTTTATTTAGCAGACCTAAGGCGGTGTCTCTCCTTGCCGTTTCTTCTTACTTTGGAGGTGCCTCATTGACCTCTGTTGACTTACTCTTGCTAATTGACGCCGTCTGCGTGCGTCAATTAGCAAGTCCATCTGTTGTGATTCTTCCAATCTGACTCATGCTCCTCACACAGCTGAGCTTCATCAGAAACACGACTGGAGGGCCCAGGCTCTGCATCAAACTGTGAGTCCTGTACTTCAGAGCCTCCCTCTGCCTCTGATGGCCCTTCAAATGCCTCCTCCACCTCCTCCTCAGATTCCTCCGACTCAGCTGTGGGGAGCACAGGCTGGCACGGAATCACAACACTACCTTTGAGAAACAGGAGAAAGAGCTGTGACCAAGACATTAGTCAGATAAAAGAAAGCTGAGTCCGGGGCTGAGCCATAATCTGAAAACCATCCAGGCAAGGTCCTCCCTTGGGAGGGAAGGGGGAAGCGCCTCCAGACTTGCAAGGTTGATGTCGTTGCTTCAAGGTAGACCAGACGAGGAAACCAAGTCATGAATGCTAGTCTTATTCTGAGATTACAGTAACGAATCTTAACGTCTGAAGGTGTTTCTCTCCTGGATTGCTCTACTCCACTGGGTCACTCTGTGGGGGCTTTGGATGCAAACAGGGAAGCTCCAGCCACGTGTGTCTTTGTGTCAATGGGAATTCTGTTTGTGCAGCACAGAACGCTGTGGGGATGATAGTCCCCGCCTGTCTGCGCCTCTAGGCTTCCTGGGCAGAGTTTGTGACAGCCCACCTGCCTCTTGTCTCCTTTTTCAAGCAGAGCCCCACCCCTCCGCCCACCCCCCCACCGGTGGTGGAGAAGACCCAGGAGGAGATTCCCAAGGAAGAGGATGAACTGCTGTTGGAGGAATACAACTACGGGCCCATTACGGACGAGTACTACACGCCAATCCCTTACGAAGACCTCAACTATGAAGACCTGGACAATTTCGATAAGCTCCCAGAAGAGGGCATTGAGGCAGAAGTTCCCACCAGCACGGTCATCACCTACAATGAAACGGATGTAAGTTGTTCTGCTTCTTCTACGGGATATATTCGGGTCAAGCGAATGAAACAAACAGGTGGAGCAGTTTTAAAGGGCTTTGAGCAAAAATGAGACCTGAGTTCTAGTCTCTCCAGGCACAGAAATAGATTGGCCATGGGCCAGCCTTCCTCAGTCCTAGGAAAAGGGCAGTGACAGACCCCTCTTGATGCCTTGTAAGGTTTGTCCGTAGAGTCCGCAGCAGTCTAGACCAGTGGTTCTCAACCTTTCTAATGCCGCGACCCCATAATACAGTTCCCCGTGTTGTCGTGACCCCCAACCACTTATACATCACCGGGTGCCAGGGGCGTGGCCAAAGAAAAGGGGGAAAAAATGGCGGACAGCCTTGTTTGGCGACCCCCATGAAATGGCCGTTCGACCCCAAATGGGGTCCCGACCCACAGGTTGAGAACCACTGGTCTAGACTGACTCAAAGGAAAACACGCAAAGTGTCATGGAACATCATAAGCAAATGATCAGCTTCTGAGCTTGACTGGGATTCTTTCCTAGCGCGCCACCCAAGTCTTGGTTTGTTGAATGGTTAGGGTCCCATAGCATGCTCTGCAAGCCACACCTAATATGAAAAGCTTTAATCGTCTTAGTATAGCATGGAGTGACATTTTATGTTGCCCGCAACATGCGAAACAGGCTGTGAAACAAAGCCCAACCTGACCCCATTAGGACGTAACCCAATCTGGGCTTTCTCAAGCCAAATAGGTACAGTCAATGTGGGTGGGATGCAAAAAAAAAAAGCAACCTACATTCCAGCCTGTAGTTCACTCACAAATTAAAAATGTGTTTCCTGTGGTTCCTGGAATAAGCCACAATTGGGTGAGCTTGCCAGTGTGCAGGGCCCCCACTGGATTAAGTCACAGGACGGTTCCAGGCTGTTGGTGGGCTCTGCCTGGTGGCCTTCAGGGGGAGGCCCAAGACGTTGTTCAGGCACAGGTGTTTGGCAGAGAAATGGCTACAGCAGCCGAGGCCGAGGCTCTGGGAATCCAGCTGTTCTCCCTGCCTTGCAAAGGGATCTGTTAGCAAAGAAGAGTCCCCCCCCCCAGAGGAAGTCTGAGACCAGCCCAGGGAGCTCTCTGCCCATCAAGGCAGAATTCGCAGGGCCTCCTGGAAAGGGGATCTTTCTGAGCACACAGGAGAGACCCCCCCTGGGCCGGACAGAAGGCAGACAGGCGCTCCGGGTTATGAGAGTGGCTAGTTTAAATGGCTTGAAAAGAGTTGAACTATTTCTCTTCAATCTGAAGCCCTTCGGGTATCTTGGATGTCAACTGCCAGTGACCAGGCTGGCCGGCATTTTATGAGAATTGTCTTTTGACCTATTGACATATTTTGAAGTTCTGTCAAAGATTGCTCACTTGTGCAGTGAAAGATTGCTTAAAAATGAACCTGGTCATTGCAGGCTTCTCAGCTCTGGTTAGTATAAAAGAAACGAGCCCAGATATTTTATAATGGAGTTCCCTTTTACTTCTGTTCCCCTTCTGTCTTTCTCCTTAGAGGAGGAGAAGTCAGTGAATAACAACACTGAGAAAATGTTCAACACTTGAAAGGGTTATTATTTATCAGGTAATAAATATAAGGTATATTATATTATACCATATATCAGTGGTTCTCAACCTTTTCTTCATCACGTACCCCTTTAAATAACTTTTGTAGCCATGGACCATGGCCATGGACCCCCAAATTAACTCAAGGTTTAGATCCTAACATTTCTGCAAGCCTTTGTGGACCCCTTGTGATGACATCACGGCTCCCCAGGGGTCCGCAGACCACAAGCTGAGAACCATTGTCTTACATTATTACCTTATATACTGGAGATATTACATATATAATTAAATATAAAGATTTTCACTAGAAGATTGGACAGCCATTTTTGGGCAAGGGATTGGACTAAAAGACCTCCAAGGTCTCTTCCAGCCCTAGGATTCTATTCTATTCTATTCTATTCTATTCTATTCTATTCTATTCTATTCTATTCCTTATTCTATTCTATTCCCTAGTCCCTAGTCTCTATTCTATTCTATTCTATTCTATTCTATTCTATTCTATTCTATTCTATTCTATTCTATTCTATTCTATTCCCTAGTCCCTAGTCCCTAGTCCCTAGTCTCTATTCTATTCTATTCTATTCTATTCTATTCTATTCTATTCTATTCTATTCTATTCTATTCTATTCTATTCTATTCTATTCTATTCTATTCCAAAGTCCCTAGTCCCTATTCTATTCTATTCTATTCTATTCTATTCTATTCTATTCTATTCTATTCTATTCTATTCTATTCTATTCTATTCTATCCTATCCTATCCTATCCTATCCCATTCCATCTCTTCATTCCATCCCATCCCATCCTTGTTTTTTTGGTATGGCACCCAATGTGCCGATAACCCCTGGGACTTCCACAGCCAGTTTATGCCATAATATTTCAGCTTCATTTTTCAGATCTTTATACTTTGTGATCTTCTCCGATTCTTTGCCTTCTGTTCTACTCTCCCTGGTACTGTCACTTCAATTATCCACACTTTCTTCTTTTCAACCCGTGTTAAGTCTGGTGTGTTATCAGCCAAGATTTTATCTGTTTGGAAATCCCACAACATTTTAACCTGCTCATTTTCAACTACTATATGTTCCCTTCAATTTTTCATTAGTGGCATTGATAATTTTTACAAATGTTTCAGTGAATCATTTTGTTATGTTGTTGTTTATAATCAGTTTGTGCAATTTTCTTCTATTGTTTCTTCTGCTTCTTTGCACTTTGAATCATTTGATGATTTTTGGTTCTGACCTTGAGTGCATTAGTTACCCTGTGATAAAATGGGCAGCCAATAAAATTAAGAAAGAAAGTAAATTAGTTTGAATAGGTTGCTTTTGAGCAGCCAAAATCAAATCTTCACTTTCTTTTTTTAATGTTCCAGTTGTAAGCCATTGCCAGAGTTTAATCTTTACTTATTACTACTACTACTATTATTATGATAATGATGATGATGATTAATCACACAGTCAGCCAGATATTCAGACTGGATTTGGCATTTTTGTTTACCTATCGAGTCCTTCCCAAGGACCTGGGATAGGCAGATCTGGATGTTTGATGGTGCTACAGATCTCATCACAGTTGTTCCAGTAAAACTGCCTTTTGCAACTGACGGGGAATTTTTCAAGGCCAAGGGTGCCCAAGTTGTGCTCCAGTTGTTTTGGGATTGCACCCAAAACTGTTGATAGTTGGTAGTTACTGTTGGTACTATCCTTGTTTGTCTTTGCCACAGTCGTTCTATTTCTATTTGTAGGTCTTGTATTCTGTTATCTTTTCCAGTTTTTTCTTTTCTCTTCTGCTGTCTCCAGGCACTGCCACGTCCACTGTCCAGATTTTTTTTGTGTTTCTTATCAACAATTGTTAAGTCCGGGGTGTTATGCGGAAGGTCCCTGTTTGAATTCTAAAGTCCCAGAGCAATTTAACTTCTTCATTTTCTATGACTTTCTCTATTTTATGGTCCCACCAATTCTTGCTTAGGCAAATAATATTTCTTGCAGATCTTCCAATGCACCATTGTTGCTACTTTATCATGCCGCTGCTTGTACTTGTAGTCAGTCAGGGCGATCTTCTTGAAGCAGCTTACCAGGTGGTCCGCTATTTCTTCAGCTTCTTTGCAGAGGTAGCACTTACTGTCTGTTGCTATCTTCTCAATTCTGGCTTTGTATGCACTGGTCTTATGCAGCCAAAATTAGTCCCTCGGTCTCTTTCTTCAACTTTCCTGCTCTTAGCCATTGCCTGGTCTTGTTATTATCTGCTTCCCCTGCTATTTTTTTTTTTTAATGTACTGGCCATGTAGTGCTTCGTCTTCGCATGCTTCCGTTCTGTTCTGCATTTGGTCTTTCTTGTAGGCCAGTTTGGTCTCTCCAGTAGTCAGTAAACTTTCCTGACATACTAACTTCAGTGCATCTTCATCATTGTCCTTCAGATATTCTTCCAAAGCCCATTTTTCTTCTTCAACTATGTGATGTACTTGCAACATTCCATGCTCACCTATTTGCCTTGATAGGTAGAGTCCCTCAATGTCACTGCGAGGACGAAGGGCATGATTCATTGTCATTATTTTTATGGTCTTCCTATCCATTGCTTTTAGTTCTGCTTGAGTCCAATCCACTATTCCAGCTGTGTACTTAATGACTGGAATTGTCCAGGTGTTGATTGCCTTGGTGGTATTTCCTCCATTGAGTTTGGACTTTAAGATCTTTTTCACTCTCTTGATATATTCACCGCTAATCTTTTTCTTGACTTCAGTGTGCTTGATGTTGTCAGCTTGAAGGATACCCCGGTATTTGTAGTAATCATCCTCATACAGACTATTAATGTTATTTTTGTGGGCATTTTGATTCCTTCAGTTTTCACTATTTTTTCTTGTTTGATTGTGAGTGTGGCACATTTGTCCTGTCCAAACTCCATTGCAATATCTTGGCTATATATATGGACAGTGTTGAGCAGCGATTTTATTTCAGATGGAGTTTTTCCTTGCAGCTTCAGATCATCCATATGAAGCAGGGGTGTCAAACTTGCAATGTCATGTGATGTGTCGTGACGTATCGTGACTTTTTTTCCATTGCTGGCAATGGGGTGGGTGCTGTTTCGCTATGATACATCCGGCCCATGAGCCGGCAGTATGACACCCCTGATATAAAGGAAATGGGATAGCCTGGTAGATGTTTTTGATGTTTGATAGCCATGGCCTGAGTTATTCAATATTGTTGACAGAAGAAATAGTGCAATAACAACTAGAAGTGATAGTGAATCTCCTTGATTCACTCTTGTTTGTAACCTCTCCCAGTCTCTCACCATTGACCTGTAACTATCTTCCATCGTGCCATCGATCTTTGCACAAAGTTTCTGATGTTTCTACTAACTCCTGTTATTTCTAGGCACTTGATCATCCAGTCATGTGGCAGAGAATCAAATGCCTTTTTGTAGTCAATCCATGCTACATTTGGGTTGGTCTTCCTTCTCTTGCAGTTTTCCAAAATCATTTTGTCAATTAGGAGTTGATCTTTTGTTCCTTTGCTATTAGGGTGGTTTCCTTTCTGCTCAGGTGGAAAGAGATGGTTTTCAACTAGATGTTGTTGGACTGCATCAGCTACCACACCAGTTAGCAATCTGAAAGTTGTTAGTAAGCAAGTAATTGGCCTGCATTTCCTGGTGCTGCCCCTTTTGCTGTATCTTTTATTATCAGGTAAGTTTTCCCAGATGTTAGTCACTCAAGTGCTTCCTTGATCTTCCTTGTTTCTAAGTGGTATTTCTTGATTAGGTATTCTTTGGTTTTCGTGTTCTTCAGCTTCTTTTCTCTCATCTGTTCTAGCTTGCTTGCATCTGATCTCAACTTGCTGATCTTATTTTCCAGTCTAATCTTCCATTTTTGTGGTGCACTTTTTTGGCTTTTTTTCTTCTTTGTTGATTTTGCATCCCGGGTATTCAGTTATCACCGAAGCTGTGCTGTACATTAGTTGGTTTGTTTCTTGCAGTGAGTTGGTGCTTATACTTGATATTACAGTATTGCATCTTTTAGTGCTTGTGCTAGTTGTTTCTTGGAGCAAGCTTCAATGCAGGCAGCCTAATTCTGATGTTTTTGTGCTGTTCTAAGTGCCCAGTTATTCTTTGTTTCAGTTCTTTTATTTATTTAGTCAGAGGGCCTTGTTATTTCTGAGGCAGAGGAGATGATGCCTGGTTTCCAAATGAAAACAGTTGTATTTCTCTGCTGGATTCTTCTACTGCCAACTCCCCTTGTTTTGCCTCTACATTCTGAGTTACTTTGATTTCTTTGCCCTAGGTAAACCTTTGCAGTTCTTCCAATTGTGCTTCTGTGAATACTTTATTTCGTACTATAAATTGATGTTGATCTGCTAGCCTCTGTTCTGTATTTTCTGATTCTGGATGTTGTTCTTTCCAGAACTGGTGCATTCATTTCAAATATCTTCTTGTTGGACTTGATCTGCAATTTGAGATTATTATTTCTTTGTTTTCAGTCACTGTGTATTTGTGACAGGTAAACACCTTTTCTTCCAGTAATTCTGCAGCTGCTGGCCCTGACTGCTTATCTAACAGTCCTGAGTCCTGTGGCCCATTTTGCACCAGATATCCAGGAATTCCAACATCTAGCATTTACCCAGGCGACATCCAAGCTGTTCTGGCTTTCTGAAATTTACGTCTCACTGTATTTTTTATGGGAGAGACACTCTTTGTCTGACTCCTTTGATGAGACCTGTCCAGCATGGTTGAACCTCTGGTATAGCTCTCATCAAGCCCCACAACCATGTCAAGATAGTTTCTCACTGGGGGATTGTTACTACTACTATTACTATTATGATTGTGATTATGGTTATTATTATTATTATTTGCTCAGACCACAGGAAGAGTAAGTGAAGGTGGAGAGGATCCTGATAAAGATTTCTCTGTCACTGAGTACGGGGAAGGATACTATGACGGTTACTTCGACAGGACTGACTCCCCTGACATTGGACCCGGGATGCCTGCTAACCAGGATACCATTTATGAAGGGGTGAGGAAGGACTTTGTCTCTGTATGAGAGTTAGACTTAATTCCTGGGCGGATGCAGCCCACATCACGACTGGGCCAGAGCTGATGGGATCTTATGCTGAGAATTCTGGCCGTTGCCTGCAAGAATGTAGGTGCTCCAGGTCAAATGGTAGGTTTCAGTGAACCCCCGAGTGATGCTGACATAACCTCTCCGGGATGGGAGACTAACCATAACGCCGTTCTGCAAATTTGAATGCATTCTTGCCATTTCTGTGCAATGGTTACAGATTTCAGAGAAGCAACCAGTGAATCTGATTGAAATAGAAACTTTGACTGGGGGGCGGCTATATTTTTGCATAGAATTGGATAGACCCCAACAGGCTTGGTAGATGAAGTCCCGGTACTTGGAATTGTGATTTGGCATTATTTAAAAGCTTTCTTTGAAAGAGCAGGTTCCAAGTTCAGGTTGCAATTGCAATTTGCCCACATTAGCACTTGCAGAACAGAGCGCATTTGGGTCAAAGTAAGAGAAGCCACCAGGATTTGGGTGGGATGAATTCAGGGTGGTGAGGTGGCCCAGGAAACCTGCTACTCTCTTGTTAAGGAGACTGTCCCAAGATTGTTGCAAGTTGAATAGTGCATTCACTAAGCATCCAAAATCAATCAGCCTGCAATCGGCTTTGCGTTTATTTCTGGGTTTTGGCCCAGGTCTCCCTGCTTGCATTTTGTATCCCACTTTCTTGAATTGCTTTCTCTTCCTCTGGTGCAGATCAGTGGGCCTCGAGGCGAAAAGGGGCAGAAGGGAGAGCCAGCGACCATAGAGCCAGTAAGTGCCCTTCCTTTGCAGGTAAAGGTGTGCTGCAGAACCTCATAGCTGAGGGGTCCAGCTTTTCTGTGGGGATTTCCAGAGACCAGATCTGGGGTATTTAGTGTGTGGCAGTGAACCTTAATCATTGCTGCACAACTTGGCCTTGCATCCCGTTGCTTCCTGATGGGGTAACGGAGAGACGCCTGGAATGGCAGGTGGAAGTCCCAAGTCCTGGATCACTTATTTATTTATTTATTTGTTTATTTATTTATTAAAATTTATAAACCGCCCCACTCCCGCAGGACTCCGGGCGGCTAACAATAAAAAAGACAATATAACTTAACAAGACAAACAATACAGTAACATTCATCCAGGGGTCAGGTTTTATAAACCCCAGGCCTGCCGGAAAAGCCAGGTCTTAAGCAGCTTGCGGAAAACCAACAGGGTGGGAGCAGTCCTAATCTCCGGGGGGAGCTGATTCCAAAGCGTGGGCACCATCACAGAGAAGGCCCTCCTCCGCGGCCCCGCCAAATGGCACTGCTTGGCTGACGGGACCTGAAGGAGGCCCAGCCTGTGGGATCTAACCGGACGAAGGGAACTATGAGGTAGTAGGCGGTCTCGCAAATAGCCTGGCCCTGAGCCATATAGAGCTTTAAAGGTAATAACCAACACCTTGAATTGGACCCGGAGACCAATAGGCAACCAGTGCAGCTCGCGGAGGATAGGTGTAATGTGGGTGTACCGAGGAACATCCTCTATCACTCGCACGGGTGCATTCTGGCCAACTGTAGTCTCCGAATACTTTTCAAGGGTAGCCCCATGTAGAGCGCGTTGCAGTAGTCCAGACGTGAGGTGACAAGGGCATGAGTGACTGTAAGGAGAGCCTCCCGGTCCAGGTAGGGTCGCAACTGGTGCAACAGACGAACTTGTGCAAAGGTCCTCCCAGCCACAGCCGTCAAATGATGTTCCAATTTCAGTTGTGGATCAAGGAGGACACCCAAGTTGCGAACCCGCTCCAAAGGGGGTATATTTTCCCCTGCTAGAGTCAACACTGGACAGTTAACATGATCCTTGGGAGGCAACATCCAAAGCCACTCGGTCTTGTCAGGATTGAGCCTGAGTCTGTTAACCCCCATCCAGACCCTCACGGCTTCAAGGCAACGGCCCATCACATCAGCCGCTTCACTGAGAGAGCTTGGGGAAGAGATATGTATACTTGAAAGGTGGTGTGCTCTTATGTGGAGGCTGGGATTCTTGCGGGAATAGTGGGTCTCTGGCGTGGAACACCTTACGTGGAATGCTCTGAAAAAGGCGGTTTCTGCCGCGTGAGAGATCGGCTGCTGTGTGTCGAGCCCTCACTGGAAGGCCCACCACGCTCTCCTTGCTCAAGATCCAGTGGGAGTTCGAATGTGGAAGTGAGCTGCTGCTGAGATGGTCAGAGAGGAGAGAAGGCCTGGCCACCCTCAGCCTGCTCTCAGCCCAGGACTCTCCCGCACTGACTGCTGAGAAGATGCGTAACGCCAGTGGCGTTGGATGGGCTTAGGATTGTGGCTGTTGTTCAGCACCACAATGCCTTATTCTGGGCCAGCGGCACAGAGCCCGGAGCTTCGCATGGCATCTCTCAGTAATGCTCCGCCTTGAGGCTCTTTCAGGATTGAGAGAAAGGCCCCGCTGGTCACTGAACCAACACAAGCTGGATCAGCATTAAACGTGCTGCTCCCCTTCCCGATCCCTGCCCTGCCTCAGGCGAGACACATTCGGAAGGCCCGTCCTTGCGTGCGGTGCACGGAGCCCAGAGGACAGGGATTGCTGGGGTCTCCTGCATGTGCTCCCCCCATTAAATGTCACCATCCAGTGGAAGATGTGCCCCTTAGCTGCCATCTGCCAATGTTTCCTTCCCTTTTGCCCAGGCGCTTTGTGTGGGTGTGTTCAAAGGGAGTCAGTTGGGCTCCTTTTAGACACGGGGGGAGCACGATTCCAGAAGGACATTCAGCCCTTGCCCAAAAGCCGCCTGATTGACAGCTGGCAGGTGCAGGAAGGGCTGTCCTCTCCTTCTGTCCTGCTTCATTGTGCAGCCCCATACAATTGCCACTGATCCCAGCTCACCTGGGATGATGGCATCCTAGTCCAGCAGACTCTGGAGAGCCAGTTTGGGTCCAGGGCTGAGACAAGACGTTGCTCTCCCCGCTGGGCCTCTGCTGTCACCCAGAGACGCTGAGGAATTCCAGGTGTGCTTCAGTACAAGCTTTATCCCACCTTTCCCATCTCTTTGGTAGGATGAACATGTTTTTGTGAGCCTCATGTGTTGCTGTGTTTGTTAAAGGGGCAGATCACTTTGGACTCTCTAACATTCTTTTTCAGCAATTTCTTTTACCCTCTGTTTTAGCCGAATGAAGCACATCTGAAGGCCTGATCGATCTCTGCTGTAGAAATCCAGATAACCACTGGATTGTTTTTTTCTCATGCAAATGTTTAGACTTTGATAGAAAGCATTTGATCTTTTGTGCAGATAGAAAAAAGGTTTGTGGTGCCTTAAAAATCATTGAGCACGAGTCCACTCACTCCAGTCTTAATGATTTTAAGATCATTCGGTTCCCAAACCCTCCCTTGGCTTCCGAGCTTTTCTTTTCTGCTGTTTTTGTTACTGTTTGGGGGGGGGGGGTTGGACAAGGCAAACAAAATCCTCACCTTTCCAGGAGTCCCGCAATGTGCTGCCCACTTGGTTATGCCAGAAAGTTGGCAGCTGAGAGCTTTTCCCGCCGTCTTCATGCCAGAGCAAGCAGAAACACATTTTTTGGATTGACTGTTCATTCATTTCTACAACTCCCGTGATGCCGTACATCCAGAGAATTTGAACGGCTGCAGTATTAATATAATAAGATTAAACCCAAAAATCAAATGATAGACTTATCAACAATCAATCCGAGGTTACGCCGTTCCTCATGATTTGTCCCCCAGTGCCTTTTGGAAGAGCCTCGTTCTGAAGAGCGTTTCAAAAATAGAGTAATCCAGGTTAAAGTGGTCGTCACTGAGAAGGTTCAAATCCAGAGTCTCTGGAGATGAAATTTTGTCAGTGGTGGGACCCTCGGCAAGCCCCTTCTGCCAGATCCTCCTGGATTCCTCCATCCAGGAGATGAAGCATAATTTGTCCCTGGATGCACATATCACAGCCTACCCACTTTGTTGGGCTGTCCAGTGCCTTTTCTCCAGAGCATAAGACACCATGGATAGCGCTCCCTCCTCCTATTTTTCCCAACAATAACCTGGCAAGGTAGGCTGGGCTGAGAGAGGGTGAGTGGCCAGACTCTGTCAAGGAAATGCCACAGCTCCAATTGCCTCCTTTGTCTCCATGCCCCCCCCCCCTTGCTGTGGGTCTGGCTTCGCCTTTGCATTGTCCTCCCCAGTCCCAAAACCTGTCCCCAATTGGGCACCCGGGCAGGGGAGCTGCTGCATTCCCAGGCCAGGAAGTGCCTGAGCAGCTGCGTTCCCACAACCGACTGTCTTTGCCCGGGTTTGATGCTCATTCATCCTAATCCGGCCTCTTTCGGTTCACTGATGATTCATGATATTGTGCCAACCTGAAATTCAGGAAGCAGCTAAAGTGAAACCAGAAGCTCCCTGGCAGTTGGTGATTTCTGGAAATGGCCTCTCCCTCTGCCCTCGGCCTTCTTGTGGGAGAACAAGATTTACGAGTGGGGGGAGATGGAGGGAAAAACCTCCCCCAAGACCCCCCGAGCTTTCCTCCACTACTGTGGAGAGGACTGTGAGGTGCCTAAGCTTCTCCTGCCAACCTTTGCCCAGACAACAAGATGCTCCTCAGCAGCCTCAAACACTTGGCAGCTCCTTGCGAAGCTCTGACAGAAAGTGAACCAGGGCAAAGGCTGGCTCCTTTGGCCTCTCCCCCAAAGGCCTGCTATTACGGGTAGTTGGAGGAGGAGAGGAGGAGGAGGAGAGGAGGAGGAGGAGGAGGAGGAGGAGGAGGAGGACGACCTGCCCTCAAAAGGCAACCCCCTCTGTGTCCAGAGAGCGGCAAGCATGGCTCCCCATCGCCTCTTTGGCGCTGCTGCCATCAGCAAACCAGCCCTTTCCGGGAAAGGACCACGAGGAGCACGGCGGCCACCTTCACCGCTTCTCTCTCGCCTTGGTAGCGCTGTAAGCCAGAGCGGACCAGGCTCTCCCCCACAGTTGGTCCTATGTAAAGCTCTTTGTCCCGCAAAGGGCAAAGATGAGGTGTGCCCACTAGTTGTGTTTGTGAAGGGCGAGGTGGAAATTTGGGTGGCATCAGTTGTTGTCTTACAGTTCAAGGCTCCTGAGGGTGCCAGTTTGGGAGCTGTCAGGGGGTGCTCATTCCTGGTTTGATTTATGGCTACTTAGTGTTCTTCAGGTATCAGATCTGGATTTCCTGTGTTTGGAGGGCGCAGCCAGGTTCCCTTTGCCTTCTCTCCTTGGACCTCTGCCTGGCTCCCTGCCCTGCCGGGCTGCTTCACTTGAGACGCTTTGGGTGCTAAACCACAAATAAATGGGAAGGTAGCCCTCTTCCCCATTTCTATTCCCAAGAACGTTGGAGGCCTTTTTTGGAAATAGGAATCTGGCCTCAGTTTGGAGAGCACCCAGGTGTTCTTCCGAAGCAGCTCGGTTCTATTCGGTTCTTGTTGACCTTCCCCCTTTCTTGCAAGGCAACAGCTCCTGGACAGCCCTAGGACCCTCAGAATCCCAGCTGGTTCTTGGGAAATGAAAGGGGGAGAGGGGCCCCCCCCAGTCCTTTGGGTGTGAAGATTGCCAAATGAAGAGGCTCCCAACAGCCTCGCCATTTGGGGGAGAGGCCTTTCCTGGGGGCACCTTCAAGGCTTCTTGGGTGCCCCAAAGGTGGTCTGTCCGTGTCTTGGGATTCATCAGCTACTCTCTGAGTAGCCAGGGACTGAGATGGGGGGGAGAGACGTCCTGGATTGTCTTTCCAAACTGGAGTGGATATGCAGGTAATAAACAGGAGCACTTCCTCAGCAATTTGGGGGTAGGAATCATGACCCCGGCATCTCCTGCGGTTCAGCGTCTATCCTGCAATGCAGAAGCCAAAACTGTAATTTCTCACCATTGCTGGAATTCACAGAGATGAAGCCTGAAAAGGCATCTGGGCAGATCTGGGGGGGGGGGGGAAGGGTCGGGCCTTCCTGGTGAGCGGTCAGGAATTTCTGATCAAAGATTACTGGAGAGTCCATGATGTCAACTCGGTTCACCTGCTCCCGATAGGACCCAAATCCACAAAACCTGGAGGGGGGAAGCACACAAAATCTGAACTTAGCGAAGCTTGTCTTTCCCTTCCTCCCTTAGTTTTTCTGCTCTCGTGCCCAGGATGCTTGTAAGCAGTGCTAGCAGTGGGGGTGGTGGGAGTGTTTAAGGCCGAGTGGGATTTTCTGGAGGGACTCGGGGGTTCTCCTTGCAGCCGTGCACAAGACAATGGGGGTAGATGTTTGTAATGGGGAGTGTCCGGTGCTGTTCTGTGCTTTTCATCTCCTCCTCCTTCATTTTCAGGGCATGCTTCTCGAAGGACCAGCTGGCCCAGAAGGCCCAGCCGTAAGTTACTTGCCTCTCTTTCCCTTTTGGCCCCGGGGATGTGGATGGGTCTTCTCCGCTGTGGAGGGAGCAAGTCTGCAGAAGGCCGCTGCTCTCGCCTGCAGCTGCTTCCCGGGGTGAACGTGGTGCCCCGTGGTTGGCTCCCAGGCCAATTCGGCCGTGCAGAAGGGATCAGGTCCCCCTCGGGCTTCTCCCCTCTGTGAGGAGTGCGAGAACTTCCTTTTCCCCTTGGGGCTGACTTTCCTTCTTTTTCTCCTCCTTCAGGGGCTTCCAGGTCCCCCGGGAACAACGGGGCCAGCGGGCCCAATGGGAGATCCTGGAGAAAGGGTAAGTTCTCTCGCAGGTAGGGTTACCTGGAGCGGAGGGCACCGCTGCCTCCCAGACTTCTAGCTGGGGGAGGTTGCAAGCCACTTGGGGCGCAGTGTCCACAATCAGGCCTGGGGCTGATCGAAGGCAGGCAGGGGGAGACCCCGACTCCTCCTTGCTAGAGAAAGAGAGAGAAGAACTGCCTCCAACTCTCAAGGGCCTCTTCCACACTGAGTGCGCTCGTCTGCCAGAATGAAGCCCAGGAACAGCTGCTTCACAGACACCCCAGGCCAGTCAATAAATAAAAGGTTGTGAGGGGAGTTTATTAGCACATGGTCCATATTCTGCATCACGTGCATTTCATAGAGTGGACAATAAGTAGACACGATCTGCAGTGACGTGTTCTCCCAAAATCTAACTGCTTAGACTGGTTAGTCCTTAAAATATTGGGTTTTTTTAAAAGAAGAATAACAAATCTTTTCCAATCAATTAACAGAGGGATAGAATCAAGATCACGTGAAGTATTAATGCCACTCTACAAGGCCTTGGTAAGGCCACACTTGGAATACTGCATCCAGTTTTGGTCGCCACAATGTAAAAAAGATGTTGAGACTCTAGAAAGAGTACAGAGAAGAGCAACAAAGATGATTAGGGGACTGGAGGCTAAAACATATAAGGAACGGTTGCTAGAATTGGGTATGTCTAGTTTAACGAAGAGAAGGACAAGGGGGGGACATGACAGCAGTATTCCAATATCTCAGGGGCTGCCATAAAGAAGAGGGAATTAAGCTATTTTCCAAAGCACCTGAAGGCAGGACAAGAAGCAACGGGTGGAAACTAATCAAGGAGAGAAGCAACCTAGAACTAAGGAGAAACTTCCTGACAGTGAGAACAATTAACCAGTGGAACAGCCTGCCTCCAGAAGCAGTAAACGCTCCAACACTGGAAGTTTTTAAGAAGAGACTGGACAGCCATTTGTCTGAAATGGTGTAGGGTTTCCTGCCTGAGCAGGGGGTTGGACTAGATGACCTCCAAGGTCCCTTCCAACTTTACTATTATTATTATTAATATTATTAATATTATTATTATGGTTCATTGCACAGTCAGCCAGATGTTTGGATTGTATTTGACATTTTTATCCACCTACTGAGTCCTTCCCAAAGTCCTGGGAAGGTCAGATGTTGTGGTTTGATGGTGTTAAAGACTTGTCGCAGGATGTGAGCTGTTCCAAGTCAAGCTGCCTTTTGCAATTGACTCATGATGATTTTGTCAATGCTGATGGTGTTCAAGGGATGCTCCAGTTGTTTTGGGACTGCACGCAAGGCATCTATTACAGCAGCGGCTCCCAACCTTTTCTATACCCCGCACCCCTAGAACACTTCTGATATAGTCTCACACCCCTTACAAAAGTTCAAAATAACAAATTATGCATATACACTGTAATTTTGAAACTTCTAAACCCAAGTTTTGCACCCTCTGGAATATCATCTCCCACTCCCGGTTGGGAACCCCTGTGTTACAGGATACAGAATAACAAAGTTGGAAGGGGCTGTGGAGGTCTTCTAGTCTAACCCCTCCTTTTTTGGGGCAGGAGACCCAGACCATTCCAGGCAAATGGTGTCCAATCTCTTCTTAAAAGCTTCCAGTGATGGAGCACCCACAACTTCTGGAAAGAAGCCATTCCATTGGTCAATTGTGCTCGCTGTCAGGAAATGTCTTCTCACCTCTAGGTTGCATGTCTCTTTGACAATTTCCCACGTTGTGGTTGTTCCATCACTGGAAATTTTCAGAAGAGATTGGACGGCCATTTGTCTGAAATGGTATAGGGTTTCTAGCTTGGGCAGATGGTTGAAGATCTCCAAGGTCCCTCCCAGGACTCTGATGGTATATTTTATCTTCTAAGTTCTTATCAACAGTTGTTAAGTCTGGGGTGTTGCATGGCAGGTGTTTGTTTGTTTGTTTGAATTCTAGAGTTCCGGAGCTTCTCCTTTCTCCATTCCTTTGAAGCGTACATGCTGACCAACTCCCCATGATTTGGAGGTTCTCCCTTCATCTGGGGGTAAAAAAGGGTGTGTGGAAGGCAGGTTGTCCTGGGGTTCAGAGGTCTTTGTCTAGCAGGTTATTTCCAGTGCTGGGCCCAGCATGGAGAAAAGCAGAAGACGTGCTGACCGCTCATGACAGGAGCCCAGAATCACCTTTTCTGCACACCTGCCAGACCCACATCACCCTCAACGCAGTGCGGGATAAAATTTCAGCCCCCCCCCCCCAGCAAAGCCCCCTCCCCCAATCTTTCACTGAACATCTCTCGCAAAGAAGACCTCAGCACTTCCCAGCAGGGTCTGCAGCTTCGTGGTTCTTGCTCCTGGGACTGATTTTAGTCTCGTCCTCTCCCCATTTTCCTACTCCAAATTCATTTCAGTGTATTTCATCAGCTAGCAATCTGAGGGCGAGGATGGGAAGTCAGGAAACCCCCTCCTTAGCAACGGGATCTCCATCAGGTTATTTGCACACAAAGCTTCATTCATTGATGTCAGCTTTAATTAGGTTTGGCTGTTCTCGGACTGTTTGCAAATCCAGTTCTTTTCTTTCGCTTATGATTCCGTCGTCTTCGCTTGGTGTCGGAAGCAGGTCAAAGGTGTCGCGGAAGCTAGATTGGGTGCATTCCTTTTGCAGCTCCTTTCCGGAGAATTTGCAATTTCTGCAAAGGGTTGTTTGTTTGGGTGTGTATGTTGCCTCGTGGATGCGTTCCCATCTCCACTCCTTCGGTTGCGAGACAGGCTGCAGTGTTCTGAAAAGGTTCGAGCACACTGTCGCATCGTTTCACGTGTGTCGTTTGGGCAGCATAGATGAGGCAGCTTTACATTTGAAAAGCAAATAATACGGGACAACTTTCTCCTCCACGCTTACCTTTAGTGTTTAGGTAAAATATGGTCTTCTTCTCTCCCCCTCTCCCCCCCCCTCGCTTGTAGCTCTGCCATCTGGACCCAGAGATAATTGCTGCGTTGGTGCTGCAAGGCAAATGAAGGGCTGGAAGCTTTTGATTCCCTCTAAGATGTAATTGCTTTCTAAGAGGCCTTTGCTGGGAACGGAAGCCAAGGCAAACACCCCGCCCCGTCTCCAGATGAAATGCAGAAGCCTATTTGGGCCTCCGCTTTGGAAGGCCTGAGTGGGCTGTCCTGAGACTCCCTGGGGTCCTCAGACCGCTTAGCTAAGCCTCGGTCAAGGCTTTGGAGGGCTGCCAGGAAAATATGTCTGGGATGGTATAAGGCAGGGGTAGGCAACCTTGGCTTTTTTATGACTCGTGGACTTCAACTCCCAGAATGCTGGCTCAGGAATGCTGGAAGTTGAAGTCCATGAGTTGTAAAAGAGTCAGGGTTGTCTACCCCTGGTATAAGGTCTCCTGCTCATCCTCTCTTTTCCCAGATCCCAGGCGTTCCATTGTTCCCCCCCTTTTCCCTCACTGCCAGCAAAAGGGAGACTTCAGAGAGAGAGAGAGAGTAGATGAAAGGCGATGGCTGTATTGTTATGGTCAGTCCTCTTGATGAGAATCAACATCCAGTCACTTTGTAGTTTAAATGAAGGAAGTCAGAGTCATAAAAACCCCTTGCTCCCTCTCCCCTTTCGTAGTATGACAGAATCCAGGGAGAGTAAGAAATGGGGTTTTTTTCAGAGTAGGTAGCTAGAAATGAAATATAATTGGATTCTGACAGACAGGTTTAATCTGCTTCAGCTATAATCAGAATATTCAGCTCCATTTAGGATGAGCTTGAATTGTACAAAGTTCACTGGAGCATTTCAGGGTTGAAATAAATGTGGTGGGTTTTCTGAAATGTATAATCTGCCTGGGAAGATGAATAGCCGCTACCGGATCCGAATGGAGGATGAAGATTGTCTGGTTCCATAGGAAAGTCTTCCCTGCAGTCTTCATGGTGACCAGCAGGAGGTGCTGCAGCGTGTGGAAAGAACTGGTCTGAATTCCTTGTCCTGATATTTAAGTTTCTTGATGCCCTCAAAGATGTTTTTGTTAGGAAACTAGGGAGGTTTTTTTTTTTCCTTCCCCCAAAAGAATGTCAGAATGGATCAGACCCTTTGCTGGAAGCACCAGCGGAGCTGCTGCGGGGCTGAACAAAGGCTCCAGGACCCGGCAGTGTGGCTGAGTCCCAGCAGGCGTTTGGGGGCTTCCTCTCTCCGGGGAGGGGTGAGTCCTTCCATGCTGAGGAAGTCTGGACTCAGCCTGGGAGCCGTGGTGCTCCCTCTACATGCCACACTCCGGCCTTGAGAACCCCACCTCGTGCCCTCCCTACTCTGAGTGGTCCCCACCATTGCCTGGGGTTGTACTCAAGGGTCTTTGGGATCTTTGAAAGTGTGTAGTGCCATTTTCGTTATGTCCCGGGACCCCTCAGTTTTGAAAGCCATGGGTTGCACAGCATGGAGGGTAGAAGGACGAGGCCCAGCTTCTCCAAAGCCACACCAGATCCTGCTTGCGGATGCTTCTCTAAGTTCCAGGGTGCGCTTTCTCAATATGCTTCCCTTGTAAACAAAAGGTCCCCGTGGCTTGATAAAACCTACATCAAGCCGGCATTTTGTACAAACACTTGGCTCTTCGCCTGCAGAGCTGGTGTAGAAGTTATTTCTGCCAGTGGAAGCAACCAAAACAGCTTCTCTCTCGTGGGCTGCCTGCATTGCAGCCCGCTGGTATGATACTGTATTTTTCTGATGTTTTAATTCATGTGCTATGTTTTGAACAAATCAATTTGACCTCCAGATTTGCTTTCAAAAATTGCACTGGGCCATGCTGAGCTCTGGTGAAGCATTAAAAGGATGCTTTACAGAATGGAGAAGGAACAATCTCTGCCCCAAAGAGTGCCAGTTTGGAAGCAGAGAAGCAGCAGCGCCTTGGGCCTGGGGCTCCTTCTGCCAAGGGAGCAGAAGAAGTCCTCGGTATGCTTAAGTGGTCGGCATCCTCCAGATTTGATCTGGGGTGGCTAGATTCTCCCCAGGCCAGTCTGTCTCACAAGCTCCTGCCACATCTAAGGATCTCATCCGGGCAATCAGCTCAAGGGTGCCCACCGAATGGCAATGCAGAGGCCAGGTGCCTCTTGTCTCCTGCTGCCAGCACCAGAATGGCCATGAGGAGGGATGTCCTCAGGGATCAAGGGAGGGGCACGTCCCAGCCGCCCCACACAGCCTCTGGCAGCTGTGCGGCTCAGCCTCCAAAGCTCCGTCCCTGCAGAGGCACCTGCGGAGCAGCGTTTTTGCTGCAGGAGGACGTGTGCCCCGCTTTCAGACTAGAAGAGCGAGTTGAAGGGGTCTGCCTCCCTGGTGGGAGGGGGACAAATTGAGGGGCACCTTGTGAAGCTGAGTGAGCGATCTTAGGATGAGCTGAAGGGGGCATTTGAGGCCAGGCCATTATGCAGGAATCTAGAGTCTCCCCACCAAGAATACAGTATGTCTTCTTCTTTCCTATTCCATCCCCTTCCCCCCAGACTGGAAGGGGTCGTCTTCCGTCATTCCCGTGAGACAATTGTGGAAGAGGCTGCATTGAAGGCCAGCTTTCAACTTTAGGACTTTCTTTTGGATTGAATTTATTTACCGGGTTGTTTATTTATTGGATTTCTATGCTGTCCATCTTACTAATACAGTGGCTCTGGGCATCTTACAATGTAATAAGAGTTTCAAAATGCAACAAGCAATGAAAGTAGACTAAAACGTTGAAATTAAAATGAGAAACCAAGAGAATGGACAACTTGAGGGCCACCCCAATGTGACAGGAGGCCCTGTTGGGGCCCCAGATCCACCCCACTTTTCAGGCTCTTACGGAAGACTGGGCGGGCGGGTGGCGTGAGTCCCACCTCTGACAGGGGAGTGCCACAGAGGGTGGGGGCCACCTCAGAAAAGGCTCCTCTCCTCAAACCTCGCCAGTCAAAACTCTTTGGCTGACGGCATCCAGAGCAGGCGCTTTCCCTTGGAGCAAGTGGGTCAGTCTCGTCCCAAAGGGATCAGATGTTTGCTCAGAAACCTGCAGCTCATTCCACCGAATCCCAAGAAACTGGATGTGGGAGAGCAGATCTGGAGAAGAGCAGCCGGCATACTGCGCCCGATTTGTTCCTCCACAATCCTCCATTCCAAAATCAGACTCTGTCCCAGCCGCTCGTCCCGTCTCTTGCTCGACAGCCAGTCGTGGTAGGGTCTCCTGCCTCATTGGGACTACTTCTTTCCATTTCTCCAAAATTTCACTTTATGTTAACTTGGGGGACGCTCAGAGGGTAAAAGGGAGAAAAGAGAAAAAAAAAATCAGCCCCCCCCCTTTCCTATAGCAGCCCCACTTGGTGGATGTCCCTGCTGTCCCGGCTGATGGGATCAGCGGTCAAGGCAGAGGGCAGCGGCATTCGGCAGGCCAACTGGGAGTGGGCAGAGCAGCTCTCTCCTGGGCCAGTTCAAGGCCGGGTGGAGGGCAGAGCAGCCCAGCACTGGGGCCTGGGGCCTGGGCCTTCTTTGTGCCCCTTTGACTCCTAGCGAAATCTGGAGCTTTCATGACCCCTGAATCCACGCGCCACCAGATGGCGCTGGAGACCCCCTCCCATTTGCAGCCTCTGCAGGCACCAGGGGAGAAGTAACGGAACGTGAATAAACAAATAAGATGTGCGGGGCGAGGGTGTTTAAATTTGGAAATCAAATGAAATTGTAAGGAAGAGCTAGTATTTAAATCATTTAAAAAGCATCAGCAATGCCCAGATTTATTACTGTCTTATGTTTGATTGACTACTTCTTGAAGCATCGCCTGAGCCGCTGCTCCCAGCCACTGACTGTCCCTTGCCAACAAGCCGGGCAGGGGAGGGGGGGATGGGCAAGCGCACAAACACACACACCTGCCTGCTGCTCGCACAAGTGGGGACGCGTGCACCCACACACTCTCCCACTACTTCTGCGACCCAATTCTGAAGGGCTCAAGGCCCGGAGATTGGGGACCCCCACCTTACCGTGAGAGCCCCTTCTGCCCCCTCCCAGTGGAAGGCAAGGCTTTGCTCAGGGCCATCCTAGGGATGCACCAAGTGTGGAGGGGGTGTCTCTTACCCTTTCACCCAGGTAGCTCCTCAGGAAGGTCCACACACCACACCCTCTCCCTGCTGGCTGCATTCACACTATCTCTCTCCCCCCTGCTTTCACCCTGTGCCCCACCACCTAAAAGCCCTGGCAGAGCTGGTTGGGGCAGCTGCTACCCTCTGTCAGATACTGGGCATAGGTTTAAATAGCGATAGCAGATATTCCTTCAGCTCATGACAGATATTAAGCATGAGGGGGTAACATGTTTTTAAGGAAAATCCATTTTTTTATCATTTATTTTCTTCCTCACTTTTCCCACAACTCAGTGCAGCCTTTCCCAAATGATCCAAAACCTGGCAGATATTTTGCTTCAAAGGTTTGGCAGCCCTTTGCTTTGTGGAAGGCGGTGGGGCTGGCAATGCTTCCAGCTCAGGGCACTGGTGGGTCTCTTGGCAGGCAGTGGTTGAAGAAGGGTCTCCCGGGGGGGGGGGTAATTTTCCCAACACTCTCAGCTCCAACTACTCCTTTCACACCCAGCGGTGACATCCATCCACGCTTAACCCTGGGCCCTGGTCAACCAAGCACACAATTCCTATATCCACACAAGTTCAAATCGATCAGATTTTGACTGAACGTGCTTGTCTAGAATTCAGACGGTGCCCTCTCAGCCCAGCCTGATTTTTTTGTGCCAACCTTCCCGTGGCTGAGGATGTCCTTCTCGCTCTCCTTTGCCAGGGTCCACCCGGACGTGCAGGACTTCCTGGTGCTGATGGTTTGCCAGGCCCACCCGGGACGTTGCTGATGCTGCCGGTGAGTATGGCTGAAGCGCAAAACCTCTCGGGGCTTGGGTCTTCCGTTGAGTAGCGACCGCAGGGGGGACATGATAGCAGTATTCCAATATCTCAGGGGCTGCCCCAAAGAAGAGGGAGTCAAGCTATTCTCCAAAGCGCCTGAAGGCAGGACAAGAAGCAACGGGTGGAAACTAAGCAAGGAGAGAAGCAACCTAGAACTAAGGAGAAACTTCCCGACAGGGAGAACGATTAATCAGTGGAACAGCCTGCCTCCAAAAGCAGTAAATGCTCCAACACTGGAAGTTTTTAAGAAGAGACTGGACAGCCATTGGTCCGAAATCGTGTAGGGTTTCCTGCCTGAGCAGGCGGTTGGACTAGTTGACCTCCAAGGTCCCTTCCAACTTTGCTACTATTACTATTACTTGAGTGCAGAGGAAGGAGTGGGAAGAAGGTCACCCGTGAAGGAGGGCTGGTGCACTCCTGCCTTGGTGTGCAGAGAAGGGTTTGTCCCAGCCACGGCGTGGCAGCATTCAGAATCCAAAAGGGGGAAGCTACCTTTCCTCCTCAAGCCCAAAGCCCTGCACAGCTCTCTGGTGTAAGTCACAACATCCACTATTCTGGTTTTCGGGGTGGCGGTGGCCTTAGAAATCCAGAAGCAGGGAGGCCATCCCAAATGCTGCTGTAAGCAAGTTCTGGTCAGCCACTGATGCTCTAAGACAGTGGTTCTCAACCTTTCTAATGCCGTGACCCCATAATACAGTTCCCCATGTTGTGGTGACCCCCAAGTGGGTGTGGCCACCAATAAGAGGCAGTAGGACAGCTAGGGAAAAGGGAAAAAAATGGCGGACAGCGTGGTTTGGCGACCCCCGTGAAATGGTCGTTTGACCCCAAATGGGGTCCCGACCCACAGGTTGAGAACCACTGCTCTAAGAGCAGCGAGCCACTTGCCCTGTGGGATCCTCCTCGCCTCTGGGTCTTCCTTGCTCTCCAGCCCCTTTGTCTTCGCCACAGTCTTCACTTGTTCCTCTTGAACATTCAGATGGAATTTGTCCTGTGGGGTGGAGGTGGGGGACCCGTCGGCCACTGGCCGTCTCAGTTCAGGCCTCCACCTTCCGGCTTGGCCAGGCCTGCTCTAGAACCGTTTCCCATCCATCCATCTCAGAGTTCCTGCATGTGCACTTGTGAACGTCTCTGCTCTATTTCCACATTTATTTGACAATTATTGTTGAAACCATCACATAAACCGATGCTTTGAAACGTATTGAAATGAAGGGAAGACTTAAGGGGAGACCTGATAGCTGTCTTCCAGTCCTTGAAGAGCTCTCAGAGGTATGAGGGGATCGATTTAGTCTCCAAAGTGCCGGAGGGCAGGCCAAGAAGCGATGGGTGGAAGCTCTTTAAAGGGAGACCCAACCTGGAACTAAGGAGGAATTTCTGACAGAACAATTAGTCAGTGGAACAGAAGTTGCCTCCCAGAGTTGTGGATGCCCCATTGCTGGGGGTTATGAAGAAGAGATTGAACAACCATTTCTTTGGGATGGTAAAAAGTCTCCTGCCATGGACAAGAAGTTTGGACAAGTGGAGCTCCAAGGTCCCTTCCAGCTTTGGAATTCTATATTGTATGATTGTATTTCTCCTAACAGCACATTATACATATGTTGACTACGAAGGCACATTTTTTGAGATGTTTGAATATTTTCTTGGGCTTCACAACATTCAGAGATGTGGAACTGCGGGATCACCAAATTCAGCCATCCAGGAAATAGGCCTCTGAATGAGGGGAAGCAGGACTCTTGCAAATCCCGATGTTGCTTCGGACGCTTCAGTGCCAGCCGCGGGCAGCCAAATGGCTCCGCGCCCTCCTTGTGCCAGAGGGAGAACCTCACAACTGGAAGAACGTTGCAGTTTGCAGAACCACAAACCAGAAAATAACAGGAAGAAAACTCAGGAAATGAACAGCTCTGGACAGGGAGAGATTAAACTGACTAATCCTCCGGTCAAGGCTTCGTTCCTTTAGGAGGGTTTTTGAGGAGGAGAAAGACAACAGAGGTCACGCAAGGTTGCCCTTTCTCAGTCGGGTGCCTCCATTCGGGTTGACCACAGTCTGAGTCTAAATGGGTGGCTGGGACTCTCTCAGGCCCACGCCTGCCCTCAGGATCCTGTTGCCCTGCACAAAGGGATTGGCAGAGGCACCGCCCAATCGCTTTGCAGCTTTTGAGCCCGTGGGCCGCAGTCTCCCGGTGGCCCAATTCTATGGATCAGCCCCCAAGGCCCCACGTTTCTTCCTCTCCTGGCAAGTGCTGTTGGGGGCTTTCCCCCCCCCGCTGGGGGTACCATTGGAGGAGCAGAAGGAGCCGCTGCGGGAGGGTCTCCCAGGATCTGGGGGTCAGCCCTCAGCAGGCGACTCCCAGCTCTCCTCCTTGCCCCTTTGCTGGGCGCCTGGCCTTAGGGTGGGGGCTGGACGAAGGTGGATTCCCATCTGGGGTGGGAGGCTCCCCCCCTTCTTGCTTTGTGTGGGGCTGCGGGCACGAGAAGTGCAGGAAGACGAAACCATCTCCAAAGCAAGGTGGCCGAGTAACTGTGATTTGCAAAAGTGCTTTGTGTTCTTTTGTGCATGCTTGTGCTTTGTTGGGTGTCAGGTTGCTCAGCCGAATGTTGACCCTCTGCTCTCGCTCCCTTGCAGTTCCGGTTCAGCGGGGGTGGAGACGGGGGCTCGAAAGGGCCCCAAATCTCTGCCCAGGAGTCCCAAGCACAAGCCATCCTGCAGCAGGCCAGGGTGAGTAGCCGGGGCCCCCAATGTCCTCCTGTGGATCCAGCCAGGTCCACTTAATGGCCGTGTCGCTAACTGAACAACCGCAGCGATTCACTTAATAACTGTGACAAGAAAGGTTGTAAAATGGGGGAAAACTCACTTAACAACTGTGTTATTTAGCAACGGCAATTGTGGTTGTAAGTCAAGGTCTGCCTTGAGCCAAACCCCGTCCCTCCTCTGTGGATGCCTCGTGTGTGTGTGTGTGTGCGTGTGTGTGTGTGTGTGTGTGAGAGAGAGAGAGAGAGAGAGAGAGAGAGAGAGAGAGAGAGGGAGAGAGAGAGAACTGAAAGCACCCACCTCTGAATCAGAAACATACTTTGCTGTTACTGGAAGGCTTCTGCCATCCTGACTGTAACCCGCGGCTGGTTCAGCACCCCAGGCGTGCGTCATTTTTCTACTTTGAACTGTTCTGACTTGCCCAGGTTCCCCTGAAACCCTTTGAAGCCCCACAGTCCTGGCGGAGAGTAAATTGCTCTCTTTCTAGAGCAGGGGTCTCCAACCCCCAGCCCCAGGACCAATACTGGGCTACAGCATGCCAGCAAACGGTCCACACAAACAAGCAAAGCCCCGTCTGTGGGATGCAGGCAGCACACAACACCACACCCACTCCAGGCTGCTTGTGTGTGTGTGTGTGTGTGTGCAGGCAAATGACATTGCTGAAGCCTGCCTTTTGCTTCCTTGCCCCTGGGGGCACTGGGGGCTGGCTTGCTCCTGCAGTGGGAGCTGGCTGGCTAAGGAGGAGCCAGAACCAAGCCGGTCTCTGCATTCATATGGCAGGTTTAACCTGGCTACTGGTTTGCCTAACCAGGCTCAGTTCCTAGAACACACTAGGCAATAAACAAACTAACCAAGGTTAAAACTAGTCAAGTCTTAATCTTCTTCTTCTTCTTGTGCCATATCCGTTATCGGACATTGGCGATCATGTTGGCGATCCTGTTTTTATCAGCAGCCGCACGAAAAAGGGCTGCTGAGTTTTGTCCAAACCGGTCCCTGAGATTTTGAAGCCAAGTCTTCATGCCGGCACCGTATCTTTGACTTGACTTAGCTTGTTTTACAAGAACAGCAAGAAGGTGTGTTAAGGAAGCTCTCCTAGGACACCAGAAGCTGCTTCTGATGATGGGGGGAAGGGGGGGCTTTTCACAAGTGCCATTATAGGGCAGGGTTCAAAATAAGGTCCCTTCTTGTTCATCGTGGTGACTAGTGACATCACAGGATACTGGGGTGGGTGGACCTGCCTTTACCAACTTCTATTGCCAGGGTCTTCCTGAGGTCCCCCACTCAAATCCTAACCAGGCCTTGCCCTGCTTACATCCTCAGAACCTGCCAAGGTCAGACTGGATGAGTTCAGACTTCTTGGGGTGCCCCGAGGTCTCTCCTGTTTAATTCCTCCATGAAAATAAAAGAAATTAAACAAATCTCTAGTCTTCATTTCCAGGCATCATGCAGGCCATTTCCAGCCCTGAAATTACTCTGAGGTGTGTCCAATTTAAGAAGTGTGGGCTTCAGTTCCCAGAATTCCCCAGCCAGCATACTCAGAAAAAGGGCAAGGGAAGCTGGGATTACAGGAAGCCTCCTGCAGGGGCTCTCTCATGAATTTGCCTTCTCCTAAGTAGGTGTTTTTTGTAGGGAACGCGATAGCTCAATGGTTAAAGATGCTGAACTTGTTAGCTGGAAAGCCAACAGCCTGGGTTCCAGACCCGAGCTCCTTGCAGCAGGATAAGCTCCCATTCTTGTTCAGCTGCTGCTCACTTAGCAGTTCGAAAGCATGCAAAGGTGAGTAGGTCCCACTTAATGGCATCCCATGTGCCTTTGGCGTATAGCCATGCTGGCCACGTGACCTTGGAAATTGTCTTCAGAGCACACTGGCTCCCTCAGCCAAGAAACCTGGCTCAAAAACAGCAACTGTGAGAGGGACCTTGGAGTCCTAGCTGACAATCATTTCAACACGAGTCAGCAGTGTGCAGCAGCAGCCAAAAAAGCTAATAACAATCCTGGGTTGTATAAACAGAGGCATAGCATCAAAATCACATGAAGTACTGCTTTGTAAAGCCTTAGTAAGGCCACATCTGGAATACTGCATCCAGTTTTGGTTACCATATTGCAAAAAAGATGTTGAGACTTTGGAAAAAGTGCAAAGAAAAGCAACAAAGATGATGAAAGGCCAGGAGACTAAAACATATGAAGAACGGTTGCAGGAATTGGGTATCTAGAGAAAAGAAGGACCAGGGGGGACATGATAGCAGTATTCCAGTATTTGAGGGGCTGCCACAAGGAGGAGGGGGTCAATTTATTTTCCAAAGCCCCAGAGGGCAGGGCAAGAAACAATGGATGGAAACCTATTAAGGAGAGCGTTTTGTGACTGGCCATAGACCAGAGAGATTTGAGCTGCATTGCAACACCCTGAATCCTCACCAGATGGCAGTAGAGAGATGGACCTTCCTATATCATGGCTGCCATCTAGTGGGTATCTGGATATTTGTGGGTATTTCCAGGTCTGTTACTTGTATCATATAGACCTCACAAGACAGCCATTCATACATAGGAATCCCCTCATTTAGTATGGTGGCCATAGAGCATTTTCTAAATTTCAGCGGTCCCCCTTAGCCCCAAAAGCTTGCTTGCCATGTGTTCGGGGTCGTTCTTCCTCAACATACATGTGGTCCTACCTGCTCCTGGTAGGATAGTCCTCACATGCAGATCGGATGTGCCCAGTTTAAAGTCTCACCTCCACCTTCTGACCTGATTGTGGGGCTGCCTGGGATTTTAAGTCTGGCTTTAAGCCCTACAGCCTTTTGGGAAACGACACATCGCCTTGGATTTTGCTCTTAAAGCAGAGATGTTTTTTTTCTTGCTTCCTCTTTTAATTAGAGGAGCAGTTAAACGTTCAACTCCCCTTCACTGCATAATCCGTGTTTCTGAGACATCCTTGCTGTTCTAGTTGCAGACCTGGGTGGCTTTTAATTACAGAAGAAGATAATCACAGGTCTTTTAGGGTATTGAATTCTAGCAATGGAACAAATTTGTCCCTGCAAGGTTATAAAATGTGGACAGCCCCATTACCTACCCAAAGATTTATTGACTCTCATGGAGCTACATGGCTTTTTAATTAGTGGGGTTTTTTAAAAAAAATAAAATAAAAATAAAACGTGACAGTGACATTTTAAGCTCTTTGTGTACCGATATAAAGTCATCGTTAATTATTCCAGATTCTCTGACTTCCCACCTCCTACCTCTCTGTCTGTATCTAGGATATATATATATATAATATTATTATTTTGGTGCACTGAGAATTCGACTCTACTTGCCTTAGGGGGAAGCACATGTGGGGGGGGGGCTAATCCTCCTGCACTTCAAAAGTAAGTCTCATGAGTAACCCCCTTGTCTGCCCCGGGTTTCTTCGGAGGAAAGCTCCTTTGAGTTCTGCCTCTTTCAGTTGTCCCGCTTAGCCCAATTCTTAGTGCTAAGGTACCGATTCATTAGATTACAGGATCGATTTGACCCCCCCTTCTGGGTGAAATAATGTCACTTAACAGGCTGGATTTGCAGTGAGCCTCCATCCTCAAAAACTAACCAGGGTTGCCTGTTCCCTGTAGTGTGAATGCTTTTAACTGGCCTGTATCACGTGTGAATGCAGTATGGGTGTTTATATACTAGTTCACTCCAGAAGATGATAGAGGACAGGAAGACCTGGAGGAACGTTGTCCATGGGGTCGCGATGGGTCGGACACGACTTCGCAATTAACAACAACAACATACTAGTTCAGTGATGGCGAACCTTTTAGAGACCGAGAGCCCAAAAACTGGCCCCGCCCCCGCTCCAGCCCCTGCCCTGCTCCGCCTCCACCCCGTCCCCCACCCCACCTGCCCCCAGGGCCACTCACTGCCTTCAGGGCCCACTGCAGATCGCCCAGGCGGCCCAGCAGCGCCATGGCAGCCACGCCCTCTGCGGATGCCCCACAGCATCAATTGTGCAGGATGGGGCATGAGGCCAGAGTCTTGTCTACGCTGCCTGGCTACCATGTCCTTGTCTGCGCTGCTCCGTGTGGGCCACGCTTGGGGGCGACTCTCCTCCAGGGGGGCTACTGGTGAGGAGGGGGTCACGGGAGGAGGTGAGGCTGGGGCAACGGCACGTGTGCCCACAGAGACGGCTCCGAGTGCCGCCTGTAGCACACGTGCCATAGGTTCGCCACCACTGTACTACCGTAATTTCCGGCGTATAAGACGACTCGGCGTATAAGACGACCTCCGACTTCGGAGCCGATTTGCATGCCTAGAAAGTCGTCTTATAAGCCGGAAAATATGGTAGTTGGTTTTATTCAGTTCTGCAGAGCCTTGCACATCCAAAGAACGATCGGAGGCTGCAAGAGGTGGCATTGGACTGCACTGGGCAAAGTCCAGTCCTAACCCAGCAGCCCCCTGCTTTCCCCTCCCCTCCCCTCTTCCCTCCCCTCCCCTCCCCTGCCCTCCCCTCCTCTCTCTCCATGCCTTTTCCATTCCTCTTGCCCTGGTTTTCCATCCCCCCCCCAATCCCCCCCTCTTCCTCTGAGCAAATGCAGCAGTCTAACTTTGCTCCTGCTTCTTCCATCATCCGGGTAAAGGTGGCTTCAGTGCCATCTTTTTATTCCAAATTGTGGAGAACTGCTTGCCCCTTATGCCTGACCGCCCCTCCCCTCCACCCCCAGCTATGAAGAAGAAGCATCAACCCGGATGCTTACAGTCACCAGTGGGGCTGTTGGCACTGCCCAGGGGGGCTTTCAAAGGCCCTGCAGCCCCTCCCTCTTTCTGGAGAGCCCAATCCCCGGATGGCTCTCCAGATCCTGGCAGGGTCCCTGATGCCATTTCTCTCTTTTCCTGCAGCTGGCTCTGAGGGGACCCGCTGGCCCAATGGGACTGACCGGAAGACCAGGCCCCATGGTGAGTAAAGCTCCTTCTTTCGCACAGCGCTAGACACCGTTTCCTGTAACTCTGAGATGAACGAACGCAGAGCAGCTCACCTGCTCATACCTCAGTGGGGAAGCTTTGGGTTCTGGATGGGCTTAGCCTAACTTGGCACAAACTCTTCCTCTGAGAAAAATCAAACCTTGAAGGTCAAGTTGGAAGGGCCCAACCCTCCCTAGGCAGGAACCAGCATTACTTGACACGTAGCCACTAGTCCCTGTTTAAGGGGCCCCAGCCCAGGGGTCTCCCCCCCCCGGGCAGGGTGTCTTCCCTGCAAACAGCCCTGAGTGTTGCTACACCGAAATCGGCTTTGTGGTCATTTAGTTCCCCGTTTCTTCTCCTGTCTCTTGGAAGAACAACAGTTATCATGTGGAGGGCAATTATTCAACCCTTTAGATCAGTGTTTCCCAAACTTGACAATTTTAAGGCATGTGGACTTCAACTCCCAGAATTCCACAGCCAGCATTGCTGGCTGTGGAATTCTGGGAGTTGAAGTCCACATGCCTTAAAATTGTCAAGTTTGGGAAACACTGCTTTAGATACCTGCAGCAGTGATCAGGCCTTCCATTGAAGTCTCCTGTTGACTCTCATTACTCATCAATAGTCATTATTTAGCAGCTTGAATCCTATTGAGTTAATTTCCTTAATGCCTGCTGAGAATAGAACTTAAAAGGCTGGATACAGCGGCCCATCTTTTAGACGGCTTTTTAAACTGAGATGGTGTGGACTAGGCGAGCCTCGGGGTTCCTCCCCACTACATCGAGGGGATTCTTAAATCCGCGTCCGTACGCCTTGGAGGCTTCCCGCTGCTCCTGCCTTGATACAGCTGCTATAGCTCCCTTCGAAAGGGTTTGCCCCGTGGAACGGGCTCCTTGGTGCTTAAGGCCAAGCCTTTTGTCAGCTGCCTGCTTTCTTGGTCTGCCCTCTCCCTGGTCCTTTGTATCTGTTCCCGCTGGGTCCCTTTCTCCCCGTTTTGGATAGGCGAGGGTTGCTTTCCTGGTGTGCCTTGTTAACGGTGTTTCTTTTCACGCAGGGGCCCCCAGGTGGTGGAGGAATCAAAGGTGAATCGGGAGACATGGGACCTCAGGTAGGAGTGATTGGCAAGGCCAGTCTTGGGGGGAAGGTGGGCGGCTCTGCTCCTCCTCCCGAGTCTGCTGGATTTGCCTTCGACGGAGAAGCTGTCTAAAGCCAGGACCAGCCTCGAGGCAAACCCAGCGCTTCCCCAAAGGGGCCCAGGAAACTGTCTCCCACAGACCACAACCCACAATCTCTACCTTTGAGTCATTTGTGTTTTTGTGTGGTTTTATGGATAAGCACCTCCGCTGTCCCTGCCCGTTGATAAAAAGGTGCATGAAATTGCCAGTAGACTTTTCCTGCTCTGAAGGAGCCCCTTCTGCCCCCCCAGGGGGAGTTGGGGGCTTCTCTTGGGAGTGGAGGAGGCGAGGCCAGGCGCAGCGTTCACACCTGTAGGCCTCCTAGCCCAGGAAGGCTTCACTGCCCTCAAGGGAAGGTCCCAGAGATCCTTCTCTTCTTTCAGAGGCATTGTAAGGACCCACCCCACTTTGCATCTTAAGAAGACAGAACTCTTGGAATAGTTCTTCCAACAGGCATCCTTTATTAAGAGAAAATGGTTGCAGGCGTTCTAGACAGGACTTGGGGTCCAAGCTCTCCCATTCAAGGTTTTAAGGGGTTCCCCAGTAGCCCCACCCAATCACCCCCTACTTCCAGCGACAGTCTCAGGCATTACACTCCCACCCCCTTTTCCTTACTGACGGCTGGAGGGAGACTTCAGAGAAAACTACATGAAAGGTAATAGCCTCCTTTGTTATGATTAGGTCTTTTTGGTGCTATCCACATCCAGTTCCTTTGAAGTATACCGAAGGAAGTGAGGGCCATAAAGCCCCTTTGTTCACCCCTTCCCTTCCTTGTATGATAGAATCCAGAGAAGGCAGAAATGGGGTTTTCTATAATTGATAACTAGAGATGAAATATAATTGGATTCTGACAGGCATTTCTCTTTTGTCAGACTGGACCACTTTGGGCCATAGTCCTGTTTGTCTGTTAACTTTCTTGAGACTCTTGAATTTTTGCAGTTAACTTTCTTGAGACTCTTGAATTTTTGCAATCTCCCAGAATAATTGTTCTGGGGAGACACATTAACACAATGTCAAGCCCCCCCCCCACCAGTTGCATGCTGTCAACACATCTAGTAACAGGAGATTCCTGAGCGTCCTTCCCTGCCTCTCCATCCTGTGGTGTCCTTCAGTAGAGCGCCTGGGGTCTAAGTGGAGGTGAGAGTCACTTGGCCTTTCCTCCAAGCCCTCTGGTGCAAAAGAAAAGAGCCAGGCTTTCCCCAAACCTTCAGGTTCTGATTCTCCTTTGGTTCCATTTATTGCAGGGTCCACGAGGGGTGCAGGGCCCTCCGGGTCCATCAGGAAAACCAGGACGACGGGTAGGTAAACTCTGGAACGCTTGGCTAGGCCTGGGCAATCCTGGCACGCTCAAACCTCATTGGTTGTGGCCTAAAGACCCTGGTAGGTCGCCCATGCCCATCGTTGGCAGGGCACCCCAAGGCAGAATGAGAAGCCAGTTTGGCGGGAGCGCCAAAGAAACCACTTCCTTTATTCAAATTTGCTTGTGCTCTGATCAAAGCTCCTTCACAATTCTGAAGTGCTGTTCTCAAAACTGAATGGCAGTTTATTTATTTATTTATTTATGAGACTTATATACTGCTTTAAGTGCAAGCACTCTCTAAGCGGTGTACACCAGTAAGCAATATATATATATATATATATATATATTTACATTGCCCCCAACAATCTGGGTCCCCCGGAAGGGTGGAAGGCTGAGTCAACCTTGAGCCGGTGAGATTTGAACCGCTGACCTGCTGAACACAGTCAGCTCAAGTGGCCTGCAGTACTGCACTCTAACTTAAGATAAACTTAAGTAAATATCAACCTCACCTAAGTGGATGATACCACCTCACTCGCTGGGAAGATTCAGGAATCTCTTCTTGAAGGGGAAAGAAGGAAGCGGAAAACCAGGTTTGATATTAGGAAAACCCCAGTGATTGTGTCATTTGCCAACCCCCAATGTTGAAGTGTGGAGAAGAGACGGAAGCAAACCAGAGGTTGCGGCTGTAGCCATGAAAGAAAGAAGCATCTGCTGCTGGAGGGAAGACTACGGCAATTGGAGATGAACCACTGAAGTGCAGGATATCACAGTGCAAGCAACAAAGGTGTGTGTTGTCAAGGTCTTGTTTTTCCCAGCTGTACATTTGGCTATGAAAACTGCACCATCAGAAAGGCTGAATGAGAGAAACTGGGATGCCAGATTGCTCACTGGGAATATCCAAGCTAAACGTTGGAGGTTTGGAAGGCACCATGCGAAGGAAGAGCCATTCAGGATGACTCAATGCTTAGAAAAATCGAAGGGACTGAAAAAGAGGCCGACAGAAGACAAGCAGAGTGGTCCTATCTCTGACAGCCCAAGCAGGAGCTTAAGAGAACTTCAGTCCTGGGGAAGTGATGTCCGTTGGGTCACAAGGACACACGAGTGACTAAGCAGCTGAACGAGGAAAAGTCTACTTTCAGGGGGAATCTCGCAACAGCTTCAAGAACGGGGGAAGCTTGCAGGGGCATCAAGCTCTCCTGCCCTGTATTTTAGTCTGTCTTGAGAAGGAATACTGTGGACTCTGCAGGTTTGGTTTCAATGCTTTTCAGTTTGGGAAAGTCCAACCTCTGTGGCTGCATCACTTTCTCTCCCTGGTTTATTCTTGTGCAGCAGCGGACGAGAAAAACAGAGAGAGCGAACCGATGCTTCAAAAGAGCCTGGAGGAACAATAGCAGTTTGTGATCAGGTGTATTTGAATTAACAAGCAGCCCTTGCTCCTTTAATTGAAATATTAAGCCAGTTAGCACGTCTTTGATCTCAGCCAAACCCATCTGCATCTTACCATAATCTCTTCCGGGAAGGGCTCTACGTGCTTTTGAACGGCCGCCTCTCCAAATATTTTCAGAGAATAGACTCACTCGGCCTTTCCTCTTTACATCTGCCGATGAAGGCAGGAAGATTTTCATCCATATTCTTGAAATAGTCCTGCAGGATTTCAGAATTCCCTAATTCAGGATCCTGCTTTCGAATGAGTGGCCATAAAGAACAAGGAGTCTCGTGGCATGTTAAGGAAGAGTAGATGAACTGCTGCATACATTTTTGCAGATCAGAAGCCTTTGATCAGAAGTAATATTGTGTATACCCAGAGCTGCTGGGAGGAAGGGGGGGGGGTTGGTGCATAGGAAGAGGGGAGGTGAGGATGGAGCCGTTTCTGCCCCTTCTCTCCAGCCTCCTTTAACTGCGGGAACCAAGAGGAGCATCTAAACCACAAGATCAGAACAATCAAGTCCGTTCCTGCTCAGGGGAACCTTTATAGCTAGATCCGTGACCGCTTACTTAAGATCAGGAGAAGTAATTTGCGCAAATTCATTTTGTGTGCCAACTGTACCCATTGCTAGGCTTGCTCATGGGCACTCATGTCTTAGACCAGTAATGGCGAACCTTTTAGAGAGCAAGTGCCCAAAAAACGGCCCCTCCCCGCCACCCCTGCCCCTGCCCACTCTGCCCCAGCTCCACCCCCACCTGCAGGGCCATCCACCGCCTCTACGGCCTGCCGCAGATCACCCAAGCGGCCCAGCAGTGCTATGGCAGCCACGCCTTCCACCTGCGCCCTGCAGTATCAATTGCGCGTGACAGGGCACAAGGGTGGAGTCATGTCCCTGCTGCCCGGCTGCCATGTCCTTGGCTGCACTGCTCCGCGTGGGCCATGCTCGAGGGCGACTCTCCGGGGGGGTTGCTGGTGAGGAGGAGGCCATGGGGGGAGGCGGGGCTGGGACGATGGTGCGTGTGCCCACAAAGAGGGCTCTGCATGCCCGTGCCGTAAGTTCGCCACCACTGTCTTAGACTCTCACACATACAGATTCACAGAAATTTGGAACTACAAAGAACTAGGCATGGGGCTGCCCTTGAAGAAGCTGCAACTAGTCTGGATTAGAGTGCTATGTGCAGTTTTGCACAGCGCACCTGGGTGGCACCTGTGGTGTATGAGCTGCGCCAGCCTGCTAGTCTGGGAGGAAGGAGACAGGCAGCCTGCAAGAATTCACATCCTCTGATAACTGCAGTGCTCACCGAAAGCCTCTCCCCAAAGATGTTCTGCTCTTGTGGAAGTTGTAGGGTGTATCTAGCCAGACACATGTTCTCCCTGGATGCCAAGTGGTGAGGTTTACAAGGCCCCAAGTAACCAGGGAACTGGATAAGTGACTGCAGTGACCAGCAGGAATGACCTCGAAGAACAGGAGGAGGAGCTGCTACCAAGACGATGGTCAGATAAAAGAAATCCAAGTCCTGGGCAGAAATGTAATCTGAGAGAGCGTCTCAGAAGCTCTCAGGAGCATAAAGGGAGGGGAGGCGCATTCAGAGTTGTAAGATTCTGTTATTGCACCCTTACCATAAGAGTGGTATTAGCATGCGTGACTTTGTTTCCTGGTCTGATCTGCCTACTATTGAATCTTTGCAGAATTTCTTGGACCAGTGCCTGATTAAACTGCAATGTTGGTGCTAGCAGGGAGGGCGTGCAACTGTGGCTTAGGGCAGGTCAGCTCTTGCAAGCCCAAGATCCAAGCCACGGTCCATCCTGATTTGGAACCAGGTGGGGGAAAGCAGGAAGGGGAGGGGTGTGAAAGAGAGCAAACGTTTTTAGACTCTGAAACACCTGTCATACGTCTGCCCGTTCTGTTCAGAATGGCCCACGCTTTTAAAGGAAAACGTGCAGCGAACGTGCAGTGATTTAGTCAGAATAGAGCTGGAAGTGGACCTTGGAGGTCTTCTAGTCCAGCCCCCTGCTCAAGCAGGAGACCCTATATCATTTCAGACAAGCGGCTGTCCAGTCTCTTCTTAAAAACCTCGAGTGATGGAGCACCCACAACATCTGAAGGCAACTTCTGTTCCACAGGTTAATTAACAAGATGAACGGGACAAGGTTGGGAGGGGCACTCCCCCCCCCCCGACCAAAAAAAGACATGCCTTAACTTGGGCACAAACTGCTTCAGCCAAAAAAGCTAATACAATCCTTAGTTGTATAAACAAAGGCACAGAATCAAAATCATGTGAAGTATTAGAACCACTTTATAAAACCTTAGTTAACACCGCACCTGGAATATTGCGTCCAGTTTTGGTCACCACATTACAAAAAAGATGTTGAGAAAAGAGCAACTGAGAGGATTAAAGGCCTGGAGGCTAAAACATATATGAAGAACGGTTGCAGGCCGAAAAGCTTTAATATGGGAACCAACGTGGCATAGAAAGAAAGCTAGAGTCAGGTTTAAACGTGACTTAAAATGTTACTTGATGGGTTAAAAAGGCTTTAGAGATTTTCTCTGATTTAATATGAAGGATGTGGATTTATTGTTATTATAGTTGATAAGTATTTGAGAGAATAAACCTTTTCAAGGGGTAAAAAGACTTTATAGATGTAGACTGATGAAATGATAGAATATATTTTTAAAAACAGAAATGTATTTTTGGGACTTACATTATTATTATAAATATGATAATTATGTTGTAATAGATAGAGAGAGTTTGTTTAATTTAATTATGAATGAAAGATGGGAATTTCCTAATATTATAGTTGATAAGTATTTGAAGGTGTAAAATTTATCAAGGGCTTAAAATGATTTTTTGTACATATAGATTGATGAAATGATAGAATATATATTTAAAAATAGAACTGTATCTGTTGGACTTATATTATTATTTTAAATATGATAACTATGTTGTAATAGAGAGAGAGAGAGGAAGAGCTATTTGTGATAGGGAAAAAATCAGTCTCAATGAATGACCTATTATTAAGGATACCTGAAATCCCAACTATATGTTTACTAAAACGTAATTGGAATATGACAACTGTAATTAGTAAAGCTTAAAAACAGGATATAGATTATTATAATCGCATGTGATTGATGATTTCTGTTTGATCGAACTTTACCTAAAACTGTATTAATTTTAATAAGCAATATTATATTTAGGAAACAGAGAGGAAATTTTTGATAATTAATTTGAGCTATACTTATATGACTTTTGTCTTTGAATGACTTGACACCCTGACCACCACGTTGCATCCTAAGCTGGAAAAAAATGGAAAAAAACCAATAAAACTTTTTATTAAAAAAAAAAAAAGAACGGTTGCAGGATTTGGGAATGGCTGGTCTAGAGAAAAGGACTAGGGGCGACATGAGGGACTGCCACAAGAAGGAGGGGGTCACCTTATTCTCCAAAGCACCAGAAGGCAAGACCAGAAACAATGGATGGAAACTAATCAAGGAGAGAAACAACCTGGAATTAAGGAGAAACTTCCTTAACAGCGAGGATAATCAACCAGTGGAACAGAAGTTGCCTTCAGATGTTGTGGATGGTCCATCCCTGGAGGTTTTAATAAAGAGACTGGACAGCAATATGGGAGAGATGGTATAGGGTCTCCTGCTTGAGCCAGGGTTGGACTAGAAGACCTCCAAGGTCCCTTCTAGCTCTATTCTGATTGAATACGTACCGTAGGGGAAGAAGGGAAGAGGTAGATGATGGGGTGAATGGGTTGTCTGATGACTTAGCCTCAGCTCCAGAGCAAATTTTGTTGCCCCTTGGTCTGGTTTGGCTCCTTGATTTCCTTTTTCTCCTCCCCTTTTAGGGACGGGCTGGCAGCGATGGTGCTCGAGGGATGCCAGGCCAAACGGGGCCGAAGGTAAGTGGGCCAAACCATTCCGTCTCGCGCCCCTGCCGGTCATTCCCCATTCCAGATGTTCTTTGCAGGAAATCTGCAGCATCCAGGGAGGGATGCCACACTGAACGGCAGACCCAATTGCCCTTTACAGAACCGCCTTCTTTCTGTGGCCTCACTCGGCTTTCATCAAAAGAGACAAGCAGTCATGCCCAATCTGAATGCAGGGATGTGTGCCTGGAAGTCGTATATTAGCAGGTTTAAGTGGCTGATTATGTAGGTACTTAACGTGGAAAGAGAGGCGGGGAGGGAATTGTTAAAGAGAAGGAGGATTGCAAATCACTTTTGCTTCTTCTCCAAGTCTCCGGGTCTCCCGAAGCCGGAGCTTCTAGGAGGAGGGAGGAGGGAGAGAGCTGGCAGGAGGATAATTTATGGCTAGAGAGGCGAGAACTAATTCCAACACCAGGCGAGGATGTGCAAGGATGCTCCGGGACTTAAGAGAATCCCCATCCATCAGCTTTCTCCTCATCGATCCTACAAGGACAGCTTAAACTGCTTTCTGAAAGGTCCAGGCAATCCATTCTCCCAAGCCTCCCCCTCCTTGTGAGCAACACCGGTGCAATCGCATGTGGAGAGAACCGTCGCTAAAGGCAGGCAACACTCGGTCAGAGCAGAAGGAGCAGCATTCTGAAGAAAGGGCTGGGATGGGGAGAAATGCAAGTGGAGAGTCTGCAGGAATAAAGAATATCATTAACAAAGATAAAGTTTACACTTGCCCACCTCTCATCCCTATCAAACCCATGAACGCAGCATAAGGGGAGTGCCCAGGCCGCACCCCTATAAGCAACCATTATCTATATTACACTTACCCCCCCAAGTGTAGAGAGGAAGTAGGGTAGTGAGAGAAGGGGAGGGGAAGAGAGTAGGATGGGAGTTGAGAAAGAGGAGGGAAGTAGGGAATGTTTTAAGAGGGTGGACGCGGCCTGGGGGGAGTGCGCAGGTCGTAATAATGTTTATTTTATCTTAAAATTGTATTGTATATATATATATATATATTACAATGTTTATATGGAAAAAATAAAAAACTTTCAATTAAAAAAAAGATAAAGTTTAAAAATAGAGGTTGGAAAAGCATCTGCTAGAGGAGGGGATGTGCAAAAGAACTATAGTTTAGGAGCGATGAGGAATGAAAGGCAGCGTGGAGTTCTACAAATTTTAAAGAACTGCATAAAAAAAAAAAACTTGAATCCCTTCCTCTTCCTCCTTCACCTCAGTGATCTTCTCTCTTCCACTGCCAAGGCAAGGCAGTGGGGAGGATGGGGGGGGAGGTAAAAGTGTGAGGCTGCCTGGTGCTTTGGGCCCTATCCTGGGGTGGGAAACAAGTCCCACCTAGCAGGAATAGTCAGGGAGGGGAGGGGAGGGGAGGTGGGATCCCCCCAGCAAGTCCTGGCTGCCTAAAATCAGATGCAGCCTGCAACTGGAGACCCCGGGGTCTCCCGAGACCTCCAAGCCCTTCCCAAAATTGCCGTTTTTAAGGCGATTCTTTGGGAAGTCATCCTATTAATTTAAATTTCACTGCAATTAAACAAAACCTAATCAAGCTTTTGCCCATCTCTTTGTTTTGGCTCACCTCCTTAGCCATGGCGGGTGTCTCTGATGCCAAATTGGCTTAAAAAGGCTGCACTGGTCTTTTTTTTCCTGTTCTGAGTCAGAGCGCAAAAGCCTGAAACAGGGAACTGGGCATAAAATGTCCTCTGGGGGGAGAATGGAGACCTTGTTATTGCAAGTGAATGGAGGGGGTGTTCCAAGTCTCTCCAAGGGCCCCCCTCTTCTACCCTCCTTTAGCCAACACTCCCCTTCTCTTTCCCTTTCTCTTTCCCTCCCCTTCTCTCTCTTCCCCTCCCCTTCTTCCTCTTCCTCTTCCTTTCCTTTCCTTTCCTTCTTTTCTTTCCCTTTTTCCTTTCTCCTTTCCTTTTCTTTCCCTTCCTCCTCTTTCTCCTTTCCTTTCCTTTCCTTTCCTTCTTTTCTTTCCCTTTCTCCTTTCTCCTTTCCTTTTCTTTCCCTTCCTCCTCTTTCTCCTTTTCTTTCCTGTCCTTTCCTTCTTTTCTTTCCCTTTCTCCTCTTTCTCCTTTCCTTTCCTTTCCTCTCCACTCCTTTCCTTTCCTTTTTCCTTCCTCTTCCCTCCCCCTCCCTTCCCCTTCTTTTCTTTTCCTTTTCCCTTCCCCTCTTCCCTTCCTCCTCTCTTTGCACTTCCTCCAGGCAGGGTGCTCCACGCTTGGCCCTCTGAGACAGGAGGCGGGAGCAGTCCAGGCCCTCGCAGTGTTACCGCTTAGCCAGAGGAAGGAATGGGGAAAGAGTCAGGAGAGGACACACCACCAGGCCAGGGCTGATGTTCCCAAGGAGGCTTTCGCAGTTGAAGGCTGAGCAGGCACAGGAGCTCCTGAAACCCAGGATTTGCCTGAGTGGACACGAGCCCCAGTCGGCCCAGATTCCCGGGCTTAGGCCACCTGAGCCCACTCCCTTCTGTCCAGCAGACCCAAATCTCCCCACGCCGGACCCTCCTCAAGTCTCTCTCAATTCTCCTGCAGGGGGACCGCGGTTTTGATGGCCTGGCTGGGATCCCTGGAGAAAAGGGCAACAGGGTGAGTCCCAGCTACATTTCTGCGTTGTTCTGCTTTCCAAAGGTTGCGAAGGAGGAGATGGCCTCTGCTGGCTTTTTTTTTTTGTGGCAAGCCATTGATTTGGACCGACCAATTTCTCCGAGGACCAGCACCTTCTCATCTTTCCCCGTTGTCTGGAAGCATCTGTGGGCTTCCGTGTCAGGCTGTGTCGTTTGGGACTCAGCCAAGGAATTTTGCCTGCCTCAGTTACGGATGAGGAGAGTCACCCGGGATGTTTCTCAACCAGGGAAGAGAGGGAGGGAGGACTGTTTTATTACCAAATCCCACGTTTTTCTTAATTTTCAGCCATTACTACAGAATCTTATGTGCGCTATAAAAAAAATGGGGGATTTTAAAACATTGAAGACAGACGTTACTGGTGAAATGAGCGTCCGGGATCAATCCTGAAATCTCCAGTGCAGCTGTGCGTTGCAGTGGAAGATTTTAATGACATGCTTGTTCAGGAATTGATGTTTTTCTCAAACACTGCTTGAAAACTTCATCAATGACACATCCAGGCCAACCTGGGGGAGGACGTCAGGGAGAAAACGGAAAGTGATGTGCAAATAATGGTCTTACAAATAATTCCCAGTGTTTTGAAGCATCCGGGCCCAGCAGGACGGCTGGTTCCAGGCCCAAAACCCTCTCAGGAGGCAGCTGGGTCTGTGGGCATTGTTCTTTTTGAGCCCCCCCCCATGGACAATAGATTGGGCAGCTCCTCACTGCTCCCCAGTAAAAATGCCCATTTGGGGTGTCACATTAATCTTCTTTCTTACCTGCTGTTACCTCAGAGATCTTTACATTGGCACTTGATCACCTTGGTGACCGCCTTCCCTCTGGATCCCTGTTTTCTTCATTCCTCGCAGCATCGCTCTCTTTTTTTTAAAATTTATTTAAATTTTCAATACATATAATCCCCCCCACCCCTCCCTCCAACCCCCCCCCCCACTTCCCAGAGCAAAATACAGGGTTATTATAAACAAAACAAACACAATCTATAACTTTTAAAACAAAAAAAAATTCTATACAATAAACAAATTCATACATTACCCTTAACTCTCTCTAAACTTAAAATAATAATAATAATAATAATAATAATAACATAAACAAATCTAATATAAATGAAATATTATAAAAATCTATAAGTAGTAATTATAACCTCAAGAAAAAATTAATCATAAAATAAATGGAACTTTAAAGTTCCATATTTATTCTGAATATAATCTATCCACCTTCTCCACACTATAATAAATTTTTCTTGTGTACGGTCCTTTAAATAAGCAGAAATTTTTGCCATTTCCGCTAAAGTAGAAACCTTCAGTGTCCATTCTTCTAAGGTAGGCACAGCGAATCCTTCTTCCAGTATAAACCTACAAGTAGTCTTGCTGCAGTTATTAAATTCAACATTAAAATAGTTTCATTAACATCTAAATCCATAAAAATACCCAATAAAAATAGTTGAGGAGTAAACTTTATCTTCTTTTTAAAAATCTTTTGAATGTTCCACCAAATCATTATCCAGAAAGCTTTAACCTTCTTACAACAGCAACAACAACAACAACAGCAACAGCAACAGCAGCATCGCTCTTTTTATTTTACTTCACATTTGACTCTGTCTGGCAACTGTCTCAGGAGGTTTGGCTTCCAGGCCAAGGGGTGCCAGCCAGGGACGGGCGGGGGGCTGGAGCTGTAGGAGGAGCACGGGTGGCTGGACTGGGTAGGGGTAGTAGGCCTGGCGTCTGGGGAGAGGGATTTGCCTCGTCCTTCACCCACACATCCAGTGTGACCTGTAGAAGGGTGCCCACACACAAGGCCTTCCAAGAAGATCTATAGCAGTGGTTCTCCACCTGTGGGTCGGGACCTCATTTGGGGTCGAACGACCATTTCACAGGGGTCGCCAAACAACGCAGTCCGCCATTTTTTCCCCCTTTTCCTTAGCTGTGCTACTCCCTTTTATTCTATTGGCTTTTGAAAGCCCATAGAATAGACTCTCCTGAATAGAGTCTAATTCTATTGGCTTTCAAAAACCAATAGGAATTGTCCAGGCTGTCTCTGCCCTGCTGAGCCCGCCAAAAGTCCCATTCTGCAAACGGTGCTGCACCAGTTGAGTAGTCCTCGACTTACGACCGGTTGAGTAGTCCTTGACTTACGATCGGTTGGGGGGTCGCGGCATTAAAAAGGCTGAGAACCACTGCTCTATAGGAACAGGCCATGGACCTGCCTCCCCTGCACAACATCTCCTAATGCATAGTGATGGAAGACTCTGCCAAGCCAAACACTCAGCCTTGGACACTTGAAGATTTTGGGGGGCGGGAGGAGGCATTAAAAACATGGCTGATGCTGCCCTTTTTTTTCCTTCAGGGTGATCCTGGCCCCTCGGGCCCCCCAGGCGCCCCAGGTGAAGATGGTGACAGGGTGAGTTCTGGCAAGTGTTCTTTTGAATCTTAAGTGATGTGGGATCTGTTGATCATTCACTGAGCTTCCCTGCGGGAAGGAAGCTGCTGCGAATCAATCTCTGCCACAATCCAGCCACACGGACACCCAGTTATGCCTCCAGAGGCGAAACAAAGAGTGGTGGGATATAGGATCCCACCCTATATACCTAGCACATATAAATATAGGAAGGCTTATAGAGAAAGGATTCCTGTAAATCCTTCAGCTGGTGACTCGATCCATCCCTGACTGTCCTCCCTGGGTCAAATGTAGTCACCCAACTTTCCTCTTTTTTTAAGCCATTCAGCCAAGATCAGTGAGACCGCAATTACAGCCGTCTTGTTCCAGCCTTTGGAGTCCTCCTCTTCAGAACAGAACAGAATAACAGAGTTGGAAGGGACCTTGGAGGTCATCAAGCCCAACCCCCTGCTCAAGCAGGATACCCCATACCATTTCAGGAAAATGGTTGTCCAGTCTGTTTTTGAAAGCCTCCAGTGATGGAGCACCCACGACTTCAGGAGGCAGGTTGTTCCACGGGTTGGTTGTTCTCAGCCTTAGGATGTTTCTCCTTAGTTCTAGGTTGCTTCTCTCCTTGATTAGTTTCCATCCATTATTTCTTCTCCTGCCTTCTAGTGAAGGAAGCTGCTTTGCTTCCCCTCCCCGAGTGGTTTGCCACATTTATTTACTTATTTATTTATGAGACTTATCTACTGCTTTAAGTGCAAGCACTCTCTAAGCGGTGTACACCAGTAAGCAATGTATATATATATATATATATATTTACATTGCCCCCAACAATCTGGGTCCTCATTTTACCTACCCCGGAAGGATGGAAGGCTGAGTCAACCTTGAGCCGGTGAGATTTGAACCGCTGACCTGCTGAACACAGTCAGCTAAAGTGGCCTGTAGGACTGCACTCTAACTGCTGCGCCACATCCTATTATTGCTTAACAAGAGGGGCCTGACTAGGGTCTGGCTCTTACTCCCCCCTTTTTTCTCTTGCCAAACAGGGTGACGATGGAGAAGTTGGACCCAGAGGTCTCCCCGGTGAACCTGTAAGTTTCTGGAAAATGGCGGCAATTCTTTCCTTTGAACAATGGGGGGAGGGGGCTGCTTCCCAAGCAATATTTGGCAGGCGTTTAAGGCACACATCCAAGAGCAGAATATATGAACTGGACCATGGGAGGGTGGCTGGGAATCAGCTGAGGTAACCAGAGGTCCCTACAGGAGTTCCAGGTGTACAAACGGTCCAGGCGATGTTGTTTTTCAACTGCTTCTGCCACGGACTCTCCTGAGACGTTTCCCTGAAGGTGAATGTAGGACTTTTGTCTCTTGTAGCCTTAAACATGGCCAGAATAGGTGTTCTCCCCACTCCAGAATTTAAAATGCACATTTTGAGGTTCAGATTCAAATTCAGGGACAGCAGAAGATGGTGATGCAGCCAGAGCTGTGAGCGTGTTACTCTAAAATGCCTTCATTTGGAAGATTGTCTCCCAGAAAAGGCCTGGGTGCTCAAGGTCCCAGCAGTGGGAAGACTGTCGAGCAGAGCCCGCCCGGAGCCTCAGGGCTGTAGACAGAGGCAGAAGGAAAGGAGACCTGCAAAGGTCAAGGTCAACCCCTTCACTGTGTGGCCAGGAGAATCGCACAGAGGCCAGCAGGTCAGGTTTGATGGAAGGACCCACCCCACTTTGCATCTTAAGAAGACAGAACTCTTGGAATAATTCTTCCAACAGGCATCCTTTATTAAGAGAAAATGGTTGCAGGCGTTCTAGACAGGACTTGGGGTCCAAGCTCTCTCATTCAAGGTTTTAAGGGGTTCCCCAGCAGCCCCACCCAATCACCCCCTTCTTCCAGCGACAGTCTCAGGCATTACACTCCCACCCCCTTTTCCTTACTGCCGGCTGGATGGAGACTTCAGAGAAAACTACATGAAAGGTAATAGCCCCATTGTTATGGTTAGTTCTTTTGGCGATACACACATCCAGTTGCTTTGAAATGTACCGAAGGAAGTGAGGGCCATAAAGCCCCTTTGTTCATCCCCTTCCCTTCCTTGTATGACAGAATCCAGAGAAGGCAGAAATGGGGTTTTCTATAGTTGATAACTAGAGATGAAATATAATTGGATTCTGACAGGAGAGTTTATTCCCTGGGCTGGTGGCAAATCCTCCCTGCCAAAGCATTCCGGCTGATGATCCCAACAGAGCATACCTGAGACATTCCGATCTCTAATGCAAGGCTTTATTGAGCATAGCATACCGGCACTAATGAATCGAAAGTCAGCTCTGATTAAATTGGCGTGAAAGCAGCATATTAAAAGTATAGCAACTCCCTTTCCCCCCTGATAGTGCAGGTCACATTACCCAACTAAACTCCAGACAATTATTATGAGAATCTTCTGTTTCCAAAACAAACTCGAGGGTGACCTTGCAGTTCCACGGGTCAACCCACATTCCATTCTTGCCCACTCCCCTCCCTGGTTCTGTAGTGTGGGCAATCCAAAGAAGAAAAAAATAAATATCTGAAGCAATATGAATTTTTTCTGAGCTTGACACTAAGTTCCATACGATTATAGGGAAATTGACCCACAAATGCAAGAAAGGAAAGTCTCTCTTTGGAATTTGGAAACAGCTTCTTTGTGCTTCCCTGTGTAATTACTGGTAATGTTTACATAACGCTTGGAAATGTTTCAAGCCCTTCCCTTGGGCCAGCTATGTCGACCAGGCTCCTTTGGTCATCTTGGCCACGAGGCAGGTGGATGGATGTTATGGCCAAAAGACCTGGCTAGTTCCAAAGGCCGCATGTCTGGGGGGGCTTCAGGAGTTCTTTACAGCTGGAGTTACCTCCCCCTCTTTCACACCCGTACACAGACCTCCATTTCTTCCTAGCTCTTAAGAGAACTTGACAAGATGGAAATCAAGGCTACTGTTGTAATCACAAGAGTATCCGTCCAGCAGCTTTCGTCAGGGATTTGCAGAGAATAGCACTGACTTGTCTTGTTCAGATCCTTCCAGTTAGCATCAGCCTTCCTTTTTTTCCCAACCTGCTTCTCCACAATGAAATCAAAGCTGTTGATAGCTCTGAAACCACCAGGTGCAACTGGAATTGTTTGGCTTCTGACAGATGGAGAGAGAAGGGGGGGGATGGGGGCAGGAGCAGCACGGTAATCTCTGCCTGGCTGCAGCCGGATTTGCTCGTTGCCCTTCTGCGCTTCTGAGTTGGCCACTCTTCCAGTTCCAGGCACTCCGATGTGGATGAAGCTAAACTGGGTTTGTGTAGTTAGTGGTGGGCACTCAGCCGTACATTGAGACAGAATTTGGCATTTGAGCAGAGCATATGATCTGAAGATGCGATGCGTGTGTGCGCGCACATGTGAACACAGAGAGTTAGGACCACCTTGGGACATGAAGTTGAATGCCACTTTGGGGTGCTCTGTGTGTCTTTTATTTGCTCTGCTTTCCCGTCTTTTGTGCTTTGGGAATTTTCAATGTGAAATGAGCCTTTTGCAAAGGAGAGCAGTTGTATCCCAGCGGCTGCTCTGACTGAGAAGGAGAAGGGAGGCTACCGATTGGCTACAGAAGTTGTCACTCATCTTTTCTGGCTGAGAGAGCAGCCCTTTCCTCCGCTTCTGCCAGTTTATTTATTTATGAGACTTATATACCGCTTTAAGTGCAAGCACTCTCTAAGCGGTGTACACCAGTAAGCAATGTATTTACATTGCCCCCAACAATCTGGGTCCTCATTTGATCTACCCCGGAAGGATGGAAGGCTGAGTCAACCTTGAGCCGGTGAGATTTGAACCGCTGACCTGCTGAACACAGTCAGCTAAAGTGGCCTGCAGTACTGCACCCTAACTGCTGCGCCACCTCGGCTCTTCCTCCTCTCCTTCCTCCCTCTCTTCCCTCCTTCCTTCCTTCCTTCCTTCCCTCCCTCCTTCCTTCCTTCCTCCCTCTCTCCCTCCTTCCTTTCTTCCTCCCCTCCTTCTTCCCTCCTTCCTTTCTTCCTCTCCTCCCTCCTCCCCTCCTCCCTCCCTCCCCTCCCTCCTCCCTCCCTTCCTCCCTTTTATTTTTATTTATTTTATTTTATGAGACTTATATACCGCTTTAAGGGCAAGCACTCTCTAAGCGGTGTACACCAGTAAGCAATGTATATATATATATATATTTACATTGCCCCCAACAATCTAGGTCCTCATTTTACCTACCCCGGAAGGATGGAAGGCTGAGTCCACCTTGAGCCGGTGAGATTTGAACCGCTGACCTGCTGAACACAGTCAGCTAAAGTGGCCTGCAGTACTGCACCCTAACTGCTGCGCCACCTCGGCTCATTTCCCCGGGGTTTTGTTTCCTCTGCCCATAAGACCGTCTGAGCATCTGCACAGAATTCTCCCCAGGGATGATGAGGCCCTTGGTGCTCTCTGAGCTTGGCGGTTTGCCTGCCGATGTTTCTGAAGATGTTACCCTGTTGGATCATGAAATGTCGGCCATCAGTTCACCGAGCTCAGAGAGCACCAAGGACTCCCAGATGCAAACCTGAGTTAATGTTCCTTCTATTCAAGATGACGAAGTTCCTTGAATTGAGTGGCTGGGGAGAGGACCCATGGAGGCAGCTCCTCCAAACTGGTTCTTCTGCAACTGAGAGCCAATTGGCACTAAGTGCACCTCTTCTCGGGTGGATTGGCAAGAGCCTCTGCTAAGAACATTGAGATTGGCATGGTCGAAGTTTGTTGGCCCAGCAGATCTTCTCACATCGGTGGGTTTCAGAAGGCTTCCAGCCAGTAGAAGAGATTGTCCAATCTGCTGTCACTAGAGGTCTTTCTCCATCAGTGCAGATGTTATAACAGGGTTGGGAGGGACCTCAGAGGTCTTCTAGTCTTGCCTTGCCAAGGCAGGAGACATTATACTATCCTGGACAAATGGTTTTGTCCAATCTTTTCTTGAAAAACCTCCAGTGAAGGAACACATAATGTATACTAGGATCTTTTCACTCGGGGTATCAGCTCCACAAAATGCCTTTGTGCTGCTCAGCTTCAGACAATAAGGTTGAAATTACGGTCCTTTTTGGTCAAGTATATTTTTGTCCGCATATTGTTCAGAATGCTGAATGGACTGCTGGTTGCCAAAGAACTGTCAGTGTTTTATTTTTGTATTTTTCAGTTGATGCTCAACTCAAGCTTTGCTGATCTGTGAAACGGTTGTTTCAGCTGCTGAAAAGGCAGGCAGCTGTTCTGTCCCCTGAGGGCTGGAGAGGCTGCTTAAGCCCCCCTCAGCCTCCGGGCCTGGCAGGTTCTGAGGAGTTCTAAGCCAGGGAGCCCAGAAAGAAGCCTTCCCCCCTCCCCCCTCTCTCTCCCTCCCTCTCTCTCTCCCTCCCTCTCTCTCTCCCTCCCTCTCTCTCCCTCTCCCTCTCTCCTTCCCTCACTCCCTCTCCCTCCCTCTCTCCCTCTCTCTCTCTCCCTCCCCCCTCTCCCTCCCTCCCTCCCTCTCTCTCTCCCTCCCTCTCTCTCCCTCCCTCTCTCCCTCTCTCTCTCCCTCCCCCCTCTCTCTCTCCCTCTCTCTCCCTCCCTCTCTCTCTCCCTCCCCCCTCTCCCTCCCTCCCTCTCTCTCCTCTCTCTCCCTCTCTCTCCTCCTCTCTCCCTCTCTCTCCCCCTCCCTCCCTCCCTCTCTCTCCTCTCTCCTCCCCCCCCTCTCTCTCTCTCTCTCTCCCCCCCTCTCTCTCCCCCTCCCTCTCCCTCCCCCCTCTCCCTCTCTCTCTCTCTCTCCCCCTCTCTCTCTCTCTCTCCTCTCTCTCCTTCCCTCTCTCCTCTCCCTCTCTCTCTCCCTCCCCACTCTCCCTCTCTCTCTCTCCCTCCCTCTCTCTCTCTCTCTCCTTCCCTCTCTCTCTCCCTCCCTCTCTCTCTCCCTCCCCACTCTCCCTCCCCCCCCTCTTTCTCTCTCTCTCACACACACTGAGTACTTGCTGCAATGAGTGGTAAAGTCCCCGCAGAGCCCAGGAGCTCCAAGAAGGACCGATGCCACCCAGGAGGCAGGAAAGCCAGTGTGGTCTAGTGGTGAAGGTACCAGGCTAGCTGGCCAGATCCTGGTGCTCCCAGGACAAGGTCAGCTCGTGGAGCAACGTTCACCCTCAACACGGTCCCCTGTCTTTTCCAGCACAGAGTTGATAGTGCAGCACAGGATGAATTGTCTCTGCTCCTCGTGGGCACTTTCATATTAAACTTGCTTCTTCTCACAGGGCCCCCGTGGTTTGCTTGGACCGAAGGGACCTCCGGGGCCACCAGGACCTCCGGTGAGTAGAAAGAAATGTTTTGGCAGGAAGCCGGGACGCCTCTCTCTCTGCCACCCGGGACGCCCCCGTCCTTCGACTCTCGCTTCATTGCAGTGGCAAAAAAAACTTCACTTGCTTTGCTTTCGTTGCCGGTATTTGGCATGGCCATATTTTTCCACCTGCCGATCGGAAGCAGAGTTTGCAGGGCCGATTGGAGGAAAGATGCAGGCCAGCTTGGGGTGCTAATTGTGACTCACGTTGTGCCTCTTCCTTCCTTTTGTTAATCTTCCCACCAGGGCATTACTGGGATGGATGGACAGACTGGCCCTAAGGGGAATGTGGTAAGTGTCTGCCCACCACGGGTGATCGTACTTGTGCGGCATAAACTAAATCCACTAATTACTTTTCCAGACCGTCTTCATTTCAAAGCTGGTGGACATTGCTTTCCTAAATCAATTTACCTTTTAAATTGATTTTCATGGGTTGCCTGTTGCGTTTTTTGAATAAAGAAATCACGGGCGTAATCAGTGGTCATCACAACATTCCAGCGTCGAGGGCTGTGTGTGCCTCTCTGTGTCTCACGAGGCACTTAGGCACATAATTAGTTGCACGCAGAGCTTGCTCTGGAAGCCAAAAGGAGGGAAGGATCTGGAGACGGTGCTCTTTGGTCCTTGAAGGACCGTCCCAAGGAGGAGGGGTGGGTTATTCTCCAGGGTGCCCCAAGGCAGGACAAGAACCTTCTGGGGGGGAGCCTTGCTGAGGGGAGACCTCAACTCAAAAGCAGGAGGCTGGTCCCGCGGTCTACATCCTCTCTGTTGCTTTCATTTCTCTCTTCTGTCTTTTCTCTTGCAGACCCAGAGCCCCTCCTCATGGGCTCTCGTTTCCAGACCCCTCATCGTCCCTTCTGGGAACTTACTCCAGTTTCATAGAATCCTAGAACCCTAGGGATGGAAGGGAGGTCTCCTAGTGAAACCCCAAGGGCCCAAGGCAGGAGTCCTTATGCCATCCTGGACAAATGGGTGTCCAATCTTTCCTTGAAAACCTCCAGCGATGGAGCACCCACGACTCTGGGAGGCAAGCCGTCCCCTTGATTCATTTGGTGGAGTCCATTTTGAACTGTGGTGCCCCGAACCCTAAAGGGGTGGGGGCTGACTGGGGCAGAAGTGAAGGGACAATTAGTTCCGAGGGGTCCTGGGCGCTCTCTGAGCTGGGCTGCTTTCTTGCAGACGTTTCGTTACCTAAACTCGGGAACGTCATCCGTGCTAGCAAGGAGTGAGATCTGCTCTCCTGTTAAGTCCCAGCGTCTTGCCCTGTCGGTGGGCGTGGGGTGGGGGTCTTAGAGGCCCTTGGGTTGGGCTGTTTACGGTTAGCTTGTTTGGCAGTTCCTTGGTTAGTGTAAGGACCCACCTCACTTTACATCTTAAGAAGGCAGAACTCTTGGAATATCTTTTCCAACAGGCATCTTTATTAAGAGAAGATGGTTGCCTGTTGGAAAAGATATTCCAAGAGTTCTGTCTTCTTAAGATGTAAAGTGAGGTGGGTCCTTACATTAGACAGGATCTGAGAAATTCTCCCATCCTTCAATGTTTTAAGCGTTCCCAAGCAGCCCCCCACCCCACAGTTCTTCTGGGCGACGATCCTTGTTTCCCTCCTTTTTCCTTACTGCTGGCAAAAGGGAGACTTCAGAGAGGAGTAGATGAAAGGCGATGGCCATATTGTTATGGTCAGTCCTCTTGGTGAGAATCAACATCCAGTCCTTTTGAAGTTTTAATGAAGGAAGTGAGAGCCATAAAACCTCCCTGCTCATCCCCCTTCCCCTTCGTAGTATGACAGAATCCCGAGAGAGCAGAAATGGGTTTTTCCCAGAGTAGATAACGAGAAATGGAATATAATTGGATTCTGACAGTTAGGGTACTGTTTATTTCTTGAATGTTGGTCAGTTCTCCTAATCTGGGCTGGCCCTCAAGAGATCCCTTTTCCTTGAAGACGTTGCTCCCTCTTCTGGCTCACATGTCCCATGTGGTAGAGGGAGGAGATCCAGGCCCTCTTCGCATCCCACTGCCAGGACCCAGATCCTGTCCATGGGTCCTTTATTTTTTTCCCACCTAAATCCGCAACTTTAAATTTTCTCCCTGTTAAAGTTCCCTGCTACTCATTTCGGCTGAAGCCCGTCCTGGTCTTTCCGAATCTCCTCTTTCTCCTTTAGTTACCCCTGCTCGTTTTGTGTCCTCTACATCTCCACCCCAAAGGAAGAGCAGGAGTCCTTCCCTTTCAGCCCACCTTCACTTAGGACACTGTTCCTCAACCTTGACACCTTTAAGGCATGTGGACTTCAACTCCCAGAATTCCACAGCCAGCATTGCTGGCTGTGGAATTCTGGGAGTTGAAGTCCACATGTCTTAAAGGTGTCAAGGTTGAGAAACACTGATTTAGCAGAAAGGTTGTTTCTTTCCTACAAGGAAGGAAATTCTGTGCTTGAAGAGGGACAGCTTTCTGTGCCGAGGTGACCAATCGTGGGGAAAGGGGCAGCCTAGCTTGTGGGTGATCAGCGTCTCGCACAGCTCTGTGCAGCTGTTCAGTTTCTGAACTCAGAGCTATGTCAGAAGCAGCCTCAGGTTTGGAGTCTGCTATTTCACCTTGCTCAGAAACGAGAAAATATTTGGGCTGCAGGATACCTGACCTGAAATTTTAGTGCTTTATGAGGTTTTTTTTTTTCAGCCATAAAAAGCATTATTAGCATCCCAAAAGGACAAAACCAGGTAAAATGCGATGCTTCAGGATGATTTTCATTAGCATGTTAGAGGTTTTCTAAATAATCTTGGTAAGCAATAGTAAGTTACTATTACAGCAGTAATAGTGACTTACTAAGTAATACTGCTAGGAGTCATATTCCTGGCAACGACAGTAGCAAGTTTTCGTTGTTATTTTATACAGCATCACTGATAAAAAAAGTATAATCGGTTATAACACGAGGCCTCCAGTAGGTTTCTCCTTTTATTTATTTATTTATGAGACTTGTATACCGCTTTAAGTGCAAGCACTCTCTAAGCGGTGTACACCAGTAAGCAATGTATGTATATATTTACATTGCCCCCAACAATCTGGGTCTTCATTTTACCTACCCCGGAAGGATGGAAGGCTGAGTCAACCTTGAGCCGGTGAGATTTGAACCGCTGACCTGCTGAACACAGTCTGCTAAAGTGGCCTGCAGTACTGCACTCTAACTGCTGCGCCACCTCGGCTCTTTTAGCTTCTCTCAGATGAAATCCAGCCAGCCATGCTGAGTATGCTCTTTATGCTTTCTTTCACAGGGCCCTCAAGGTGAGCCTGGACCCCCAGGTCAACAGGGAAGTCCAGGCGCTCAGGTGAGAAGGCGCAGTTCCGTTAGGTGGGGCTGGGGATCCGTTGCCCCTTTCGCTGTGGGGTTAGAATAGGGCTTGTGATGGACATTCCTAATGTTGGTGTAAGGACCCACCCCACTTTGCATCTTAAGAAGACAGAACTCTTGGAATAGTTCTTCCCACAGGCATCCTTTATTAAGAGAAAATGGTTGCAGGCGTTCTAGACAGGACTTGGGGTCCAAGCTCTCCCATTCAAGGTTTTAAGGGGTTCCCCAGTAGCCCCACCCAATCACCCCCTTCTTCCAGCGACAGTCTCAGGCATTACACTCCCACCCCCTTTTCCTTACTGCCGGCTGGAGGGAGACTTCAGAGAGAACTACATGAAGGTAATAGCCCCCTTTGTTATGATTAGGCCTTTTGGTGATACACACATCCAGTCCCATTGAAGTGTACTGAAGGAAGTGAGGGCCATAAAGCCCCTTTGTTCACCCCCTTCCCTTCACCGTATGGCAGAATCCAGGGAAGGCAGAAATGGGGTTTTCTATAGTTGATAACTAGAGATGAAATATAATTGGATTCTGACAGTTGGTCAGTCAGTTCATTCGAGACCTGTAGCAAATTCACTTCTTACCACCTAAAATTCCAGCCTAAAGGCCTGGAAAGACAAACCACATTGAGCAGCCGAGGAGCCACATCCAAGCTGGCCACTTTTTCCCCTGTGGAAGGGACTTCAATGGATGAGAGGTCTTCCCTGCGTTGCCTCCGCAGCAGCCCCTCTGATGGGGGGAGATGACGCCCTGGGGGCTCCCAGCCACTTGCCCCTGACAGCAGCACAGCCTTCCTGCCTGGGACCTTCCGAGCCAGCATGGAGAGAGACTTGGTGCAGTGGTCTCAGCACTCTGGAAGACGCCATGCTGGGAAAAAACACAAGATTTTCCACCCACCCCTTTTCCTTGAGGATGGAAATCCCAGAGACCTCCTTTGCAAGGCCCGTTACCAAGAATCTAGGAGAGTTGCAAGAATCCCAGCAAGCAAACTACTGAACATGTCTGGGGGCTTTGGGGAGGGGTTTTTCTGAGCCTTTTGCTGCAGCTTTCCAGTGCACAGGGGAGGAGGTTGATCTCCTGTGGGACACGTGAATCCCTTTTAGACTGAAAACCAGCCCTGTTGTTGGAGCTACAGTTGGAATTTGGCAAATGGGGAGTGGGTTCTTGTTTTGCAGAAGAAAACCCGGGGTTTAAGCCTCGGCACTGGCAGACTGGAAGCCGTCCCCTGGCTGAGTTAGGGTTGGGGTTAGGGAAGGAGGTGGCGCTGGTGCCCTCTTTGCCTCTCACCCCCCCTTCTCTTTCTAGGGTCTTCCTGGTCCTCAAGGTCCAATTGGAGCCCCCGGAGAAAAGGTAGGTGGATGGCAAACTGCCTGGCCTCGTTCTTCGGAAGAGGCTGGTGGACTTGGGGGTGGTTCCCCTTCTTGTGCGCAACATCCGCCTGTATATTTCTTTCATTTTCTGTGCTGGGGAGTCTTTTTCCTTTGCGGAAATGGATCAGACCTCCAGCTTCTTTATTATAGATTTCTAACGCTTGCAGCCTCTGAAAAGAGAGTAGTTGAAAATGGAGGTCAGTTCAGGCATTTGAGTTGCCCACATTCGGGCCGTCTGGCAGAGCATTGTCATCTGGCAAAGCTACTGAATTTCCTCCAGAAGCCCCCACGGGTGGGTTTGCGGGCAGTGAGCAGAGAAGGGCACGGCGGCCTCTCGTCTCCTTCTCCGGCCATCCGGAGTTGAACTGAAAGGCCCCTGCAAACAGATCAATACCTGTCAGCGGATCTCACCTCACAGGCACCTGGGCCAACCTCAGCTCAGCTCCCGCAGTGTGTAATTTATTTATTTATTTATGAGACTTATATACCGCTTTAAGTGCAAGCACTCTCTAAGCGGTGTACACCAGTAAGCAATGTATATATATATATATGTTTACATTGCCCCCAACAATCTGGGTGCTCATTTTACCTACCCCGGAAGGATGGAAGGCTGAGTCAACCTTGAGCCGGTGAGATTTGAACCGCTGACCTGCTGAACACAGTCAGCTAAAGTGGCCTGCAGTACTGCACTCTAACTGCTGCGCCACCTCGGCTCATGATTGAGAGCTCTGCCCAGTCTGAGCCCTCTGTTGGGTCACAGTGAACCCGCTCCGAGGGAGGGACAGCAGGAGGCGCAGAAGGGATGCGCAAAGATTGTCCTTGAGGCCCCCCCCCCGAAACATCCAGGATGTTCCGAAGGGCTGGTTCCTGGGAATGAGAGACTGCTCGTGGCCACGTTCTGGTTCCTCAGAGGAGTCTGCGGCCTCTGAAAGCCAAGAGCATCACAGTGCTGTTGCCATCCTGCACATCTGTTGCAGAAATGACAAGGAGTCCCGCCTGCTTTTTCTCCCTCAGGGTCCTCTGGGAAAATCCGGTCTTCCTGGCATGCCTGGAGCAGATGGTCCCCCGGTAAGTCCTGCTGAGAATGCGAGAGGAGCCCTCCCACCCTCCCTCCCTCCCTCCCCTGGATTCCTGCAGTGGGCAGGAGGTGTGCAAGATGATCTCCAACCCTTCCATTGTGCTAGTCCAGTGGTTCTCAACCTTTTTAATGCCGTGACCCCCAACCAGTCGTAAGTCGAGGACTACTCAACCGGTCGTAAGTCAAGGACTACTCAACTGGTGCAGCACCGTTTGCAGAATGGGACTTTGGGCAGGCTCAGCAGGGCAGAGACAGCCTGGACAATTCCTATTGGCTTTTGAAAGCCAATAGAATTAGACTCTATTCAAGAGAGTCTATTCTATTGGCTTTCCAAAGCCAATAGAATAAAAGGGAGTAGCACAGCTAAGGAAAAGGGGAAAAAAAATGGCGGACTGCGTTGTTTGGCGACCCCCGTGAAATGGTCGTTAGACCCCAAATGGGGTCCCGACCCACAGGTTGAGAACCGCTGTGCTAGTCTATGAACAAGCCAGCGCTGCTTGCAAAGAGTTGCAAGCATCGTACTCAATAAAGAAAGCGGGATGGCTGAAAATTGCAGCTCCCCCCCCCAAATGTCTTTAATCCTTGGCACACAAACACAGGCGCTTGGGAACCTGCCCATCTCCAGTTTTGGCTTCCGCAAGGAAGATTTGTTGGTTGTGCATCTCTTGCATCTGCCTACATTAATCAGAGATCCGATTTTGCTGCCTGGTTGAGTCCTGCAGAGAGAGGGCAGCTTTCAGGGGGAGGGAGCAGGAAAATACCCTCCGTGCTTCCCCTACATCCTGGACCGCACCGAGTCCTGGCGGACATGGTACCTAGACCCCCGTCGTCTTGGGCCAGCCTGCGGAAATGGCCCCAGAAAGACAGCCAGGGTCTCACGGATGCAGCTCCGTCTCTTCGCTTCTGCTGTTTATGGATAATCAGGAGAAGCACCAGCAGGAAGGCTGGCAGGGGCTGTGCTGCTTTTGGGCAGGAGCAGCCCTTGGCAGCTGCTCAGCAGAGCTGATTTCAAGAGTTGCTTTCTGTTCAGAGACGCATTTCCACGGCTTGATTTGTGGTGCTCACCCATGGCTAGCATGAGTCCTGGCTGTCTTGACCAAGATGGAGTATCCCGTAACCCAGAAGAACCCCCCTGTAAGGACCCACCCCACTTTGCATCTTAAGAAGACAGAACTCTTGGAATAATTCTTCCAACAGGCATCCTTTATTAAGAGAAAATGGTTGCAGGAGTTCTAGACAGGACTTGGGGTCCAAGCCCTCCCATTCAAGGTTTTAAGGGGTTCCCCAGTAGCCCCACCCAATCACCCCCTTCTTCCAGCGACAGTCTCAGGCATTACACTCCTACCCCCTTTTCCTTACTGCCAGCTGGATGGAGACTTCAGAGAGGAGTACATGAAAGGTAACAGCCCCATTGTTATGGTTAGTCCTTTTGGTGATACACACATCCAGTTCCTTTGAAGGGTACTGAAGGAAGTGAGGGCCATAAAGCCCCTTTGTTCACCCCCCTTTCCCTTCCTCGTATGACAGAATCCAGAGAGGGCAGAAATGGGGTTTTCTACAGTTGATAACTAGAGATGAAATATAATTGGATTCTGACACCCTCTCTGTTCTTGTTCTTTCCTGGACCTTGGGCCTCAGTCCTATAGAGGACCAGAGCCCTTTCTGTCTACCTGGCTGCCGAGTATGACAGCCAAGGCCGTTTGACTCTCCAAGAGAAGCTCCCAGCCCAGAGTGCTCGGTCTGCCCCAGCGGGAGGCAGACCGAGAGGGAAGGACACACACGGGTGGGAAGGGGAAGCTGGGCCAACAAGCTCAACGTGGGAAGGGCGGGCAGCTCGGTTCACTGGCTTCTCTTGCTTTCCTTGCTTACAGGGCCATCCTGGCAAAGAAGGGCCTCCCGGTGAGAAGGGGAGCCAGGTAGGTAGATGGCAGCCCTGCCATTCCTCTGAGCTCATCCCCCTGCCCTTGTGGGGAAAGGGGCTCACGGGCTGGGCCTCAGAAACCAGCAAGATCAGAGATCCTCCCACACCTGGGTGTGCGGGGTGCGGGGCAAACACAACCCAACAGTCTGCAGACTTGAGAGGGCAGAGCGGGGAGGGCGGGGCGGGAGAAGGTCTCAGGAGACCCACAACCCAAACAGGAGTCAGACAGGAACCTGGTGGGTGCATTTCGATGCTGGTCTAGAGGCCATAACTAGCCTTGCTTCTACACTCCCCTTGTCTGGGGGGTGGGGGGTGAGTGGGAAGTACCACCGAAAGATGTAGCTGCTGGTTTCTCCCAGCTGAAGGACTTTCCTTAAGCCGGCTTCTCAAACCTTTGCCGAAGACAACGATGCCTAGTGACAGTTTGCCTACAGATGTTGAAATTCACCAAGACGGTGTGCTGGGAAGAGGCAGGACTGGGAGAAATCGCCGCTGCCCTCCTGCCTGGGGCAATCTTCTCCTCGTTGTCCTGGTTTTGCACAAGGGCCAGGGTCTGCCAGGGTCTGCTGGGCTCCCAGAATTGAAAAGGGCCGGCCATCGAAATGTCCGTAGCTGCTCTGGAAGTCCTTGAGCAAGCGGCAGGGAGTGGCCGGCCGTCTGTGGAGCCCCAGGTGCCCCCTGCCAGTTTCATGGAAAGGCATCCTGAGCTTCTGCAGGGGGGGGGGTTCCTTAATTTGTTCTGGCTTCAGAGGATGCTGAAGACCCCTCTGGATCGCAAGGCTTAACTCTCTCAGAAGCTTCTGTGGGATCACACAATGATGTATGTAGTGGTAGCTGAGAGGGAGGGATAGGAGTAGGGTGGAAGCTGACGAGAGAGCTGCACTTTGTCCCCCACCCACCCAAATGGGATCAACCCCCTCCTCACTTCTGAGCTGGGCATCCTTCACTAGAACAGGTACCCTGTTTAAAGAATACTATATCTCCTTAAAATAAGACGCAAAGATGCAGTTGAAAATACGGCAACGTGATTTTAGTTTACTGATGTCAGAAGAGGCCTCTCTTATTAAAAAGAAATGATCCATGCGTTATCTTTTAACCATTCAGATCCAACAAACTGCATTCAGTTTCAAGAATAAACCACAGACACAGAACTGTAAAACAGACAGTAAAATAAAATACTCTTGGAATGCCCAGTCTTCCTCATTTAGTGGTGAAGCTTCCAAAACAGCCCTGAAAATGTCCTTGGTCTTGTCTTGTTGGGTTAGAAGGCAAAGAGCAGATTAGGGCCTAGCGGAGCCTCTTTGAAGTCAGGGCACTGAGTCCGGTGTTAAATTCGGCCTTAAGACAGTAATGCTGAAAACTCGTGCAAAATAATTGCACCAGAATTTTACGACTTCAGCAAAACATCCCAGGTTAGAGAGAAAAATGACGAGTCACCAGAGGGAACTGGGAAACCTGGTCATTATCAGAAATAAAGACTTTCCAGCAGGCACTGAAATTCATGGGTCCCCTTTGAGCCAAAGCATGGGGGGCCTATGCAGGGTTGGGGAGGGGATCATTGTTAAAACACACCATGGGAAGCGCATTACCTGGTGGCGTGTCTTTCTGTGGCCCCTCAGCCAAGGGAAGCCAGAACGTTCCCTTCCTGGAGGGTGACATTGGGCCTTCCCGGAGTAGATCACGCAATGGAAAGGATCTCTCCTCTCTTCAAACTCCTTGATCACGTGGGGATCCCACAGGGCTACGTCAAACCTGCAAACTTTTATCTTGCATTTAGGGAGGTGATGAGCACAGTGTAGGTAGTGATTTGGCACATCTGCGTTTATTGCTGCAGATGTTCTTTCCATAGGATGGTATTCATGAAAGAGCGCTAGCAAGGGCTCTCCTTCTGGCTTCTAAAGCCATGTGGAGGCCACAATGTACCCGGAGTTAGTTCGCTCTAGCAACCCATAACCCACAACCCTAACTGCCGCTTTTAGCAGCCAAGCCATTGTCTGCTCAGGCTGTGTGAAGCAGGCCCTCCAGTCCCAGCATGGAAGATGAGCATTGTCTTGCGCATAATGTTGTATACCCAGCTTGGGGACTTTGTTTACCCGCAAGGTGGGCCCAGCTCTGATTTGGTGGCAGGAAGGGGCATACATGTCTATTTTCTCTCAAAGGGCACTTCAGGATGGCTGAATTCTCTCTCCCCCCCCCTCCCCTTGTCTTCTGATCACAGGGTCCAGCTGGCCCTCAGGGCCCACTTGGGTATCCCGGCCCCCGTGGAGTGAAGGTAAGCAACCAGAATGCTCAGATGCAGCTGAGGATTAATGGCATCCCCCCATTTCTTCCTCTCACAGAGTCGTGTGAAGGTTTAGTGGGGTCTTGAAAGAAGCCTTTTTGAGCTTGTCAAAAGGACACTGGGGACTGGTCTGCCTTCTGTTTATTTATTTATTTATTTTATGAGACTTATATACTGCTTTAAGTGCAAGCACTCTCTAAGCGGTGTACACCAGTAAGCAATGTCTATATATATATATTTCCATTGCCCCCAACAATCTGGGTCCTCATTTTACCTACCCTGGAAGGATGGAAGGCTGAGTCAACCTTGAGCCGGTGAGATTTGAACCGCTGACCTGCTGAACACAGTCAGCTAAAGTGGCCTGCAGTACTGCACTCTAACTGCTGCGCTACCTCGGCTTGCCTGCTAGGAGGATGGAGAGCTAGTCTGCTCTTCTGAAAAGGTCCTGCTGGCATAGGCAGGGCTTCATCTAGCCCGGCATCCAGGACCAGAACAGGCTTTAGGGATATTTGCAGGCAAGTCCTAAAGGCCCCGAGGATCGGGAGATGCTAACTGCCAAAGAAGCAAAGTTCCAGCAGCTGCACCTCTGTTGAAGTGGCCAATTTGTCCCCCGCCCAGCTTTTAATCAAAATGTCTTCTGTGCCATTTGAGACTTGAGCTCTTCCTCGCTTCATTTGGCGCTCTCTCCTGGACTAGTGCAGATAGTTGCAAAAGGGCCCACTGATTACAATGGAGAACACCTCTGAATAACTCAAGAGTTTCTCACACCAGCATTAAGCTTTAACGGTGGCTGAACTCCTCACTGTTGATCATGGCTGTTCACGAGGGATCAGAACTTTGGATATGGTCAGAGGATACATTCCTCTGGACCGCCCATCTGTTGCCACCCTGGGATGTTGAATGAAGGTGCACTTATAATAATTCACCTCCAAGTGCATCTTGGAGGTCATCTAGTTCAACCCCCTGCTCAGGCAGGAAACCCCATACCATTTCGGACAAATGGCTGTCCAGTCTCTTCTTAAAAACCTCCAGTGTTGGAGCATTCACCGCTTCTGGAGGCAGGTTGTTCCACTGGTTAATTGTTCTGTCAGGAAATTTCTCCTTAGTTCCAGGTTGCTTCTCTCTTTGATTAGTTTCCATCTGTTGCTTCTTCTCCTGCCTTCAGGAGCTTTGGAGAATAGCTTGACTCCCTCTTCTTTGGGGCAGCCCCTCAAATATTGGAATACTGCTATCATGTCACCCTCGCCCTTCTCTTCATTAAACTAGACATACCCAATTCTAGCAATCGTTTCTTATATGTTTTAGCCTCCAGTCCCCTGATCATCTTTGTTGCTCTTCTCTGTACTCTTTCTAGAGTCTCAACATCTTTTTTATATTGGGGTGACCAAAACTGGATGCAGTATTCCAAGTGTGGCCTTACCAAGGTCTTGTAAAGTAGTATTAATACTTCACGTGATCTTCATTCTATCCCTCTGTTAATGCAGCCTAGCACTGTGTTGACTTTTTTGGCAGCTGCAGCACACTGCTGGCTCATATTTAAGTGACTGTCCACTAGGGCTCCAAGATCCCTCTCACAGTTACTACTATTGAGTAAGGTACCCCCTATACTATACCTGTACATTTGGTTTTTCTTGCCTAAATGTAGAACTTTACTTTTTTCACCATTGAATTTCATTTTGTTAGATAGCGCCCAGTGTTCAAGTCTGTCAAGATCGTTCTGTATCTTAAGCCTATCTTTTGGAGTGTTGGCTATTCTTGCCAGCTTGGTGTCGTCTGCAAATTTGATGAGTTCCCCATCTATCTCCTCATTCAAATCATTGATGAAGATGTTGAAGAGCACTGAGCCCAGAACAGAGCCCTGAGGCACCCCACTACACACTTCCCTCCATGCAGAGGCAGTTCCATTGAGGACCACATCCTGAGTACGGCCAGTCAGCCAGCTACAAATCCATCTGGTGGTGATGCTATCTAACCCACATTTTTCTATCTTATCAAGTATAGGTTGTGATCAACTTTCTCAAATGCCTTACTGAAGTCCAAGTAAATTATATCCACAGCATTCCTCTGGTCCACTAATTTTGTCACCTGGTCAAAGAATGCAATGAGATTTGTCTGGCATGACCTGTTTTTGACAAACCCATATTGGCTTTTGGTAATGACTTTGTTTGCCTCTAGGTGTTCATTGTTTGATTATCTTTTCCAAGATCTTCCCAGGTATTGAGGTCAGGCTGATAGGTCTGTAATTTCCTGGATACATTTTTTTCCCTTTTTTGAAGATGGGAACTACTTCAGTTCTTTTCCAGTCCTCTGGTGCTCCAGTGCTCCAGGATCTTTGAAAGATATAGTTGAGTGGTTCTGAGATCACATCTGCTAGTTCCTTCAGAACCTTGGGGTGTAATCCATCTGTTCCTGGTGATTTGAACTCATCTACGGTGGACAAGTGCTCACTTATCATTTTCTTGCCTATCTTAACTTGTGTTTCTAATCTTTTTTTACAGTACTGTTTTGGATAGGTTGGACTGTTTTTTCCCTTTGTGTAAAGACAGATGCAAAAAAGGAGTTAAATAGTTCTGCTTTCTTCCTGTTGCTTGTCACCTTCTTGCCACTTTCTCCCACTAATGGACCAATCATTTCCTTAACTTTTTTCTTGTTTTTTACATGTTGAAAGAAGCTTTTTTTTTGTTATTTTTGACTTTTGTCGCAAGCCATAGTTCATTTTGAGCCGTAGCTTTCCTCACTTCATCTTTGAGGGCTCAGGCTATTTGCTGATATTCTGCCTTAGTTATGTGCCCCTGTTTCCACTTTTTAAACTTGTCCTTTTGGTCTTTCAGTTTATCAGACAGTTATTTATACAGCCATGCTGGTTTCTTTTGAGAGCTATTATTTTTCTTCTTCGTTGGTGTTGTGCTAGACTGGGCTTTTATAATCTCACTTTTTAAATTTTCCCAAGCCTCTTGAGTTGTTTTCCCCTTGAGGATTCTCATCCATGGAATCCTTCCCAAGCTCTCTCTAAGTTTGTTGAAATTAGCTCTGTTAAAATCCAAGACTCTAGTTTGACTATGTTCTATTGCTTGTGCTTGCATAATGTTGAATTCCAATATTGCATGGTCACTCCCCACCAAGGTTCCTCTGGTTTCAACACCTTCTATCATTTCACCTCTGTTAGTGAGAATTAAGTCCAATATGGCTGATCCCCTAGTTCCCTTCTCTATTTTTGAGGAGACAAAGTTGTCTACTTAGGTTTGTCAGGAATCTGTTTGATCTTCCACTTGGTGCAGAGTTTGTCTCCCAGTTGATGTCAGGGTAATTAAAGTCCCCCATTACTATTGTGATGTGCTTCCTACATACTTTAGTTAACTGATTAGCAAAAAGTTCACCTATTACTTCTGTTTGGTTGGGTGGCCTATAGCAGAGGTCCCCAACCTTAGGGGCACCAGGGGCCAGTTCCGTGGAGAGAGGTCATTCCGTGGACCGGAGGGGGTGTAATTTTGTGTGTGCTGCCTGCATCCTGTGGATGGGGCTTTCATTTGTGCGGACCGGTTGCTGGCATGCCGCGGCCCGGTACTGGTCCACGGACTGGGGGTTGGGGACCCCTGGCCTATAGTATACACCTATGGCAATGTCATTTCCCCCCTCCCCCTTTTATATTGACCCAAATGCATTCAGGACAGTTTTCATCATTGTTGTGCTCTGTTTCTGTAGAGATGTCGTTATTCTTATATAGAGAGCAGCTCCACCTCCTCTTTTATTTGGTCTGTTTCTTTTAAATAATTTAAATCCCTCTAGCTGTGTGTTCCATTTGTGGGTTTCATCCCACCAATGGAACAATATCATATCTGCCCTCATTTACCTGAATTTCTAATTCACCCTGTTTGTTGCTCATGCTCTGTGCATTGGTGTAGAGACATTTGAGTCCTTTATGACTAACCCTGTGTTTACTTTCTACATAACCTGTGTGGTGCCTGAGTTCCCCTATTTTCTTACCACCTGTTTGATTAGTGCACTTGGTGTGGCATTCGCTATTGAAAGCTGGATTTTGCTTGACAGCAAGGCTGATATTCTTGTCCACACACACCTCTGTGTTGCATGGACTGATAACCCTATAGTTTTTAGATTGCCGTGGACAAGAATGTTCTGTATCAATTAGCTCACTGTCCCTGTTGTTCAGTTTAAATATTTCTCCAGAAAAATCTGTGAATTTATTGCCAAGTAACTCAGAAACTTGGTGCTGCAAGCCTTGAGCCTTCCTTGCTTGTTGTATTGGGAGAGGTGCCCCGTCTGGCTCCGTTACAGGCTGATGGCCCTTCTCTGCCAGCGCTTTTAGCCCAGGAAGCTAAAGGCATCCCACGTGGAGAGCGCAGAGCAGAGCCGGCCACTGGTGAATTTACCAAGGCTGTTGGGGAGTGAGGTGGGTCTCCCAACTGTTCTCTCTGTCATTTCTCTCCTTTCCCCACGAGCTTCCCTGCGCTCTTCCCTCTTCAATCTAGCCAGAAGCCTTCACTCTCTCTCCCTCCCTCCCTCTCTCCCTCCCTCCCTCCCTCTCTCCCTCCCTCCCTCTCTCCCTCTCTCTCCCTCCCTCTCTCTCTCTCCCTCCCTCTCTCTCCCTCTCTCTCCCTCCCTCCCTCCATCTCTCCCTCTCTCTCTCCCTCCGTCTCCTCTCTCCCTCCCTCCCTCCCTCCCCCTCTCTCTCTCCCTCTCTCTCTCTCTCCCTCCCTCCCTCTCTCTCCTCCTCTCTCCTCTCTCCCTCCCTCCCTCCCTCTCTCTCTCTCTCTCTCTCTCTCTCTCTCTCTCTCTCTCTCGCCTTGCCTGCCCCTTTGGCCTCCCCAGTTCCCGTGGATGCGTTCAGGAGCAGCCTCTGGGAGTGTCCAGATGGATCCTTCCTGCTGTTCTGCACCTGAATTGTTCCACGTATCCATTTCCAGGTCAATCCTGACTTAATTGGAAGAATGCCTAAATCTGATCCCAGCAGTGGAAGGCAAATGGAACATCTCAGCATTCAAATCATTAGGCACCCCTCCCCCCACCCATAAAAGTCCACATTGATGCTGCAAGAAGGCTGCATGGATATCCTCCTGCTTACTGATGCGCAGGTGTGGAGGGGAAAGTGGCTGCTGGTGAAGTGTCTTGGAAACAAATCCAGGTTTAGCCACTTAGAGTCAAATAAAGGTTTTTTTTTCTTTCTGTGCAGTTTTAAAATCCCTCCCTCCCAGCCCACTCGGAATGAGATCACACACAGAGTTGCCTCAGTGTTGCCTTCTTGCAATATTTATCAGGGTGCATAATGTTGCTAGCTGAGGAAGAAAGAAGAAAACTGACAGCTGTGGCTAAACACGTAATCTGAACAATCTTCTGTATAACATTCAGATATAAAGAATAGGTAATTTAGAACTGCTGAATAAAAGGAGAAAGTCAAATGGGGAGAAAACAACCTTTTTGATATTGCTCACTTCAGCATCAAATCTGCTACTGGTTTTAAAAATGTTTTCTAAAAAAGTACTTTTGACTTTTCTCTACTTACTCCTTTTGGGGCAACAGAAGTCAGACTCCCCTCCCCCCCATTTCTGCAGTGTCAGTTGCCTTTATGGGCCCATTGGTTTGGCCTGCCCTCCAGATCCTGGGAAAGCTAAAGGAACAGCAGCTGGCCAGGGGTTGGGCTGCGCCTGCAAAGCAAGACTAGGCTGCCTCCGGGTGCAGCTCTTGAATCGGCTGTCACCCATCGAGAGCAACTAGAAACGGGGAACAACAAATGACTCCCAGCCAAACGCCATTCAGGGACGACATTTGCCTGGGCTCATTTCCTGGTTGGAAGGAAGCCATCTGCAGTTCTTGGAACTGGAAGCTGGCCAGTTCTGGGTCTCCATCAAGATCATCTCAAATGGATCACAGATTCTCCAGAAGATTCAAGGTGGACCACTGCCTCTAAATCACCCCCACTAGCCGAGACAGGCCGGAGGTCTGGAGGTCTGGCGTCATGCTTAAAACTTTCTTTGCTTCCTGCTGCTAGTCCTGAAGACTTGAAGGGCTATCATGTTTTTAAGAAGTTTCCATGTCTGCAGCTTTTTTCATACCTTGCATCAGGCAGAACCTCTGGGACCACTGCAGGCCCTACCTCTCCCCCCCCCTCCAGTCACGGCCTTCCTTCATCTAGTTGGGCTGCAAAGAGACCCGACAATCCCCTTGAGCTGAGGACAAGGGGATTGGGAGGGGATATTGACACAAGACTAGCAGTCTCCTGAGAGAGCAAGAGTCCAGTCAAAGCAAAAGAGAAACATCTCCGCTGCCCGGCTGGCAGCCTTCTCTGTCAAACGCCTCGTATTCTATCTCTTAATTTGCAACCCAAATCCAGCCCCCTTTGCATCTAAGCCCACCCTCTTGGGTAGCGGAAGACAAGATGCTGGCTTTGGAGGGCGGCTGTTCTGGTTTCTGAAGACATTATCGGACATTGTTCACTGCACAAATGTTCTTCCTCTTGATAGCCCCAGGCCGGTGAGCCTCCTTGCCCCCGACCCCCAACCCTCTCGCTGTGGCGTCACTGCAGGAGGCATTCCAAGATGCCAGGTCAATCTGGGCAAGAATAGCCACTGCACAGCTTCTGTCTGATGCCCCAGAAGGCAAAACGGAGGGCTTCCCTATTCTCACCCCACTTTCTGCACCCCCGCAAAAGGATCTCTAGATACTACCTCTAGAAGTAGGAAGGGAGAGTGCAGATAGTGGATCACACAGCTGTGGTTGCCAGATACATCAGACAGCCTGGATCTGTCTCAGGCCGAGAGGGATCCAGGCTGGGTGGATTAACTGGGCTGGGCAGTTGGTGCCACCAGATCAGGCTCCATGTGGCTGTCCCACCCTCTCTAGCTGAGATCCTTGGGTGGACAATCTGCCAGGCCCCAGGCCGCTCATGCCTGGTGAACTCACTGCCTTTTGTTGTTGTGTTTGCTTTTAAGGGGGCCGACGGCATCCGTGGCTTGAAAGGAACGAAGGGCGAGAAGGTGAGTGAGCCTCCATTTGAATTCCCCTCTTTTCCCTCCTCTGGTTTCCGTGCCTCCCCAGAAGTTCCAGCTCTGTGAGGTTCAGTCTGCTTGCAGCTGCACGACAGGCAGAAATTCAACAGGGCCTCTGTACTTCCTCCATCTCTGTAGCTCCATCCCTGGAGAAAGTGCGGCATCTTGCAAAGCAGGCAGCCTTGGCCCATGCCTGGCTCTGCCTTCATGAGGCTTCACATTTGCCTTGCAGGGAATTCTCTTCATTTGCTGGGTTGCCAAAGGGCTGTTTTGGATTTATGAAAACAAAGTACAAAAAATGCGCTCTCCATGGGAAAACGGCTTGAATATATTAGGAAAAAAGACGCATGTTTTTGGATAGGCATTTGCATAAAGATCTTTTTTTAAAAAAGAAAGGTTCAAAGAGAGACAGGACAAAATAAAATGAAATTTACAAAGCTAAAGAACAAAGAGATTGAAGCCGGCTTTCTGGCGGTTCTCGTGCCCTTGTCACCCCGTTGGACCACAGTACTGGCGGGTCATAGAGTTGCCCCGGGGCTGAAAAGTCTCCAATTCCTCATGTACGGAGTTCCCCAGAAGGAAATGCAGCCCTCTCACCCCTTAAAATGTGCAGAGGCCTGATGAGGCTCCTAACCATCAATATATATAAATGGCCTCTAACGCAGAACCCCCCCCCCTTTTGGACAATGGTCCCAGGTTCGGTTGGCAACACAAGCCCCCCTGGGTCTCCTTTGCACCGGGAGTGGTGAGCTCATTTTTGTAAATAGGTGCCTTTGATTTACACCTGTCGGGCTGTCCGGGAAACGGACAGCAACAGCTTCCAGAGCGGCTTTTACAACCTGGAGAGGCAGCGCTCTGTCCAGGTGGCCCCTCATGTCCTCCCCAAGAGGAGCAGCGTTGAGCAGCATTCCGGCCTTGCTCCAGCCTTCAGTCTCCTGCTCTGCATTCTCCAGACCTATAGCCCATCAACCGAGGAGCTGACCAGGCAGGGGCTGCGGAAGCAGCAAAGGCCCAGTGTTGTTCTTGGGCTCCTGCGTCCACCTTCCGGTCCTTGACAGGCCTGCTTTAGGCCTGGATGCTCCATCGATTGAAACGCAACAGCTGAAACCTTTGCCGACTGGAAGAACTATTACTGCTGGCCCCGGAGTCCTTTTTGAAAAGTCTGGTGTGGAATGGGCCAACTGAGAGCAATTGGTGGCTGGCCGTGGGACTGCCTCCGTCCTTTTATCAGTCCAGACTTGGTTCCTGATGGAAGAAGAGAAGGAAGCCCCCCCAAACATTCGCTGGATTTGCGGGGGGGGGGAGGTGGGAGGTTTTGAGGACCTTGACCAGGATGTCCTCCATGGACATTAAAGTCTTCTAATTCGTTCCACTGGAAATGGCTTTCCCTCCTTCCTGTTGGGCACTTGCCCAAATGTTACCTGTCTCACCTCAGGGTGGCAAACCCTTTGAGAGCTAGATGGCGAATCAGTTTTATGGAGCAATGGTCTTTAAAGGTAGGAGCTTTCCAGAACCTTCTTAAGAAGGTAGTGTCTTCAGTGAAAAAAGATAGAATGATGAGTCAAATAGCTCAGAAAAATGGCTTGCCCTGTAAACCACAGAGAGCTAATAGGAGAGGATCTAGACCAGTGGTTCTCAACCTGTGGGGTCGGGACCCCATTTTGGGTCGAATGACCATTTCACGGGGGTCGCCAAACAACACAGTCCTCCATTTTCCCCCCCTTTTCTTTGGCTGTGCTACTCCCTTTTAGTCTATTGGCTTTTGAAAGCCAATAGAAGAGGCTCTCTTGAATAGAGTCTAATTCTATTGGCTTTCAAAAGCCAACAGGAATTGTCCAGGCTGTCTCTGCCCTGCTGAGCCCGCCAAAAGTCCCATTCTGCAAACGGTGCTGCACCAGTTGAGTAGTCCTCGACTTACGACCGGTTGAGTAGTCCTCGACTTACGACCAGTTAGGGGTCGCGGCATTAAAAAGGTTGAGAACCACTGATCTATACAGTCCAGCTTCTCTTTCACTCTCAGAGCAGGGAGGTTCAGATGCTGCATTATGTCATGTCTCCTGCCTACAATTGTACATCTCTCTCTTCCTGGGAGAACTTCTCTTTTTCTACACAAGGCATATCCTCTGTGGTATTCCTTATAACTGCAGCTCCTTTCCCGTCAGGTATGCTGGCTGGTAACTATAGGGTTGGAAGCCAGCCCGCTGGGGAGCCTGCTCTAGGTATTCTCTGGGTCCAGAGAGCCTGGCCCATGAAATCACTGAATTTCCTGACAATCTCAAAAGGCCCTCTGTTCAGGATTCCATCTGGACAGAGTTCCCTAAATCAGAAGCCGGCGATTGTCCAAATTAAAGTATTACTAGCCGTGATTGAACTTAGTAAAAGGTTGCGAGACCTCAGCAAAAGTTGGCAAGATTTGAAATTTCTGCATGAGATCTTGTGGGATTATGGCAACTGTTATTTCCCAGAATTTAGTGAAAATCACAAAAGCCAGAATTGGCAAATGGGAGCGTGGGAAATCTTAAAAAAAAAAAAAAAATGCCCATCCTTGCTCTGAATGTTGAAATGCTTGGGGTTAGGAACTGTATTGTCGGAGAGTGAAAGCGCAGGTCCTTCTGTTACACCCAGCTAGTTGGCCCGGTGGTCTAGAGCCTGCGAAGGAGGGGCAGTTTATTTATTTATTTATTTATTTATGAGACTTATATACCGCTTTAAGTGCAAGCACTCTCTAAGCCAGTGGTTCTCAACCTTTCTAATGCCGTGACCCCATAATACAGTTCCCCATGTTGTGGTGACCCCCAAGTGGGTGTGGCCACCAATAAGAGGGAGTAGGACAGCTAGGGAAAAGGGAACAAAATGGTGGACAGCGTGGTTTGGCGACCCCCGTGAAATGGTCGTTCGATCCCAAATGGGGTCCCGACCCACAGGTTGAAAACCACTGCTCTAAGCGGTGTACACCAGTAAGCAATGTATATATATATATATATTTACATTGCCCCCAACAATCTGGGTCCTCATTTTACCTACCCCGGAAGGATGGAAGGCTGAGTCGACCTTGAGCCGGTGAGATTTGAACCGCTGACCTGCTGAACACAGTCAGCTAAAGTGGCCTGCAGTACTGCACTCTAACTGCTGCGCCACGTCGGCTCAGTTGTTGAAGTGTTGGTTGTGCACCGTGGGCATCCCTAACAAGGTCCCTCTTGTTCTCCTGCAGGGTGAAGATGGCTTCCCAGGATTCAAAGGCGACATGGGCGTTAAAGGCGACCGGGTGAGTTCTAGCACTTCTCCTCCATGGCCAGAAATGAGAATTCTGGATGCCTGGTCCCAAAGCTCTCCGGTGATCCTCCTACCCAAGGAGTCTCCCTGGCCTTCTCAGCTGATAGTGGTGCCCCCTTCCCATCTTCCCGGAACTGACCAAACTTAGGCTCGACACAGGATTGGGAAATGGGCGAGTGGGGAGTGCAAGCAGCTCCCCCAGAAGTGTTCTTTCAGCTGCTTTACCTCCCACTCATTCATTGTGGAGCTGGTATCTCTCATTTGGGGGCTTTTCATAAAAGTACCGCTTCCCTGTTCAAGTCTTAGCCAACGACCCCGATATTGCAGCCTGCTCCCTTTTTACAAAAGTGGCCTGTTCTTGGCCTGGGATCGGGAAGAGGGTAACTTAGCCAGTCCCACGCAACCTTTTTTTTTTAAAAAAAGAAAGACCTAATTGTTGGTGGGTCCCAGAAAGCGACTGCTTGATTGCTCATACCAGAATAGCTCCTTTCTGCGTGGAAAAAAACCCAGCCATGGCAGAAAATACCAAATTTTCATTCCAGGGAAAATGAGATTGCACGGCTTTTCTGGAAAAACACATGTGCAATGCAAAACAACACCAGCACATAAATTATTCAAGGGCCTTCTAAACAAAACCGAATGGGATTCTTTTGCGCTGTTGAAGAAGCTGATAAGGAGCTCTGCATCTCTCCCTCCCTCCCTCCTTTCTCATGGAAACAAGGCTTTAGTCCTCTGTTTATACCTGGGCGCTGGGCCTGACAATATGGCACGGTGCCTTGTGCCTTGAGAAGGTCTCGGGGGGGGGTCTTCTGCAATAGCTTGGCCTCTGGCCAAGGGCGGGAGCCGTTGTGGAAGGGCTACTGATGGAAATTGGAGGAGCGCTGCCAAGCCTGTGCAGTGAACTTTTGGGTTGATGGTTTGAAAATTATCCTTCCCCCAAATCTTTTACCTCTGCCCCCAAACTACTCTTAACTTTGACTGGGACTTACTGGGCATTCCCTCGGGGGTGGGCAAAATGCCTGGGGTTCATGCCAGGCTTCAGGGATCTTCCATTACTCTGATGATTAGAAATCAGGTAATTGGAAAAAAGACCGGGGGGGGGGTAACGCGCTCTACATGGGGCTACCCTTGAAGAGTGTTCGGAGGCTGCAGTTGGTTCAGAACGCAGCCGCGAGAGCAATTGTGGGCACGCCAAGGTACGCCCACGTGTCCCCTATCCTCCGCGAGCTGCACTGGCTTCCTGTGGGTCTCCGGACGCAATTCAAGGTGTTGGTTATCACCTTTAAAGCCCTTCATTGCACAGGGCCAGGTTACTTACAGGACCGCATACTGCCGCACAGTTCCCAGAGACCGGTGAGGTCCCACAGATTGGGCCTCCTTCAGGTCCCGTCGGCCAGACAATGTCGGCTGGCGGGCCCTCGGGGAAGGGCCTTTTCTGTGGTGGCTCCGACCTGGTGGAATCAACTTCCCCCCGAGGTTCGAACTACTCCCACCCTGCCGGCCTTTAAGAAAGCCGTTAAAACTCTCCTGTTCCAGCAGGCGTGGGGCTGATGTCCCCGGGGGGGGGGGCGGGATATGATCGGACACGCTGTATGATTGTATTATTTTTATTGTTTTATGGTCAGATTATTGTTTTAATTTTGTACGCCGCCCTGAGTCCCTCGGGATTGGGCGGCATATAAATTTTAGAAATAAATCAAATAAATAAATAAGAGGTAGCCCGGATCTGCAGGCATAACACAAAGCTGCCTGTTTTGTCCAGCTGAGCCTGTCCTGCTCTTCACTAGAAAAAGTCCTTCAGAAGAATGAGTTTGCCTTGAAACGGCTTACTTCTCAATGCAGGAGGAGCCTTGGGAGCATCTCTAGCTCTTCCCAGAAAGGAATCGGGGGCCGAAAAGGTCTGCTGATGTGGTCCTCATTCATCCTGTCTGAAATTGAGCGGGAATCTTTTTCTCTAGTTCCCAGAAAGCAAATCTTGGGCTGCTGTCTGGAACATTTAGCTACTCTGAGGCCGTGTTCACACGGATCTTCCCCGAGGTCAACAAAGACCCAGTGGCTTTATGTGCACAGCACACAGATGAAAGTTGATTAGGGACTTTTTGGTTGAGCCTGTTCCGCAAACCCGGCCCGCTTGATGAGTGTCTGGCTCAGGAGCCGAGCTAAGACGAATCAACCTCTTCATAATAATAATAATAATAGTAGTAAAGTTGGAAGGGACCTTGGAGGTCATCTAGTCCAACTCCCTGCTCGGGCAGGAAACCCTACACCATTTTGGACAAGTGGCTGTCCAGTCTCTTCTTAAAAACTTCCAGTGTTGGAGCATTTACTGCTTCTGGAGGCAGGCTCTTCCACTGATCATCTCTGATCCTTTCTTGTCCTTCTCAATTCTTTGTGGACGCCATCTTCTCCACTGATTTGGGCGGTTTGTTACTGGTGCCTTCTAACCCTGACACGGAAAGGTTTTTTAAAAAGGCAGAAATAGTAATCTCATTTTCAATTTTTGTCAGGGTGAAATTGGCCCCCCTGGTCCTCGTGGGGAGGATGGGCCAGAAGGCCCGAAAGGTCGCGGTGGCCCCAATGGAGAGTCAGGCCCTCTAGGTCCATCTGGAGAAAAGGTAAGTGTTCCTGAGTCTGCCAATCCTTTCTCAGCCTCCATGCCTCGTCCAGCTTCCCAACGTCCTCTGGAGAAATCTTGCTGTGGTTCCCAGGTTTTGGTTAACGACTCGCAATCTACCTGCAGGCTTGCCCCAGTACAAGGAGGGTGCAAATGGAAGCTCACTTGGTGACTCTGCCCCTCGTGGCTTTGGGGTGGAAATGTAATCCCAGATCTGGAAGATTCCTCAAGATTCTGGGGATGAATTGATATTCCTTTCAACCGTTGCTGTTTGCTAAACAGCAACGGTTGAAAGGAATTAACTTGGGATTAACTGGGCGATGAACCTTCAGAAACGAAGAGCTGCGCTCTTTCCATCTTCCTTCTTCTCCTCCATCGTCCCCACCACCATCCTCCTCCTCCACCTCTCTTTCTTTTCACAGGGAAAACTTGGCATTCCTGGTTTGCCTGGATACCCTGGAAGACTTGGCCCCAAGGTAATGTTTGCCCTTTTCGTAAATAAATTTCCATTTCAGTCTGCAAGTTGGAACCCCGTGAGCGGCTGGTTGAGTTTACGGAGACATTGTGCAACCAGCCAGGCGGAACGGGAAGGCCTTGGGTGTCTTTGTAGGGAGCAAGACAGGCTGGCTGATGCTCCAGAGGAGGCGGATTGCGTGTCCATCTTCATTCTGGGAGGCTCTCTGGGAGCTCCTGCAGCTCGGAGGAGGCAGCTGCAATTGTTTCTGATGAGCAGCAACTTTCCTTCTGCAGTTTGAATTTCCTGGGGGAAAATTATATTTCAATTCAGTTTCAAAAGAACTGAAACCATTTCTTCTTTGCTGAGCAGAAAAGAGGTTTTGCTCCAAAGACAGTCAGCTAGACACCAACTGGTGGGTAAAAGGCCCCATCACCCTCCCAGGGACTGACCCTGCCACCCCCGGACCCCTGCCTTGGTTCAGCAGCATGGGCATTAGTTCTCCTGCAAGTCCAGACCCATGGGCAGCCTTCTTGAGTTCCTTTGCTGGTTTGTCGGCTGCTCTCACAATCCCCCCTGGGTTTGCCTGGCAAAATGGGACGGCCCAGAACTGACAGCCCATCATCTCTCCCCCCCCCCGCTATTTTCCCCCACAAAATAATCCTGCCATCAGTGCAAAGGAGCCCACGTGGGGCGTGGGGGTCCAGTCAGGTGGGCTTTGCCCTTGATGGAAAGTAGGCATAAGATGCAACTGTTAATGCCTAACCAGGTTCACATTTATATCATATCACAGCTCCCAAATTAGGAGAGCCTGATCCAGCTCGATTTAATGCGATTTTAATGCACCCCCCATCTCTACTGCCATTTGGCTGTGAGGAAGAGGGGACAATCTGGCCTGGGTTGAGCTGAAGGGGGCTGGGCGTCCAGGTATTTCTTCCTTCCAGGCATGAGGTTCACTAGCCGAGGATGACCGTTGTTGAATCCTGGATTCTCTTTTGGACCATCCACCCTAAGGAGCTCGCAATGGTTCCAGGGAACTGAGTTTTCCAACCGTCACGTCCCCTCCGCCTGCGTCTCCATCTCCTTTCTTCTCTGCTTCCTTTTCCTCTAGGGCTCCATTGGATTTCCAGGGTTCCCCGGAGCCAACGGAGAGAAAGGAGGAAGGGTAAGAGGCTGAGGCTTCGTCTGGGGCTTCCGGGAGATCTCTTCCACCGGCTGTTGCTCGCCAGGTTTTACATTTTCTGCAGTGGTCCTTTCTGCCGTTGAAGACAGGATATAGGGAGGTTTGGACAAGGCATAAATTTGCCTCCGCAAAACAAAACAAAGCAAACAAAAAGCCAAAGCCACAAAGCCACACAAACCTCCTTTAATTAACTAAAACGCTTCTTTCTTCTGGTTAACGCTTAAAGGGGAAAAACAGTAACCCAGTCAACAGCCGCTGGGTGCAAAAGTCAACAGGCCTTCAGAGAGCACCGGGAGGGTCTGCAGAGGGTCTCCCAAGCTTTATGACAGAGGTCGTCCCATCACCTCACCCACCCATACAGTAGACCTGGATTCCCCTCCAGAATCTCAGTCATCTCTTTCTCTTTAACTCCTGCAATAAAAATATCTTGTCTTCGTGGGTGAGAATGAATCAGTGTCAGAATCTGCCAGAGAGGCACAGAATGGAGGGATTTCTGGCCATATTTGCAATACTGACTAGTTTGTTCCAGAATATTAACAACTTTGAAAGGAAAAAAAAATCAGTAAGAAAATAAGAGCATATTCAGAATAAGGTCATGTTTCACCAGTGCACCGGGGTGGGGCCAGCAGAGCAGGGGGTGTAAGAAAGATAAAGCAGATGCACCTGAACTGGCCACTTCCAATGGCTTTGGGAAGGGATGTTGTGTTCCCAGTCCTCTAAGCAAGAGGCGGGGATTCCTGGCAATTAGAGAAGATCAATCAGAATCAGAATAATGGAGCTGGAAGGGACCTTGGAGGTCTTCTAGTCCAGCCCCCTGCTCAAGCAGGAGAACCTATACCATTTCAGACAAGGGGCTGTCCAGTCTCTTAAAAGCCTCCAATGTTGGAGCAGCCACAACTCCTGAAGGCCAGCTGTTCTTATCAACCAAGATCAAGGGCTCTGGCAAGTTGCTTGTGCAATTATCAGAGCAAATCCAGTCTGCTCAGTTCTGGCAGTGAATATTCAGTTAGAGAGAGAGAAAAGTTCCTTTTCTTCATCTCATTTAAATACAGATTACTTCTACCGTAACAGGCCTGCTGGGTAGGACTGCTGGAGATATTGTTTTTCAGCGTGTTAATATTTTGCTGTCTCAATTTCATTTACACAGCTCGAGAACAGAAGAAGCAAGGCTGTGTTTTCATTCTCTTATCCCCCACATTTCCCCCCCCTGCTGCATAGTTTTTATTTCTTGAACGTGAGCCATGCAGGGTCTCTCTCTTTGGTTGGGGAAGGAGGGGATATTGGGAAACTGGCTGCAACCAAGCCAACATGAAGTGGTCAGTCTGATGTAGGATCCTGGCTGTGGGGCAGGCCGAAGGTCAGGAAGGGGTCCCAAGAAATGGCAGAGTCAGAGTGAGGCAGTTACTGAATAAAATTCTGGAAGGATGGAATGATGTTTTGCAGCTGGCTTGGTCTAGGACAGGGCTAGGCAACCTTGGCTCTTTTATGACTGGTAGACTTCAACTCCCAGAATTCCTGAGCCAGCCATGCTGAGGGGAAAGGGAGAGGTTTCCAAGCTGAGCCATGCTGGCTCGGGAATTCTGGGAGTTGAAGTCCACCAGTCATGAAGGGCCATAGTTCCTCCATGCTGTCTGAGGAATTCTGGGAGTTGAAGTCCGTAAGTCATGAAGGGCCATAGTTTCTCCATTCTGGCTGAGGAATTCTGGGAGTTGAAGTCCGTAAGTCATGAAGGGCCATAGTTTCTCCATTCTGGCTGAGGAATTCTGGGAGTTGAAGTCCGTAAGTCATGAAGAGCCATAGTTCCCCCATGCTGGCTCAGGAATTCTGGGAGTTGAAGTCCGTAAATCATGAAGGGGCCATAGCTCCCCCATGCTGACTCAAGAATTCTGGGAGTTGAAGTCCACGAGTCGTAAAAGAGCCAAGGTTGCCTACCCCTGGTCTAGCACAAGTAATCCTCAGCTTACCACAATTCATTTAGTGACCGTTCAAAGTTACAGCGGCACTGAAAAATGTGACGTATGACCATTTTTCAGAGTTACGACCTTTGCAGCATCCCCATGATCATGTGATCAAAATTCAGATGCTGGGCACCTGGTTCATACTTACGACCGTTGCTGCATCCCAGGGTCAAGTGATCCCCTTTTGCAACCTTCTGATAAGCAGCATCAAGTGGGGGAAGCCGGGTTCACTTAACAAATGTGGCAAGAAAGGTCATAAATTGGGGGCCAAACTCACTTAACAAATGTCTCACTTAGCAACAGAAAATTTGGGCTCGATTATGGTCATAAATCGAGATTTACCTGTAGTTAAGGCACTGGGTTATACCCAGGTTCTGGTCCTGCCTAAGGCAGATTCCCAGCTGCTTTTTCTCTCGGTTCGCAGGGCACCGCTGGCAAACCTGGACCCAGAGGACAGCGAGGACCCACGGTAAGGAAAGACGCTTCCTTTCTCCTCCTCCTCCTTGCTCCGGAGTTGCTGCCCGAAGGCCCAGGCAGTCTGGACCATGTCGAGGGCTGCATGTCGGTGGACAAGGACTCATCGGTCACCTTGAGAACCTGCCCACTTCAAATTCCTGACCCTTTGCAGAGTGCAGAAGTGGCACAGCCACAAAGCGTGTTCCGAACTTGGCAGCGCGCAAAGCAGGAGGGGAAAGAGGGCATGTTGGGTTAGAACGAGCAGAAATTGCGTAAACCCAGGAATTGCATGCCTACAAAAATATGCATGACAATATATTCAAACGTACACGTTAGATTTTCGTGTTAAGCTGAACGTCTCCTGAGACAAAGGAAGCGAACAGAATGTCAAGTTAGGAAGGAAAGAGCTGTTGAATGCATCCCTTTCCCCCCCTCCCTTCGCACTGACATCACTTCTCCTTGTCTGCTCTCCAGGGTCCTCGAGGAGAACGCGGCCAGCGAGGCATCACAGGGAAGCCTGGTCCAAAGGTACTGAAAAACTCTCTTCCCGGGGCCAGTTCAGTCCTGGGGCTGGTCTTCAGCTTCCCTTTGCTTGCAGAAAGAGACTGAGGGAGGGTGACTCAGCTTGGAGAATGCAATCCACCATTGCTGGTCACTTCAGCCTGGACTGTAAGGGTTTCAGTATAATAATAATAACTTGGAGATGGCAGAAGAAGAACTGGACTACTGCAATGCGCTCTACATGGAGCTACCCTTGAAAAGTATTCAGAGACTACAGTTGGTCCAGAATGCAGCCGCGCGAGTGATAGTGGGTGCTCCTCGATACACCCACGTTACACCTATCCTCCGTGAGCTGCACTGGTTGCCTATTGGTCTCCGGGTCCAATTCAAGGTGTTGGTTATTACCTTTAAAGCCCTATATGGCTCAGGGCCAGGCTATTTGTGAGACCGCCTACTACCTCATAGTTCCCTTCGTCCGGTTAGATTCCACAGGCTGGGCCTCCTTCGGGTCCCGTCGGCCAAGCAGTGCCATTTGGCGGGACCGCGGAGGAGGGCCTTCTCTGTGATGGCACCCACGTCTTGGAACCAGCTCCCCCCGGAGATTAGGACCGCTCCCACCCTGTTGGTCTTCCGTAAGCTGCTTAAGACCTGGCTTTTCCGGCAGGCCTGGGGTTTATAAAACCTGACCCCTGGATGACTGTCTTTGTACTGTTTGTTTTGTTATGTTTTATGTGTTTTTTTATTGTTAGCCGCCCAGAGTCCTTCGGGAGTGGGGCGGCTTATAAATTTTAAAAATAAATAAATAAATAAACTGGGGAAAATTACAAAATGCAGAGTAGAAATGCAAGTGGAACGGCTGTGGCCGAAGAAAGCAAAGATCGTGCGATCCCAAAACATGGGGAGCCCCACTGGAACACCATCCGCATTGACGAAATTGCCATCATTCAGTTGCAAAAGGCAGCTTCGCTCAGAACAGTTTACATCCTGCAACAATACTTTTAACATTGTCAGAGGACAGCTGGCTATCCCGGGACCTTTGGAAGGATAGTGGGATTAAAAATGCCAAATCCAATCTAAACATTTGGCTGACCAACTGTAATTTGTTAAATGTATATGTTGCCCGACATCCAGGGACTCCCATACTCACCAGGGTGTCTTGTTTATGTAATTACCAGGTCTTGGCAGAGACATTAACCGTAGAATATAGAATAACAGAGTTGTAAGGGACCTTGAGGTCATCTAGTCCAACTCCCTGCACAAGCAGGAGAGTCTAAATCATTCCAGACAAATGACTGTCCTGTATAATAATAATAATAATAATAATAATAATAATAATAATAATAATAATAATAATAACATTAACAATAATAATAATAATAATAAAGTTGGAAGGGACCTTGGAGGTCATCGAGTCCAACCCCCTGCTCAGGCAGGAACCTTACACCATTTCAGACAAATGGCTGTCCAATCTCTTCTTAAAATTCTTAAAAACCTCCAGTGGTGGCAAGCTGCTCCACTGGTGAATTGTTCTCACTGTCAGGAGGTTTCTCCTTAGTTCTAGGTTGCTTCTCTCCTTGGATAGTTTCCACCCGTTGCTTCTTGTCCTGCCTTCAGACGCCTTGGAGAATAGCTTGACTCCCTCTTCTTTGGGGCAGCCCCTGAGATACTGGAAGACTGCTATCCTGTCCCCCCTCGTCCTTCTCTTCGTTAAACTAGACATATCCAATTCCAGCAACCGTTCCTTATATGCTTTAGCCTCCAGTCTCCTAATCATCTTTGTTGCTCTTCTCTGGACTCTTTCTAGAGTCTCAGCATCTTTTTTACATCGTGGTGACCAAAACTGGATGCAGTATTCCAAGTGTGGCCTTACTAAGGGCTGATTGTTCTCCCAGTTCCCAGTGCTTTTTTCCCTTCCCTAATCATCCAAAACACATTTTTCCCTCCACTTAGAAGGGAAGGGGAGAGCATGGAGAGAACCAGCCTTGTCTACCTATTTGGAGGGTGGGCTGAGGGCTGAGGCCTCCTTCAGAGGCTCAGAAGCCTCCGCTCTCGCTTCCCAGCCATGCCTGCATCTCCCTGGGAAGGCTGTGAAATAGACGGTTGCCCTTGAAAATTCTCTGGGGAGGAAGCACGGCAGAGAAGGTCCGCATGGCAATCTCCGGTCCCAGACAGCTCAGCTGGGTTCCCTTTCCTGACTGGAGCTCCCAGCTTGCCTTCTAGGAGGGTCCCAGGATACCCTTTTTATGTTGCAAGCTGCCCAGATTCGTTGAATATGAAATGAGTGGAAAATGAATTTTATAAACAAGTGCCATCCCAGTTGGGTGGGGGCTGCTTCCTCCTTCTCCGTCAAGGTCTCTCGAGCAGAATCCCAGGGCTCCCATGGGAATTGGGTGGAATGCCCTGAGGGGACAAAGTTGCTCCTGGACAGCTGGGCATTCCTAGGAACCAAGTCCAGGTGCAGCAGGGAGAGGAGGGCTTGCCAAGCGCCTGACAGCCCGTCATCCTGACAGGGTCTGAGGGGCAGCAGTGGGGCTTCTGGGGGGTATTTTTTGTTAACTAACTGGTCCTTTAAAAACCCGTGATCTGATGCCACACAGGAGCTTCGTGCAAGATGACAACTTAGTAAGGGTCCGAGCGATTGGGCAGCTCTGGAGGAGCAGAAGCCAAACGCTGAAGCCATTCTCATCAGATGCATGAGATCCTGAGTGCAAATTATGCAAGCGCCGGTGTTTTGCTCAAGGGGGTTGCAGGCTACTTTCCCTTTTGCCTGCTCCTATGTAGTTTTTTTTTTCTCCTGAGTGATGTCTCAACTCCAGGCCTCTGCTGGGAGGGGCCAGGCTGAGTGTTAGGAAAGCCAGACCTTCACAGACATTGTGGTCAACCTCTCCACCCGGTAAAATTTACCCCCAAGATAAGGGGCAAAGAATAAACCTGTCCCAAATGACCCTAAGCCAGTGTTTCTCAACCTTGACAATTTTAAGGCATGTGGACTTCAACTCCCAGAATTCCACAGCCAGCAATGCTGGGTGTGGAATTCTGGGAGTTGAAGTCCTCATGCCTTAAAATTGTCAAGGTTGAGAAACACTGCCCTAAGCGTCTGCCAGTCTCAACCTTTAGTGTTCAGGATGACCGGAGGGTAATGGCTTATTGGCACTGAACTGATCATGTATTGTTTTAATTCTCTTTTTTTTACCTTCCAAGGGCAATTCTGGTGGGGACGGACCTCCGGGACCGCCAGGTGAAAGGGTAAGGTCAAGCAAGCCGTGGCTGAACAGATGTGCCCCAATTTACGCTTCAGATAGAAAGACGGGGCAGGACTTCTTGATCGGCATCAATGCTGCCAAGGCAGAAGGATGGGGAATTGCTCCCTCCGGGCAGGGTAGCAACCCTAACCCTTGTCTTTCTTTGTCCCTAAGGGACCTCCAGGCCCTCAAGGACCAACCGGATTTCCTGGACCAAAAGGGCCCCCGGTAAGTTCAGCGAAGAGCAGGAAAAGGCCCGGGAGAGAGATTTGCCTCTGCTTACCCAGGTCTCTCTAGGCTACCATTGACTGCAAGGAAACTCTGATCTGCTGCACGTGAGGACATCCTTACGTTGAATGCTTTCAGTTTTACTGAAGATCCTGTTTCCTTCTCTAGGGTCCTCCGGGAAAAGATGGATTGCCAGGCCACCCTGGGCAGAGAGGCGAAACGGTCAGTCCTTTGACGTTTTCACCATTTTTGATGGATCTAGGAGGAGCTTTTTCTCTCTCTTTTGACGAAGCGGGTCCTTCTTAGGTCTGCACCTGACTAAGCAAGACTTTCTCTTCCCCTCCTTGCACCAGCCCCCTTCTGCCCCCTTGGTTAGGACTAGGCAAGCAGAACAATCGGGTCAAGTGACCCTTGGCGATAATCTCCATCTCCAGAGAAACCCCAAGTTACGTAGGCCGGACAATCTAGAGAGAAAGAGAAAAAGCAATAGATGTGGAGGTTTCTTCTCAAGTAACATTTAGCTCCACATTCATTTAATATGTTCCTTGTCGTCCACAGAAATGCCTGGAAACATTCAGAAAGTGCTCATGTTAGATGGATAGCAGTGCTTCAAATTTCGTGTTTGGATTCAGGAAGTGCTAAATTCATACTGAAATGCAACCCCAAAGGTCCCGAGTCCCTGGTTAGATTATCTCAAGGGATCCATCTTAGGAAGGAGAAAGCCGCTGAAAGGAAAAGGCCACCGACCAGTATACCTTGTACACCTTCTCCCCTCTCCCCCCCCCCACAACACTAAGGCATTTTTTTAAGAAGTTTCCAGAAATGGTTAAGAGTTGGGGAACCAGCACAAGAATGCTACTGTCAATGCTGCAAATTTATTATTTATTTATTTATGAGACTTATATACCGCTTTAAGTGCAAGCACTCTCTAAGCGGTGTACAGCAGTAAGCAATGTATGTATATATTTACATTGCCCCCAACAATCTGGGTCCTCATTTTACCCACCCCGGAAGGATGGAAGGCTGAGTCAACCTTGAGCCGGTAAGATTTGAACCGCTGACCTGCTGAACACAGTCAGCTAAAGTGGCCTGCAGTACTGCACTCTAACTGCTCCGCCACCTCGGCTCAATATTGTATATTCTTGCTTTTGACAACATGCAGAATTGTCTGGTAATTATGGGGTTAATACAGAGCAGAAGGGGGGTTGGGGGTAAAGCCCGGGAAAGAAAGAGGAAGAAAACATTTGACCTTCACACTAATTGGATAATGTGAGATATGACGGCTAATTTAGGAGGGAACATGCTGATAATTTAACTGCTCAGAGGAAGAGAACTTAGATCCTAGCATCCCTCCGTTGTGCCTGTGCCGACATTTTGTAACAATAAAAGACTTTTAGGAAAATAATGCCTGGAAGTTCTTTGGAAAGTTTCATTAGCCGGAACCATAACAGCTGCTGGATCCTGCAGCCTTCCCATCCCCAAAGATCCTGGCCTCCTTCTCCAAGTATCCGATGAGGCTCATCCAGCATCTTGGACAGAAAGGCCCGGCCACTCAGTGCAAAAAGCCTTAAAGAAGAGCATAAACCTCCTTCTGATGGCGGCTTCCTACATTTCTCTCCAGGCATTCAGAAGGGCTCAGTGTGTCTCTGGCCACCTCCAGGATCCACCCAAAGCAGCAGAGCTTTGACCCTCTCTTTTCCTCCCAAACGGACTCTCCAAGGACCTTTGAGGGTCCCCCTCCTTTGAGCCAGAAAAGGCAACGTTAAATTGAATTCACTTTCAATTTATTACATTAATTAATACATTCGTTACGCATGGATAGCCGTTTCTTTCCCTGGAAATTAAATAGGGCAATCTGGTACCGGGAGCAGCTGTTCGGGGCTGCGTTCAGAATTTGTGGGCAGACGTGGGGGAAGAAAGAGCTTCAGTCACTGCTTGGGAGCCGTTGTTAAAATATTGCTATTCCTCTCAATGACATCCTCCCAATTCGACAAATGTTTACTTCTGAGGAAAGCCTTTCCCAGACTCCGACATCTTGTGACATCTGACACAAACATTTCCTGACCACAAAAGTCTATAGCGTGTCAAGCATGTTTTCTTGGCGCGCTTTGTGCTTGTTCTGCTTCTGAAATCAATATGGCCGCTCTTCCCCGGGTGCCTTGTGCGGGATCGATCCGGCAGGTCTTGTTGTGAAAGGGAGCAATAGAACAGGGGAGAAAAGCTTCTCGGCTGACATCCTGCTCAATATATTGATCAGCAAACATGGTGCTATGCACACATATCCTGTTTGCTGTGCAATCTCTGCCTAAAGCCACTGAAGGAGTTCCCGGAGGGATCTGGGATTGTGCTTCTTCCCTCACCAGGAACTCCATTGTTCTGGAGTCGACAGATCCCTGCCTGGTCTGTCAAGTGGGGCCACTGAACCCCTTGGCTTCCCCCCACCCAGAGAACACCACTTCAGCCTCCCATCTTAAGGGCTTCCTTATTTTTCCTGGGTTTCACAGCACAGAGGACGTCACTGAAGCTTGCCTGGGCTATGGCGCCCCGGAACATCCAGGAAGCAAGACTAGATCAAACATTTGGGGGTGGAAAAAGCACTTGAGCTTCAGGTTATTTCACCCTGATACCCCTGGAGGCTCTGCTCCCTCTTTGTGTCTCCTTCCAAAGAGTTGATGAACGAGTTGATCTTTGCATGTTGAGGGACCTGTTGAGGGACCTGCTCCAGGGGACTGTCAGCCCTTTCCCCCTGCAGCTGTAGAAAGCCTAGAGAAAGCATTTTCAGATGAGGCTGTTGGCAGGAAGAACAGAGAGCATAGAATCATACGACTGAAAGGGACCTCCCCAAGGCAGGAGTCTTAAAACGTCCAGTCAAATGGCTGCCCAGTCTTTTTCTTGAAATCCTCCAGTGATGGGGCACCCACAAGCCTGGGAGGCAAGCGCCCTGGTGGTGCAGCGGTTAGGATGCAGTATTGCAGGTAACTCAATGCTCACTGCCAGGAGTTCGATCATGCCCGGCTTGAGGACAGCAAAAGGAGGACCCAGCACAACATGGCTGACTCTATAAACTGCTTAGGGCTGTAAGAGCACTGTGAAACAATATATAACTTTCATTGCTAATTGCTATTCCATGGATTAATTGTTCTCACTGTCTGAAAATTTCTCCTTACTGATCCGACTTCCAAGCTCTGCTGTCTTCTAATTCATACAAATGAGGGACTCATCCAGTCCTTCCTCCTTGACGGAGCAGGGCCGTTGTCCTTCCTTTCTCCAGCAGGACCCCCATCTCTGTCCTGAGCCCTCCAGTGTCTGGCTCCTGCTCCCTCCGGCGGCTGCTGCTGCTGCTTTGACAGTGCCCGGCTCCCCAGTGGCGGCAGAGGCCAGAGAGGGGGTTGAGCATCTTCTTAAGACACCCCTCCCCCCCTCCCAAATCAATGCTGCCTGCATGAATAATGGACACCTTATTCTGTCAACTCTTTGGCTCCACATTTTTCATATTGGTGGTTTTTTTTTTTTTTACAAAAAATCTTAATGGCTTTTATATCCTCCTTTCACAGACTGGCATGTTTTGGAGTTCTGTCTTGCCCCGAAGGAAGATGCCTTGGGCTAACTTGAAGCCCCCTCCCCATAGGATTCTTTGTAGGTAGCAAAATAGGAGTAGAGTATTTGGGGCATTTTTATGACACCGCCCTTCCATCAGCCTTGGTTGCCTTTTGGGGGACCAGGGGTGTCCATTGCCTCTCTCCGGGATGCCAGCTGGGGCTCCTGACTTCTCCAGGTCAGGATTAGAGGGCCAGAAGTTGTCCAGGTAGATGGGCAGCTACATTCGTAATAGACAAGGTCCCTGTTCTCAGCAGACAACCTTCACCCCTTCTAGGGACTGCATCTGCCTTCCTTTGCTTTCAGCCTTTCCAGTTTTAGCCTTTGGTAATCTCTTTGCTTTTGGCTGGCTTTTGAATATCCAGATTCTCTTCCTTCCTTCCTTCCTTCCTTCCTTCCTTCCTTCCTTCCTTCCTTCCTTCCTTCCTTCCTTCCTTCCTTCCTTCCTTCCTTCCTTTCTTCCTTCCTTCCTTCCTTTCTTTCTTTCTTTCTTTTCTTCCTTCCTTCCTTCCTCCTTCTTTCTTTCTTTCTTTCTTTCTTTCTTTCTTTCTTTCTTTCTTTCTTTCTTTTTCCTTCCTTCCTTTCTTTCTTCCTTCCTTCCTTTCTTTTCTTCCTTCCTCCTTCCTTTCTTCCTTCCTCTTTCTTTCTTTCTTTCTTTCTTTCTTTCTTTCTTTCTTTCTTTCTTTCTTTCTTTCTTTTTCCTTCCTTCCTTCCTTCCTTCCTTCCTTCCTTCCTTCTCTTCCAAAGAGATTCTGTCATTATGTGTTACAATACATGGTCTGCCACTGTTTTGCCCTTTAATTAACCCTGTCTTCTTTTCCCAGGGCTTCCAAGGGAAGACGGGTCCACCTGGACCTCCAGGTGTTGTTGGTCCACAGGTGAGCCATTCCCAGGAACCTTTCAGATTCTCTGGTCAAAATTCCTTTTTTTTTTTCCAGCTTTGTAGGAGATCTGTTGACTCTCCAATTACTTTCTAATTTGTAGAAACTCTGCCAGATTAATGACAGTTTAAATTCGGTATCACATGGTAAATAGCATGTTTCTGTCTGCTTTCTGAGGTATAAAAGTCTACTGCCTGCTAATTATGTCTGGAAATGCTAAAACGTAATTAGTGTAATTTCCAGAAACAGGAAAAGGAGCAGGGGAATGCCACCCAAATGTTGCATGACATGTGAATGCAGTTGCAAGTTCTCGCACTGACCTTGAAACATGGTTTGCAAACCCTGAATGTGAGTTTGCTTCACCAGCTCCAGTTAAGAGAGACAGAGGTGTTTCACAGAAAGGTTTTAATCAGTCCTGCAGCTTTATTTCTAGTTCATTTTAACAGCTGAACCCTTCTCAGAGGTTGCTGTTGGCCTTCTCTGAACTGGCCTCGCTTCCCACCCAAGCCGGGGCTTTTGCTGGCTGTTAAGAAGCAACAAGCAGGCCACTTATGGGGCAGCGCTTTGCCCTCTAGGATACTCCCCACTGAGCTCTGGGGCCTCCCTGCCCATGGAGAGGAAAACCTGGCTTACGAGGTGGAGGGGCTCAGAGTGGGAGGCCTGTCCAGGCCCTGGAATTCTTGGATCGCTCCTTCCGTCTTGCCCTCCTGGAAGGGGGCAGCATTGTCAGACGCTCAAAAATGCCGGAGTAGCAACGTATATCGTCATCTCTTCAGGCTCTGGGCTTCAGTCTATTAATAACTCCTATAGAAATAAGAAGCTTTCCTGCTTTCCTAAGACTGTCCCAGATCATCCCAGGATTCCTGAAGGTGTGGTGAAGACTCGTCTGGCAAGATGGGAGCAACTCTCACTTATTCAGAGAGAGCCTGGTGCTGCAGATGGGCTCGCCCACGAGTCGGCTAAGAAGAGGGGAGGGGTCAACAGCTGGAAGGGTCTTCCACTCTTGAGGTTAATGTGGCCCTTTCCAGACACCCTGAGATGAGAGATTCCTGTGCTGTCTGCATCCCTGGCTCCTGGTTGGGCAGGAGTTTGAGCTGTGTAGCAGGATGGGCGGAGGTTCAGAAGCAGATATGCTTTCATTACAGGGTATAATCAAACACAAATTAGCTGCTTGCAGCCAGTTTGGATGGTCTTAAACAGAGTCTGGGGAGGTTGTGGAAGCCCTGGGATCTCTGGGGCTGTGTAACTACTCCCCCAGTCCTAGGCACCAGCAGACCAGTGACAACACTGGTAGATGGGAAGCAACAGAGGAGAGTCTCTTGGTATCCAGCACAGCTTGCAAACTTCCCCAATGCATTCAGTTGGCCGTTGCAGAACAATAGGTATTGGCGAGGTGAGCGGTGGGCCTGATCCAGGCCCAAACTCCTGAAAAATACTTCTTCTGGGCTGATGCCTACAGCTAGGCCTTGGCTCCAAAGAGGAAGAAACAGCATAGCCCTTGCAAATACATAGGCAGCTACGCAGGACTGGGAGTGCCACTTGGCAGAGCCTCCCCACTGGGCAGAGAGCAAGAAGGTCTGTTCACACAACCTGCTAAGCCAAGCTCAAAACGGGCTGTGGTTCAGTGTATTGTGGGTGCCGAGTTATTGTCTTTGGTTGGTGGTTTGAACCAGGCTTTCACATTAAACTATAAGGTGGTTTATTTCTTTAGACATCACACAACATGCCTTGTGATTTGTTAACTCACTTTGCTCGTTATGTGAATTAGGCGATTGAGTAGATCGAGGATTCAAGGTGTAGAAAGACACTAATATCCCATCGATAGAATTAAGCTTGATTTGCGGGAGAACAAACTGGCTGTTTTGCACTTCAGTCTGAGGCGGATTTTGTGGCTCGCCTCTGTCTGATGACTGGTTCGTGTACTTGTCCTGGGCTTTCCCCCCCCCCCGACTTGCCCCCAGATTCCCTCTTTTGATGGAATTAGGTTTCCGGGTGCCTGTCCTGAAGGTGCCTCCCCATGTCTTGCAGGGCCCCACAGGAGAAACAGGCCCGATGGGTGAACGTGGCCATCCGGGCCCTCCCGGGCCCCCCGGTGAACAGGGACTTCCTGGCTTGGCTGGAAAAGAAGGAACGAAGGTATTGCCTGCATGAAGCGGGAAGACACCCAGGGTGGGAGAAGACCTTAGTTTTAACAAGTTAATGTTATAAGTCTGGAGGGATTTGAGACTGGAGCATGGGAGAGGCTGGCTCTTTCTTTGGGAGAAAAGTCTAGAACAGTGGTTCTCAACCTGTGGGTCGGACCCCATTTGGGGTCGAATGACTATTTCACAGGGGTCGCCAAACAAGGCTGTCCGCCATTTTTTCCCCCTTTTATTTAGCCATGCCCCTGGCACCCGGTGATGTATAAGTGGTTGGGGGTCACCACAACATGGGGAACTGTATTATGGGGCCATGGCATTAGAAAGGTTGAGAACCACTGGTCTAGAACAAGCCAAGAATTCCTGAATATTGGTTGGCTCTCAAGAGAACCTTTCATGTCCCAGGGAGGCTGTGGGCCTCCATTGCTGGTCGTCCTTCCGCAGCCTCTCCCAGGGGGCTAAGATGGAGCTCCTGCGCTGGGCAGGGTGGTGGTGGTGGCATGGCCTTGATGACCACCTCCCTACCAGGATTCTGAGAGAGCCCTTGGCTCTAGGACCCTCTGGAGACCGTCACAGCGATGCCACCGCGAGCCTTTTCACGCGCATGTTTGCAGTGGGAAAGCTCTGTGACCTCTGTGCCGGGCTCTGCCTCCTGAGGGGCCAGGGCAGAGTCCCTTCTTCCCAAAGACAGATTCCCTTCATGGGTTAGATCTGTTTTCAGATCTACTCTCATCGCAGACAAGATTACTGGGAGAATCGGAAGGGGAGGGGCATTGCCTCTTCTAACATCAGAGCGTGTAAAATGTCGTCGTGCCAGGCTTGGATACCATCAAAGCCCGCAGCCTCCTCCTCCTCCTCCTCTTGGGCGGGCCCTGGGGGACGAGGGAGGGCTTGGCTGCCTGGCGCTCTGACCTCTGGTCCTGCTTGCAGGGTGACCCAGGCCCGGCCGGCTTGCCCGGGAAAGATGGCCCAGCCGGTTTCCGAGGCTTCCCCGGCGACCGAGGACTCCCCGGCCCGGTGGTGAGTTGAGAGCTTTTCTCCCCCTCCTACCCCCTGTGAGCCTTTGTGGTGCCTTTGCACACGAGTGACGCTGCCTTCCTCCCCTGCAGGGACCTGTGGGGCTGAAGGGCAACGAAGGGCCACCGGGGCCTCCTGGACCAGCAGTAAGTACCGCCCGTCTCTGGCTGTGCTCTGTGTGGAGGGTGGGGTAGACCCGCTTGGGTGGTTTGGGCCTTTCAGCCCTTGCTGCTCCCTGTTGGCTGGAGAAAAGGAGGGGGCCTTTGGGGGGCCTCCACCTGTAAGGCCAGGGGGGAGACGGGGGGGCTGGGCTGCCTGCTTGCCCACATCCGCCCTGCGGCTGCTGCTTCAGAAAAGATGCAGACCTGACCTCGGAGCTCATCTCCTGCCCTGGTTCCTGCCTGGGCTCAGTGGGGCAGAAGGGCCCCCCCACCATGAGCTGCTCCCCTTGCCGTTGAGAGGATTCAGAGGTTTATCCGTTTCTCTCGTTCGGTCCCCACCTGGTAGTGCCCTCATGTGCTTCTTTGGCCCTTAGCTTGGGAGTCTTTCCTTTGGTGTTTGTCCTTTCCCTTAAGTCTCAATCCAATCCTTTCTCCTAAGGATTTCTCTAACCTGGTCAGACCCACCGAAGACACAGACCCGGGTGGGGCTCCTGCTCTTTCTTTGAGGGTTTCTTTGCAGCAATTAAACCCTTCATAGTCTGTCCCTGTCCAGCCATGGGAACTGAGGGGGGCTGGAAAAAGGCAAGAGAGTTCATGCTCTGTCCTGCTGCAAGCTTCCTCCATGCATTCACAAGGGGAGGGACCTGCCCTGTATGCTGCACCCACCATCTTGCCTCACCCCCCCCCCACACACACCTTGGATACGGCTCTGTTCATTACTCGGAAGGTGATCCTATAAATGTCGCATTTCTTGGGATTTACTTGTGGCGCTTCTTCTGTCCCCTCCGTGCTCTTGGTACTATACCTCGGGCTTCACTGGATGAAATTTCAAAGTTGGCGGCTGCGATTGGCAGTAATGCTGGGAGGCTTTTCTTGGGGCAACAGAGATCACCTGGACTGTATTCTTGGCAGAACAGTATTCCCCATGCTGTTGACTGGCACACCTGGAAGGAGTTGAGACAGCTATCCAGTTTGGGGGATGTGATTCACCAAGGGCCCCTGGTCCTCCAGGATGGGCTTTGAAAGGCTTGTTCACCTCTGCAAAGTATCCAGGTTTGCCCCAAGTCAGCAATCTGGCTGACCGTGAGCCCCTGTCAACCGTCCCAACTCGGTCAGTTAGGAAAGAAAGATTCCTGGCCCACGATTAGCCAAAAGTATACTTTACTAAAACCAAAGTGATTACAGAAGAGGCAAAGCTGGATCTGAGATTTTTGTGCGCAAAAGATACAATTAACTTTTCCTTGGTCCCAGCCAGCCCCCCGATTATCACTCAATGTCCAATCAGGAATTAACAAATTGTTTGGGAAATGGTCCCTGTCTTCGGGTGCTGGCCGGCTCCGCGTTCTTTTGGTGTGACCTTGAGACGGCTGGTGCTTCTCATGGGACGGGACAGCTTGGTTTCCATTTATCTAAGTTCCCTCTGCGTCTCAACCCCCACTGCTCCCTTCCCCCTGTTACTGATGTCAGGCTGTCAGCTTGCAATACCTAGCTTAGCAGAATGGCAGCTGTGACGCCCCAGATGTTCCCATTCGTCAGAATAGCTAACTGTGGGTAGTATGGATGGAATCGTGGCCAGTCCATCTCAATCCCTGTGGAAGGCTTCATGAGAAAGAAGCCACCGGCTGTGCCCACCCTCTACTCAGCCCCCTTTCCTTGGGGTGTTTGCCTTCTGTTAGCTGCGTATTCACTAACTTTTTTCTTCCTTCTTAGGGCTCTCCAGGGGAGCGAGGTCCTGCAGGAGCAGCTGGCCCAATTGGTCTGCCAGGACGTCCTGGACCCCAAGGGCCCTCTGGCCCTGCGGGTGAGAAAGGGACCCCGGTAAGTTGTGTGTGTGTGCGCGCGCGCATGCATGTGTGTGTCTGTGACTCCTAAGCATTGGCTGGAGCAGATTCGGCAGTTGACTTGGGAAAGCTGCTGTCATTTCTCCCCTTAGATGTTTCTTTCCTGGCATGCACCTCCCCAAATTCCACCTGCTTCCGCCCCTGTGTCATGGTCCACTTGCCGTGTCCAGTTCACTTCTGAGCGATGGCTGCTGGCTTCCTTCTTCGACACAGGAACCAAAGAGTTGTAGCAAGAGAGCTAAGACAGACAGTGACTTGCTCACAAACACTGGTGGAAGGAACTGGCTGGGTGAAATCTGAAAGGCTGCCAGGGCTGGCTGAGCCGGCCTCTCAGGAGGCATGGAGTGTCCTTGGGAATCTCTGGGTGGCCAGAGACCAGCACAGGACACTCCTGGGGAGTGAAGGGAACATGGGGGTGACCCTGGGGAAAGCAGGGGAAGAGAGGCTGCCCAGGAAACCATCCAACCACGTCAGGAGCCCCCCCAATCAGAGAGAGAAACTAAGGAAGGAGGAGCAAGCAGTTAAAAGAGGCTTCAGGAAGTTGTATGTTCAGATTTGCAAAATTCTGTTAATAAGGTAGAATTAGCTCATCTGGTTGCGTTTCCTATCTGGTTTAGCTGGGAGGGCTGACAATACATTTATTGAAATAATGTGAAGGAAAGTAAATAGGAAGAGTTATTAAAATATCCATTAGGATTAGAGATAAGATAAGATAAGATAGGATAGGATAGGATAGGATAGGATAGGATAAGATAAGATAAGATAGGATAAGATAACCTTTATTGTCATGTTTTTTTACTGTGGGCACAACGGCACACATCAAAAATGAAATTTAGTTGCCCGCTCTCAAAGTGAAACACATACGTGACACACACCTAACAACAACATTGATGTTAAATTCCTTCTGATCTTATTTATGCTACCCAAATATGTACTTCCTGCCTAGATGAGGGGTGCAAATTTGCAGCCCTCCAGATTTAATCGTTCAGAGTTAGCTCACCTATTCGTGTTTCCTTCTGGCTCACCCAGGAGGGCTGACGTGGGGTCAGCCCCCAGCAATGTCTCCTGATCCCTCCCTTTTCTGAATTCCTGGAGCACCGCAGGGGTGTGGAGCTAATTCAAAGGAGGGCCTGGCTCAGAAAAGCTTCTGGAAAGATGGGAGCCCAACAGCTTTGCGTGCAAAGATCACCACCTTCCGATCCGACTGAGGGAACACTTCCTGCCATAAGTCCCTCACTCAGGGCTCAGGTTGGGCCGTGCTTAAGGCTGCTTCCCCAGCCCAAATGAAACTGGGTTTATTGCCATCAGACCACAGGGCAGAGCCTCCATCCACCCTGCCCATAGTTCTCTTGTTTGTCCAGCTCCTAGTTCCCGTGTTATCCCAAAAAAGAGAGCCTTAAAATACTGCCTACTCTGAGAAAGGACCAATAGCTTCTGGGTTGTGGCTGAGAAGACTTTGCTTTTCTCCTTGGGCTTAGGGTGAAAAAGGCCCTCAAGGCCCAGCTGGACGAGATGGCATTCAAGGACCAGTTGGACTTCCGGGCCCTGCCGGCCCGGTTGGCTCCCCAGGGGAAGATGGAGACAAGGTAGGCAGCTTCCATGCCAAACGTTCCGGCTTTCCTCCATTGGTTGGGTTGCTTTGCATGTAGGGCCACAGAGCCCTGGCCAGAAGATGGTTTTCCTCCAACGCTTTCAAATGGCAGGCAGTGAAACTGTGCCAACTTTAGAATTGGCCGTTCCGTTTCTTGTATCTCTTTCTCTGTCCACATTTGGGGTACCTTAAGGGCGGAAGAGTTCTCCCCCCAAGTGAAACCCCTTTTTCTAAGGGCAGCTTAGAAAAAGGGCCGTGAAAAAGGATCCAAGGCCGTGTCTGTCCATAAACTGAAGGCTATCAAAATGCAAGATGGCCCTGCAGGTATTGGCACAGTTTGACCCAAATCTGCTCAGTGCTTACACCGTGGCCTGGCCAAATGTCCTGTCACAGGGTGTAAAGCAGCTTTACCTGCTCAGAGACTGATGGAAACGGGATCCAAACCCCCGAGTTGACAGGGGCTCCCGAGGCCATTCATGGTAAGGCTGCCGCAGTGCAGAATTGTGGTCAGAGCCCAGTAGAGGAATGGCTTGTCCCATCATCCCTTGAAGGAAAGCCCAGCCTCTCTCGGGGCCCAGCTGCTCTTAATGTTAGGAAGGCTTTTTTTAATGAAAACTTTCTTCAGATGCCATTTCTGCAGTGCTGGTCATCTTTCATGCATGGTTTTCTTCCAAGAAATTTCTCAACATACCAAAATGATTTTAATTTTACAATGTTTTTTTTCTGGAAGTGCAGCTTTGACCTGGGGGGGGGGGAATCTACCCAGTGGTGTATTCATTCTTCATTTTCTAGGATCAGACCAAACTAATAAACATTATTAATTTGTTAAGAACATATAAGATATGGAGCAAATCCAGGAATCTTCTTCCTTTCTTAGGTTCTCATTGGTTGTTGCATATGACAATTCTGCTTGTATTACGGAATGATGTTTTCCATTTATTAGGGTGAAATTGGTGAATCAGGGCAGAAAGGAAGCAGAGGTGACAAAGGAGAACAGGTGAGCTGTGGCTTTCCCACACGGGGACAAGGGAGGAGGTTACCACCCGTGTCCCGAGGCATCCCAGTGTCCCTTTTCTACTAACTCCCATGGGCAGCTATGGAGTTGGAGCTGCTTTGGTGAGAGCATTCGTGAGTCAAAGCTCCTTTTCCAGCTTCTCCACCCTCAGGGTGGGCCAGAGGCTCCAGGAGTGAGTGAGGCCACACAAATCTTAACCCAGTATTGGAGTCCATCCCACCACTTCCCAAACAAAGAGAGACATTCAGTTATCCGACATCATTGGGATGCGCCTTGTTACTTCTTCAGCAAGGTTTTGAATTGCAAGGGTCTAATATTTCAGCCCTCTCCTCTGAGCATCCATCACTGTGGTTGGAGGACCCTGGCAGAATCCGAGGGGGGGGGCGTGTTCGGCCAGATCCAGCAAGGTGTCAGTGCGACTTGAGAGCCTCGTTCCGCATCGTTTTCCTTAGACTGATTTCAACTTTTTTTGCCATTTCTTTGAAGACGCGTCTTTGTTTCTTGCTAGGGTCCACCGGGTCCTATTGGTCCACAGGGCCCAATTGGCCAACCAGGTTTAGCGGTAAGTAATCCTTCTGTATATAAACGTTCTCTGTATATAAAATATCAGCTACAAAGTCTATCACTCCGTGGCTTTAGAGGGAACAGGAGGCCGATGGGAGATTCGTAGCAGGAAGAGAAAAGTTTTTTTGTGCCTCATTTCCTCTTAGATTCTCTCACTTCTTATTATATATCCTTTTAGCTCCATGCAGTGGGTAGCATAAATAGACCAAACTTTTCAAATAAAAGGCCCCTCAGGTTGAATTGCTTGGCTTAAGGAACTAGAATTGCGTTCCTTAAAGCAGTGGTTCTTAATCTGGGCGATATTGCCACCCAAGAGGCGATTTCATTTTTCAGGGGGGCAAAGGAATGAAAAGGGGGCGATATGGGACCGATGGAGCGAGATGATTTGGGGACACTCTTGAGACTTTTTCGTACAGTGAATCGCTGTATATCTGTCGTACAAAAACATCAGATCGCTCGCTATTAGTGGATTGAATTGTGTTTTCAAATGTTCCTCCAGCTAGCTTCAGTACAGAACGCCGTACATATGTGAATATGCATCGCTTATCTTCATGCGCGTTGCGCAGCAGCCTCTACCCATACAGTGGCACGCCCTTGGCCAGAATATGGGAGATACGGGAAAAAGACTGGAAATAAATTATTTGCATCGATATGTCCTGATGACAATTTTAAAGAAAACAAAAAAAAAGTGTTTGCATAAATTGAAGAATTATTTCCTATGTTGTGATTGAGCGGTTATGTTGGGGGAGAGGGGCGATGACAACTTCCTCATTGGCTCAAGGGGGCGATTCGTTCAAAAAGGTTAAGAACCACTGCCTTAAAGGGTTGGGTGGAAGCCTGTATGGCTGCAATCATTGATGGCCTAATGCGTATTAGAGAGCTCGATCTCCTTCTGCAGGAAAGTCAGAGAGTCCAGCATTCAATGTGCTGTTAGCCGTGAACTTTTCCCTCTTCTTCCAAGGGAGCTGACGGGGAGCCTGGCCCACGAGGACAGCAGGGCCTTTTTGGACAGAAGGGGGATGAAGGGCCTAGAGGATTTCCTGGCCTTCCAGGACCGGTTGGGTTGCAGGTAACGGTCAAAAGGGATCGGCTCTGGAGGTCTGGGGTGGAGTCATCATGTGCAGCATTGGATGGTTCCAGCCGAAACAGAAAAACAGAGAAATTAGGATTGCCAGTTGAACTGGGTGTCAAGTAGCCTCTGCAGTTATAATTCCTTCTTTTTTGTGCACATTGACAGCTGCCCTTTGGCACTACCCAAAATTGCTTGGGCTGTAAAAATCTAAAAGGGCTTTTAAGCTTGGAGCGTTTGTTCCAGATGTGTCATGGTGGGTGGGTGGAGGGATGTGTGAAATATCTGTAAAATGTGTGAAGCGAGATTCCCTCCCCTCATCTGGATGCCTCCCCCCTCCTCCCCCCCCAATGTTATTTAGAAGAGCTGGGAAGACCTGGCCGTCCACCCAGGGCTTCCGTGGGAGACAGGGGGCTTATTTTCTCCATCCCACCTGCCAGCTTTTATCTTTACTTTTTATGTTTTATTGATTTTATTCTAATTTCTCATCTGAAGTGAGCAGCCCAGCGTTGTTGAGAATCAGGAAGCGTACAAGTTTAACATATTATTAGCATTATTGTCATTATTTGCAAAGTGTGTGAAACGTTTGCAAAGTGTAAATATTTTGTCAAAGTTTTTTATCTTGGATATAAAGCAAATAAGATTAATAAAATAAGATGAATGATATAAAGTGTGGTTAGAAGTAGAATCAAGAAAATAAAGGTCAATTAGAAATACTAGTCTTTCCTAGCCGGGTCTTGCCAGGTCTTCAATAAAATGAGACTATTTTTTAGCCTTTTAGCTAAGAACAAATGTAGAGTTTGCAAAAAGGTGGCAAAGTTTAATTGGATAAGTTTAACAGCCACATTGGAGTCAATAAAGGCCAAGCCCTTCAACACAACTAGTGCAGGCAATGAACTGGAGCCGAGTGTCAGTCATCAAAGGTCCAGGAGAATATATGAGCCGAGGTGGCGCCGCAGTCAGAGTGCAGTACTGCAGGCCACTTTAGCTGACTGTGTTCAGCAGGTCAGCGGTTCAAATCTCACCGGCTCAAGGTTGACTCAGCCTTCCATCCTTCCGGGGTAGGTAAAATGAGGACCCAGATTGTTGGGGGCAATGTAAATATATATATACATTGCTTACTGGTATACACCGCTTAGAGAGTGCTTGCACTTAAAAGCGGTATATAAGTCTCATAAATAAATAAATAAATTTGGCCCTCAGAAGGGGGATCTCCAGCTATCATTGGATTATCTTTTAGCCAGGCAAGGAAATGGGCATCAAGCTGCTGTCATTTGATAGCTGATCAGCACCAACAATTTCTGAACCTCCTGCCTGTCAACAGCAGAGAGCTCTTGTGATGGCTGGTTGCATCTCCTGGGTCCTCACATCATGTGGATTGCATGGATTTGTCAGATGGGTCACATCAACACAGCGATGGTGTTTGCAAATGCAAGCTTGTCTTCACTTTATCTCTTCAAGTAAACTGTTCTGCCTTTTCAAAAGCTGAAGGGAAGAAAAACTCTTTTTAATTCTTTCAACAGGGCTTACCTGGACCTCCAGGTGACAAGGGAGAAACTGGAGATGTTGGTCAAATGGTAATAAAGCAAATTGTTTTCCCTTAAATGTTAATGTTACTGTAAGGACCCCCCCCCACTTTGCATCTTAAGAAGACAGAACTCTTGGAATAATTCTTCCAATAGGCATCCTTTATTAAGAGAAACTGGTTGCAGGCGTTCAGGACAGGACTTGGGGTCCAAGCTCTCCCATTCAAGGTTTTAACGGGTTCCCCAGTAGCCCCACCCAATCATCCCCTACTTCCAGCGACAGTCTCAGGCAATACACTCCCACCCCCTTTTCCTTTCTGCCGGCTGGAGGGAGACTTCAGAGAGGAGTATATGAAAGGTAATAGCCCCATTGTTATGGTTAGTCCTTTTGGGGATATCCACATTCAGTCTCTTTGAAGTGTACCGAAGGAAATGAGGGCCATAAAACCCCTTTGTTCACCCCCTTCCCTTCATCATATGATAGAATCTGGAGAAGGCAGAAATGGGGTTTTCTATAACTGATAACTAGAGATGAAATATAATTGGATTCTGACAGTTACTGTGTAAGTTCTGGTCAAAAGCTTTATCTTTCCATCATCTGAAAGGCTATTTTCTCTCCCTTCTCCAGGGTCCCCCAGGCCCTCCCGGACCCAGAGGCCCAGGTGGGCCCCCTGGAGCTGATGGACCACAAGGCTCAGTCGGAGGGATTGGAAATCCAGGGGCCGTTGGTGAAAAGGTAATGCCAATTTGCAGGGGAATCTTGGAAGGGGAAGACAGAGCCTAAAAATGCTGCAGTTAAGAAAGGTCTGCCTCTGGCTGTATAAATGTTTATAGAAGTATATACCGAGAAGGTTAGATAAACAGAAGTATTAATCTTATTGTATATAATACAGATAGGGAAATTTGGAGAGAGGAGTTGCTCGGACATTACCCCTGAATTGTATCTGAAGAGGGTTGTCTTAATCTATCTGCTCCAATTAGACTAAGTCTGAAATTTAGTACCGCCCCCTCTGTGCCAACTGCACCCCAGTTTTAGGCTAAGGTGATACTCAGACTTTAGTCCGATGCGTCTGAACAATGTGGGAACCAGGCCAACTGACCTAATGGGAGGGAGTGGATTCTCCATCATCATGCTGAGAAAAGGCGTTCAGGTAAGACAACGCCCCTTTCTCCAGCATGATTGGATGGAGAACCCACGGATGGGACATACCAAAGCCCTGTGTCCCTAGGGTGGGGAATTAGATTGGGCCTGGGTCCCATCCAACGTTAATGTGTGTTCTAGAACCTTGCGGTCAAATGAAGCCGTAGAAGAGGCATATATACATCCATCTTGTAGGAAAGGGAAGAGGGCGATCCCATGTCGTTGTTCTACAAATTCCCTCTATGGAGGCCTGATTAGACCAGGCAACTGTAGCAGCTGCGCCCGGGTGGAATGAGCCGTGAAATGCCTAGGAGCTTGCAGTGACTGAGACTGGTATGCCAGAGAAATACAAACTCTAATCCACCTGCGTATTGTGGTTGAAGAAACCTTCTAACCTAGTGATGAAGGGTGATAGGAAGAAAGGAGAGGAGAGAGAAAAGAGTAAAGGAGGGGAGAAGGAAGTAGGAAGGCTGGAGGAAGAGGAATGGGAGGAGAGTGGTGAAGGAGAGGAGAAGAGGGAAGTAGGGAAGAGAAGAAAGGGAGAAAGAAGGTAAAGAAGAAGGAGTGTGGATGCGGTGAAAGGGGAAATGGGCGAGCAACACCAAAAGTCATGTGTATGTATTTATTTCATTTTGTTAAAAGTATCTTGTATGTGAGTGTGGAGGGAATGTATGTTAATATCTGATAAAGTATTACGGTATATGTAGGGGGGAGAGTTTGGAAAAATAAAAAATTATTTAAAAAAAGAAAAAAAAAGAAAGGTCTGCCTCTGTCTGAAAGTCTCAGCTGGGTTTTAAGAAGATCTATTGGGGGGGGGGCTTACCAAAGCTCCCCTGCTACCTGTCAGGGGTACAAATGAAGGGCAGCTGGACCAACTTCCAGACTGGGGGTTGGAGATTTTGTGGGAAACCTGGAGAAAGCTCTGGACTCTGAGCGTCTTCGGCCGTCAGACCAAAGTATCCCAGAGCCGAGGGGGCTTTGCCTAGAGCTGACTCAGGAATTCTGGGAGTGGAAGTCCATGAGTCATGAAAGAGCCGAGGTTGCCTACCCCTGGCCTAGAGCACACGGATTGTCTTGCCTTTTGCAGGGAGAACCTGGAGAAGCAGGGGGGCCTGGCCTACCCGGAGACACTGGACCAACGGTAAGATTTAAAACGTTTTTAAAAGTATCTCTGATGAAAAGTATCATTGAGATGAAATGGAATAAGATCGGTGCTCAGGAATGGCTTCAAAGTCTCAGGCAAAGATTTTTCAAAATGGCGTTTGTAACACCGTTTCCGGTTCTATCTCTTTTCCGACCCTACCACCAATAATGTCTTCTGGAGCCATATCCCACCGGATGGATTGACGAGATGATTCACAATCACTGTGGTGCTTGTTCCCGTCTCAGTCTTCTATCAGACCCCTAATTCTTCTGAGTATGAACAATTCACCCGTCAACCTATCTGTTTATTGGACCGGTTGGTCCCTTGAAATCCAGCCCCACAGAAACCAGCTGCTTAATCAAGGCAGGAGAAGTCAGAAGACACAACTCCAGTGCAGGAAGCGAGCTCTGCATCCCGTGAAGGCACAGCAGTGGAGGAGGCATCTGTGTCTTAGTGTGAGGCTGATTGAGCATCAGAAAATAATCAAATGCTGGTCATTTTTTTGATTTCCTTTAAGTGCTGATTGGACCTTTAATCAGCCGTTGTCCCCCCTAATCTGTTGCTGAAACAAATCTGACCTCTAACGAGCATCTTCCTTTGACAGGGTCCTAAAGGAGAGAGGGGGGAAAAAGGGGAAGCAGGCCCCTCTGGGGCTGCTGGCCCCCCAGGCCCCAAAGGTCCCCCAGGAGATGATGGCCCCAAAGGGAGCCCGGTAAGTAACTCCCTGCTCTATTTTGCCCAGTCCCCATTGTTCTCTGGGCTGGGCTGCTGGTTCCCTTCTTTGCTTTTCTCCTGTTCCTTGAGAATCCTGCTGCATCTGCTTGGTTCTTAGGTGCTTCTTCAGACAGACTTTGGGGGCAGGCTGTGGGGCCTTTCCCTGCAATAGGGGCAGCCCAGCTGCCTTTGCTTCCCTACAGAGAAACCCCCTTTCACGGAGCTCTTCAGAAAGACATCCAGGCAGGGCTGGGGGGGCGGGGAGATCAGGAACTTGCTTCCTTGGGCCTTTTTATTTATGGAACAAGTTTATGATTGTTATAAATAATAGGTTGCCCAACTCCTAAACAATTCTAAAAAGCAACTCATTAAAAGGAAAATCCAACAGATCAAAATGCAAAGCCCCTCGTGGTGAGATAGGGCAGAAATAAATGTAATAAACAAAAGCAAAGCAAAACACAAACAAACCAAAACTGGACTCCTCAGTCACCCTGTCCCCAAAGCCTGGGTGAATAACCAAGTCTTCAACAAGCCCCCTTGGGGTGAGATGGGCAGCAAATACATTCAACAAACCAACGAATGACATAAGGCTGGGAGTCGCATACATCTGTGCAAGAAGGGTTGAGATTGGATGATAATTGGCCAGGAACACCGGCTCCCTGTCTTTTTTGAGAAAAGGGTGCCCTGCATGTAGCTCCTTCACGGTTGAGGGGACCATCCCCTCCCTCAAGGAACCTGACACCACCACTCAGCTTTGCCTGGGCAGCCTTAACCACCTAGGACAGTGGTTCTCAACCTTTTTAATGCTGCGACCCCCAACCGGTCGTAAGTCAAGGACTACCCAACCGGTCGTAAGTCGAGGACTTTCCCTGCCCGGGTGCATGTGTGGTGCCGCCCCCTGCGCCGGCCGAGGCGTAGCTGCCAAGCAGCAGAGACGGCGCATGGCGACCATCGGCTGAGCCACCAGCTGGCCCAGCCCAAGGGAGGTAAGGCACTCGGAGGGCCCCACGCACACCAGCAACCCTCCCTGCGCCCGCCGGCCTCCCACCTCCCACTTCTGGCCCTCTTTTATTTACATTTTTAGTAATTGCTCAGCAGGGAGGGGTGGAAGCTTCCAGACAGCTTGCCTTCACTGCAGACAACTTGCAGCACCGTTTGCAGAATGGGACTTTTGGCGGGCTCAGCAGGGCAGAGACAGCCTGGACAATTCCTATTGGCTTTGGAAAGCCAATAGAATTAGACTGCGTTGTTTGGCGACTGCATTGTTTGGCGACCCCGTGAAATGGTCGTTCGACCCCAAATGGGGTCGCGACCCACAGGTTGAGAACCGCTGACCTAGGATCTAATAAGCAGACTGCGGTGTTAATAGGCTAGAGCCGCCTCCACTTGCGTACGAATTACAGAATCAAATTCGCTGCCCAGGGACCTCAACGTGGCCCATGCAGTCAAGGGGCCCTCTGACTGCAGGGGCCAAGTTGAGAGACCATCAGACCAATAACAGGATATTTTCTCTCAGTGTTCTGCTTGAGATCACGGCGTTGTTCCGTTTCATGGAAGTGGGTTTTCTAATCGCCCTTGATCTAACTATCGTGGTCAGCGTATTGCCAAGATGGTCGTTTCTTTCTTTGTTCTGCTGAATGGAGGATTTCGTGGGAATCCAGTCATGCTCTTCCTTTCCAGGGTCCAGTTGGCTTTCCAGGTGATCCAGGTCCTCCGGGGGAGTCTGGTCCAGCTGTAAGTACCAAGGGAGGGCCCTTCTTCCTCAAAACATGTCTAAGAATTTTCACGGGGAGAAAATTCCAGGCAGCTGCTCTCCAGATCTTTTGGAAATATTTCAGTCTGGATTGAAATAGGGAATGTGGACATTTAGAACGTTGTATTTCCCTTAAGATATAAGATATATATATTTCTGAATATATGCATGTTTTTCACTTTTGTGGCCTATTGATTCATTTTCTGATAAGGAAATAGTTCTATCATCATCATCCTTATCATCATTATCTAGCAGGTCTATTCTTTTTACAATGGTTTCGTTTTTCTTTGCTATTATTGAATGGTAGAAATTTTTAATCAAACTTGATCTTTGAAATCTTGATCTTACATCGAACTCATTAGAGAGAATGCCCATGTGCTCCACATTCATTGAGAATATTAATATATTCGTCCTGTATTGTTTAATTACAAGAGCCAGTTTGGTGCTGTGGTTATGGCACCAGGTAAAGAGCGAGACCTGGAGTTTTAACCCTACCCTAAGCATGGGGGGGGGGGCTGAGCCAGACCCTTTCCCTCAGCCTCAAGAAGAAGCAGGCAACAACAAACAACTTCTGAAACTTTGCCAAGAAAATTGTAGGGCCCAGTCTAGTCAGTCCACGAGGAGCCAACACTGACTCAAAGCCACACAAATATATTAAAATGTAATAAATTATATATAAGTTATCTACAGTTCCTGTGTCACCTCTTGCATTTAGCCATTAATAACTTCCATTTTATTAGGAAATTCCTTAGGAACGTGCCCAAAAGGCATGAAATAGTAATGGGAAAGTTAAGAATTCCTTTTCTATTTGAGACTAAAACAAATGAAGAACGGCTGCAAGAGTTGGGTTTGGCCAGTCTAAAGAAAAGAAGAAATAGGGGGGACATGATAGCAGCATTCCAGTATTTGAGGGGCTGCCACAAAGAAGAGGGGGCCACATTATTCTCCAAAGCACCAGAGGGCAGGACAAGAAACAATGGATGGAAATTGATCTAAGAGAGAAGCAATCTGGAATTAAGGAGAAACTTCCTAACACTGAGGACAATTAACCAGTGGAACAGCTTGCCTCCAGAAATTGTGGGCACTCCATCACTGGAGATTTTTAAGAAGAGGCTGGACAGTCACTTTTCTCAGATAGTATAGGTTCTCCTGCTTGAGCGGGGAGCTAGACTAGAAGACCTCCAAGGTCCCTTCCAACTCTATTCTATTCTACTTTCTCCTAGGGTCAGGATGGCCCACCAGGTGATAAGGGAGATGATGGTGAACCTGGCCAAATGGTGAGTACCCTGACTAGAGGCAGGTTGCATGTGTTTCTTAGGGGCAAAAGATGCATCACTTTGATTAGTACCAAAAATAGGATGTGGATGAGTTAGCGACTAAGTAGAGACAGCCACCAAGAGAGAGCTGAGGACTGGGGGGAGCCATGAGCCAGAACCTGGGGTCAACTGGTGTTTCCTGAATGGGTCAGCCTTGGAAGCCTTCATTTGGAGGAAAGCCTATCCTAAGACTAAATCCCCTTTTCTTCTTTTTTAAAAACTGTCCTAGCTGGCGCTCCTGGTGCTTCTCTGCAGAAGACAGTTTGGAACGTCTCTCTCTTTCCACAAGTGTGCAAATAGCAAATTTCTGGTGCAAATCCTCTGTAGGTGACCAGCTAGAGTCATATGCCAAGATGAATTTAATGGGCAAGATGATAAGAAGCCTAGGAGTCAGAAAGATATTTAAGGATGCTCTTTTGAGCTTGTGGTGACCCCCAAAACCTCATAAAAGGACATTGTCAGGCTTGTCCCAGCTTGGGCATCCAGGGAATGAAGACCTTCAACTCCATTTATAGTGAAAGCCAAGTGGTTACAGCATAACAAAGCCAGATCTGAGGATTTCCCGTGTCAACCTAGTAATTTCCCCTTCTCCCAGGCCCTCCCCCGTCATCTTGGTGGTGTCCAGGAAGATTCAAATTAGGGGTTTTGCTGACAGTTCCACATTTTGGTGCCTCTTTGGTGGGTGTTTGCATTCGGTTCCCAGGCTGGTGTCCTTGGATCTCTCCACCGTTGTCTCTGGTTGTTACATCTGGTTCCTGTCCCTCCCCCTCCCTATAGCCTCCCATTCCCCCTCCCCACATTTTATGACAGGTTCCCATCAAAGCAAAGCGAAGCTGGGCTGAAGCGGTTTGATGGCAGATCTGACAGGCGTAAAATGGGGGCAAAAATCACTTATCAACTCTGGCTTAGCAACAAATTTGGGGTCGGTTGAGGACTTTGTGTATCCAAATGAAGCTTTAGCCCAGGGGTAGGCAACCTTGGCTCTTTTATGACTCGTGGACTTCAGTTCCCAGAATTCCTGAGCCAGCATAGCATAGCTGGCTCAGGAATTCTGAGGGTTGAAGTCCACGAGTCATAAAAGAGCCAAGGTTGCCTACCCCTGGTTTAGCCTATCCTCCAGTTCTTGTGTTAGAGCTCTAAGGATAAGCATATTTTTTCTCTCTCTCCTTTTGTTTTCAGGGCTCCCCGGGTCCAACCGGAGAGCCAGGGCCTTCTGGACCACCAGGCAAGAGAGTAAGTTGCCTTTTCAGTCTTTCATCTCCCAGTTTTTAGCCAAAACGCCTCAGAAAATGCAACAAAAAGGCACAGCAGAGCTTGTTTTTAGCGAATGGACACCTGTATCCTGATGCAAACGGGTCAACGGTGTTTTAAACTTGCAGATCAAATTCCGCACCTCTGCAAAGAAAACAGTAGCAGGGACATCAGAGGTGTTAATTATTGAAAATATAATGTATCACCATAACAACAAATCTCTGACATACTTGGGAATCTTGACCTGAATAAAGGGCATTGCTGTTATGAACAAACAATTACCTTTCTTGCTGTAGCAACCATGTTAGTTTGCAGCTCGTTTGAAAAACAGGAAAGCAAGGATAAGAATAGTTGTCAGAGGCTTTGGAGAAATCACATCACCCTCCAGAAATAGGGTGGGGTCTTCCAGATTGTCCTGCTTCTCCTCCAGCCAGATTTCAAATATCTCATAGATACTATTTCAAAGTTATATATTTGTTCTAATTTCTTTGAGTAAAAATCATCTGTTGTTTGCTTTGAAACTGGTTTCCACTTAAGAAGAAGGTTAGAAGCAAATAAAACAGACAGAGAAGCTCCATCACTGGAGGTTTTTAAGTCTTTAGAAAGAGACTGGACAGCCATTTGTCCGGAATGGTCCAGGTTCTCGTGCCTGATCAGGATGTTGGACTAGAAGTCCTCCAAGGTCCCTTCCAACTGTAGTCTGTCTGCAAAAAGCAAAAACAATTATGGATTCGTTACCTGAGGGAACCTCAGACAACTCCTGACATTCAATGAAAGGAAGGTATTGTTTTTAACAATGAAAATGTTGGATGAAAAATAACCATGAAAGATAAAAGCGTTTTTTAAAAAATGGCCAAACCTCTGAAGAGCCATCCAGCCTCTTGGCTCGTGCTGGGGATGGAGGTTGGGCCTTCTTTTGGTCGAGCTGTTGTTAGATCTGGCAGGAGGTTCATAAGAGGCAAAGTTGCTACAACCATCTGCGTTTAATCTCACTGCGCTGCGTCTCCCAATCTCTTTAGGGGCCACCTGGGCCAGCGGGACCCGAAGGCCGCCAGGGAGAGAAAGGCACCAAGGTAAAACGCTGAGCTGCTACCAGACAAAGCAGCATTTCTGCTTTCGGCCATGTTCTCCCTGTAACATCTTGCTTCTCTTTAGGGTGAAGCTGGATTGGAAGGACCTCCTGGGAAAACGGGTCCTGTTGGTCCTCAGGGACCTCCAGGAAAGCCAGGTCCAGATGGACTTCGGGGAATACCTGGCCCAGTGGTAAGTGTTGGCCAACCAAGGTCAACTTCATCTCTAGGAGAGCGTTGATCCAAAACCAAGAGCATGTACATCAGGGCTTTTTCCACATTCCGGGCACTGATATTTCTCTCCTTCCTCCTGGATTCTCTGGGGATTCCCGGGTCTTCCGCCTGTCCCGAAGGACCCTCCGCCCTCCAGGCCCGTCTCGGGGTCTCCGCCCGTTTCCTGCTCCCCGCTTCTTCCTCTAGGCGGCCTTCTTTCCCGGAGTCCCCTTCGGCTCATCCCTTCCGGGCCTTCCCTGCCGTCTCCACCCGGGGCTGCTCCGCGGGGCCTCCTCTCCTCTCGGGCGGCGCCTCCTTCCTTCCTTCTGTGAGAAGTCAGAGCCCCCCAGAAAAGGAAATATTAAAAGGGCAGAAAAATATATTTTTCCTCAAGGATTTTTAAAAGCAAAAGCCAAATCTCTCTGCCTTCCAATCTCTGCCCCAAGCAAGAGACAGCCCTATACAAATGCAGCAGTAAAACCATCAGCTGCTTTTATGGTCATGGCTACTGGAACAGAGCTTTTCAAGTCAGAATGTGCTTCTCCCTCCCTGCCTTTATCTTTGTGTAAACCAAGAAAGGCCTGAAAAGTTTTCTCAGATTATTTTCTTGGAATGTGGTCAAGACATGCTTGTCTGAACATTGCTTTGGTGGTGTCCTCTAGAGCCATTTCCCCATGCCCTCTTTGTAAAGGCAGTGGTTGAGTTGTGATCCAGATCCTCTGCTGGAATTTTCCTTGGCTCTGTTTTTCAGGAACTGCCCCAGAATCCTTATCTGCAGAGCATTTTAAGTTCACAGAAACCACCTTACTTCCAGCATTTTCAAGGGGATCAAAAAACCCAGTACTACAAACATCCAGACCAACAAATGTCCTTTCCCATGAAGACTGGCTGGTGTTCTTCACTGGAACTTGAAATCCGCAACATCAGATCAGAAGTATTAGAGATGGCAACCTAGAACTAGAACTACAAATGACATGACAATATGAGGGACTGGAAGACTGAAGACCTTGGACAAATATTTCCCTGTTCCTTCTGAGAAGAAAGGCATCAATTCTCACCTATAAACTTAGTTAGGTTACGATGCTAGGCTGTGATGTCATTCATTCTCTTTCAGTTTGCAGCTGCTGTCAAGGTTTTTATAATGATGGATACAGATATGACAACTGAAGTCAAGTATTCATGTAAGATTAATCGGAGTTTAGTCCGAGGAAGCTTCGGCCAGCCTGTGTTTGTTGGCATTAAAGGTGCCACAAGCATATCTTTTGATTGTTGTGATGGATGTTAATCTCATTATGGTGGCGCCGCTGACAGAGCAGCCTCCCCAGAGACTTGACCAAAGGCACTTGTCAAGACATCAGATAACTGTAACTGAACGATTGAATGGATTTTGTTCCAAATCACTTAATAAACTAAAAATCAAGACATCCGGTTCATGGTATGGGTCAAAGCTCACCAGCCGGTTGAGAGAAGGGGAAAAAACTTCTCAATAGCTTGCATGGAGAGCAGAAAGAGAGTTGATAGAAAAGGAATCTGGATCTCCTTGAGAAGCAAACGGTTTCAGATGGTCAGTCATTATCACAAATTAGCCAAACCCAAAAGCTGCAGGTTCTGTGGACCACAAGAATCTTCAGATGGGATTTCTCTCTCTCTGATGTCAGTCAGAAAAACTGAGCCAGGTGTTGGAAGCTTTGAGAGGAGATGCCTTCTTGTTCTCTTCTTGTGGCCTTGTCGAGGCCTGGTTTCGTATCTTATGAGGCCTTATTTTGGCCTTATTCTTCCGTTCCCTCTGACCATACAGGGTGACGCTGCAGAGTCCTTCAGAAGAACTTTTTTATTTTGCTGGCCTTCAGAAAAATCTCCAATTGATGTAATGAGGTCCGTGACTCGATCGGTGGAGTCGGCCACCGCAGCAGATTCGAGGAGATGGGATTTTTGAAGCCTGGCTTCCAGAAAAGCTCCACCTAATGGGGTCTCTGACACCATTTGCAGACTCTGCTGCTGCAGCAAATTCTAGGAGATGAATTTTTTGAGGGAAAATCCCAGTAAGCAGACCACCCTCCCAACTACCTGGGAGGGATATCAGAATTTGGTCAGGCCTGTTTAATTTGTACCCCAGGTGGAGGTCAAGGGCAGGCTGGCCTCCTACTCAGCAAGATTCCTCTTGGGAGTCTGGACTAGGAATGCTAAAGCAGAGACACACACACCCAGGTATTTCACTCCCACTCCTTTATCCTTAGTTATATCTTAGATTTTACATCTGCTCAATACCGGTAGTCCTCAACTTACACTTATTTGCTTAGCGACTGTTCAGTTATGATGGCACTGACAAAGTGACTTAGACTCACACTTACAACTGTTGCAGCATCCCCATAATCGCACGACTGCAATTTGAGCACTTGGCAACTGGCATGTATTTACAGCTGTTGGCACCTCACAGGGTGAGGGGATCCCCAGTTGCGGCCTTCCCTGCCGGCTTCCAGCAAGTAAAGTCATTTGTGTAATAATTGGTTAGTAACAGCGGCAGTTCTCTTCCTCAGTTAAGGATTTCAGCAAAGAAATTGGGTGAGATTCACATAAGAACTGCATCGCTTAGTGGCAGATGTTCCGGTTCCAATTGTGGTTGCACAGGACCTCCTGTAGCCCTTTTAGACTGCGGGGGAGTCGCGTCCGGCTGCTGCCCCAAAGGAAGGCGATGCACAGACATGCTTTGCACCTGCTGGGAGACAGCACTGGGCTCGGGTTTCCACGGTGAATGCTGCATTAATCATGGCTATTGCTATGGCAACCCTCCTTGAAACAAATACGCGGGGTAGAAATGGAACATAAAAACTCCATTCTCCGTACCTGTGCCTCGGTTGATTCTTCTAGATTGCGGGACATATGCGAGTATCTCCCACCTCAGTTAGCCATTTCTCCTACTAACCCAGAATGTACCGTAATAGCTAAATGTCTCCGTTGTTTTCTAGGGTGAGCAAGGCCTTCCGGGTTCCCCAGGCCCAGATGGACCTCCTGGCCCGATGGTATGTCCGACATTTTGGGAATTGTGCTTTACCAGCCTTGGGGTTGAAAGCAAAGGCCGGCCCCTCCCCCACCCCTTCAGTTCTCCTGGTTCAAGCAAGATCTGCCTCTCGATGGGGGGTCGGGGGGCTGCAGCCCCAGATCCAGAGCAGCCTTTTTCCTCCACAGAGCATCTTGGCTGGCCAGCCCCTCCCTCACGAAAGAGCTTCTGTCCTGACCTTTATGGGGAACCCCTCGAATGGAGCCGGGGGGGCCCTTTGAAAGTGACCCCCCTTTAGCGGCATGAAAAACAAACACTCAGAATTAGAAATGTGTTCACTTCGGTCCAAATTCAATTTTCCTTTCCCAAATTAATTTGGCTCCCATAAATCTAAAAAAAAAAAAAAAAAGTGGCCGAACAAGATGCCTGGTTTTTATTTATTTATTTATTTATGAGACTTATATACTGCTTTAAGTGCAAGCACACTCTAAGCGGTGTACACCAGTAAGCAATGTATATATATATTTACATTGCCCCCAACAATCTGGGTCCTCATTTTACCTACCCCGGAAGGATGGAAGGCTGAGTCAACCTTGAGCCGGTGAGATTTGAACTGCTGACCTGCTGAACACAGTCAGCTAAAGTGGCCTGCAGTGCTGCGCCACCTCGGCTCTTTTAGTATCAACCTTGTTGTTCTCTCCAAAGGGCCCACCTGGATTACCTGGCCTGAAAGGGGATTCGGGTCCAAAGGGAGAAAAGGTGAGTTTCCAGCATTAAGGTAATGTGAGTGGGCCCCAAATTAACCTCCAGACCCAGCATGTGAATTTGAAGCCTCTGTCTTAACATCCAGACCTGGAAAGGGAATTCCTAAAGCCAGCTGGGACTTGCAGCTTCTGGCCACGGCCTGGCTTCTCTCCTCATGGCCCAAAGAGCGTTTGCCATGCGGCCCTTGTGTAAGGACCCACCCCAGTTTGCATCTTAAGAAGACAGAACTCTTGGAATAGTTCTTCCAACAGGCATCCTTTATTAAGAGAAAGTGGTTGCAGGCGTTCTAGACAGGACTTGGGGTCCAAGCTCTCCCATTCAAGGTTTTAAGGGGTTCCCCAGTAGCCCCACCCAATCACCCCCTTCTTCCAGCGACAGTCTCAGGCATTACACTCCCACCCCCTTTTCCTTACTGCTGGCTGGATGGAGACTTCAGAGAAAATTACATGAAAGATAATAGCCCCATTGTTATGGTTAGCCCTTTTGGTGATACACACATTGTAAGGACCCCCCCCCCACTTTGCATCTTAAGAAGACAGAACTCTTGGAATAGTTCTTCCAACAGGAATCCTTTATTAAGAGAAAATGGTTGCAGGCGTTCTAGACAGGACTTGGGGTCTAAGCTCTCCCATTCAAGGTTTTAAGGGGTTCCCCAGTAGCCCCACCCAATCACCCCCTACTTCCAGCGACAGTCTCAGGCATTTAGACTCTCACCCCCTTTTCCTTACTGCTGGCTGGATGGATACTTCAGAGAGGAGTACATGAAAGGTAATAGCCCCCATTGTTATGGTTAGTCCTTTTGGTGATACACACATCCAGTTCCTTTCTTCAGAGAGAACGACATGAAAGGTAATAGCCCCATTGTTATGGTTAGTCCTTTTGGTGATACACACATTCAGTCTCTTTGAAGTGTGCTGAAGGAAGTGAGGGCCATAAAGCCCCTTTGTTCACCCCCTTCCCTTCCTTGTATGGCAGAATCCAGGGAAGGCAGAAATGGGGTTTTCTATAGTAGATAACTAGAGATGAAATATAATTGGATTCTGACACCTTGCCTTTTCTAGGGTCATCCCGGGTTGATTGGTCTTATTGGGCCTCCCGGCGAGCAAGGAGAAAAGGGAGACCGAGGATTGCCAGGACCTCAAGGAGGATCAGGGCCTAAAGGAGAACAGGTAGAGACCCCGGAGAGCCTGGCCACCAGGTCTCTCGGTTGTTCTTAAGCTCCCCCTGGGGAGGTTGAGGGGGCTGAAGCTTCCAAACTGGAAAGAACTCCCCCACTAAAGCTGGGGATTCAGAAGGCTTTGCAAGCATGGATTCTCCTCTTTGTCTCCTCCTTCCAGGGTATTCAAGGTCCGTCCGGCCCCCTTGGCCCCCCTGGCCCTCCAGGGCTGCCGGTGAGTAGCAAAGAGGCCGGGACTTGGCTCCACTACATGAACACGTGGGTTCCCCCCCCCCACTCGCACCAATATAATAGAACACGATCTGGCATTTCAGTGATTTCAGAAAGATAAATATCTTTAGTCTGAAGTATAGCAAGAATTCTGAGCGTACAAAGCAAACGGCTGTTTCAGCCTCAGACTGACACGCTGAATTAGGACACAACTTGGGGGCAATCTTTGTGCTGCTAATCCGCGCCGACCTCGGGTAGGGGCTGCTTAGTTATGTTCAATGGACGCCTTGCCAACCAGCTCTTCTCTCTTTCAACCAGGGGCCCCCCGGTCCAAAAGGTGCTAAAGGATCTTCCGTAAGTACAAGTATCAAATCTATCAAAGGAGGAAAATTGTTTTATTACGATTAATGGTAGTATTGCTGTCCACGTTGCAGTCTCGGAGGGGGGGGGCAAGGGGGGAAGAAGCTCTTCGTTTCTTTCCTGACTTTCCAGCTTCTTCCCCTTTCCACATCTTTGTCCCTCCCATCATCCACCTCTCCCCCTTCAAGATGTTGCTCCTTTGATTACTCTGAGGTGACCCGGTGTCATCCCCCAGAGGAATGAAAGGTGACATTCCTGTTTTCTGTGGCTGTCCTGAATCTTTGTCATTCCTGGGGAAGGAAGGAAAAGTAGCTCTAATATGGAGCACAGTGGCAGAAGATTGGGGGGGGGTTCCTCTTCCAGACCCCAGCAGGGGGATGAGGGTGGCTGGGAGCACGAGGGAGACTGTCCTTCTGCATCTCTTCTTCCAGTGAATTTCCTTTGGAGAAAAGTAACAATATGAGTCCCTATTTGGCTCCCGGTGGAGGCTTGTCCCTTTGTGGGCCATGGGGTGTAGCCTTTGCTTAACCCTTTCACCCTTTTATTGCTGCCCACAAGGGAATGCAGAGGGGGGGGGTTGGGTGCCCCTGCCTGGCCCGAGAAAACATTAGAGGTTGGGGGGAGCTAGTCAAGATCGAAAAAGGAGACTGTTCCACGGAGATTGTCAAATGTCCCAATCAATCATCCAGCAAAGAAAGACTCCTGGCCACTTTTTTTGCCAAGAGTCTACTTTACTGAAGCTTAAGTGGTTACAGAAGTAGCGTAAGCTGAATCTGAGATTTTCCTGCGCAAACAACACAAAGGAAAGTTCCCCCCCCTCCTGCCCCTGTTATCGGCAAAGGTCCAATCAGGTGCTTGTATATTGTTCAGGAAACAGGTGCTCGGTTCCCAGATCCACCTATCGCCTGGGCTTCCATCCCTCTTTCTTCACATTCCGACCCCTCCCATGCTAATGTCTGGCTGTCAGCTCCTGAAGCTTGGATGGGCGAGAGGCAGCCATGACAGCGATGTTCAGGGGCCTTGGCAGGTTGCAATGTACACCGTACAATCTCCATGTGGGTTTCAAGGAGACAAGCTCATGCTTCTTGAGCCAACATCCCTTCCCCTTTGTCTTCTTGAAACCCAAATGGAAATTGCACGGTGAGAGTTGCAATGGTCTGGGTGGCTTTCTTTAAGGCAGTGTTTCTCAACCTTGACCATTTTAAGGCAGGTGGACTTCAACTCCCCGAATTCCACAGCCAGCAACGCTGGCTGTGGAATTCGGGGAGTTGAAGTCCACCTGCCTTAAAATGGTCAAGGTTGAGAAACACTGCTTTAAGGGCTCTGGAGGGCTGCGGTTGTGCTTTGGCATCTTGTTAACTGGCCTTGTCTTTTCTGCTTCTCCTTCTTCCCAGGGGCCAACCGGTCCAAAAGGAGAAACTGGCCATCCCGGCCTACCAGGACCTCCCGTAAGTGCTGCGGCTAAGATGCTTTCCAGGTTGTCAGAAGCTAGTCTTGCTTCTCTGGTGTGGCCTCCCTCAAGCCGGGTTCCTGTTCTTCTCCCATCCTCCAGGGTCCTCCAGGAGAGGTCATCCAACCCCTTCCCATCCAGTCCTCCAAACGGACGCGCAGAAACATTGATGCCAGCCAGCTGATGGATGATGTCAATTCTGACAATTACGTGGACTACAATGACGGCATGGAGGAGATCTTCGGGTCCTTGAACTCTCTGAAACTGGAAATCGAGCAGATGAAACACCCCTTGGGCACCCAGCACAACCCAGCTCGGACCTGCAAGGACCTGCAGCTTTGCCACCCGGACTTCCCGGACGGTAAGTGGCAGCTGTGGAAGGGGAGGGGGAATTGTTGGCTCTGGAAAGAGAAGGGGGTAATTGAGCTTTTATTTATTTATGAGACTTATATACCGCTTTTAAGGGCAAGCACTCTCTAAGCGGTGTACAACAGTAAGCAATGTATATAAATATTTACATTGCCCCCAACAATCTGGGTCCTCATTTTACCTACCCCGGAAGGATGGAAGGCTGAGTCAACCTTGAGCCGGTGAGATTTGAACCGCTGACCTGCTGAACACAGTCAGCTAAAGTGGCCTGCAGTACTGCACTCTAACTGCTGCGCCACCTCGGCTCTTAAGCTTCTTGAGCTTCTTTTCAAACATTCACAGATGTTCCAATTTGAGAGAGGAGTTGCTCGGACATTACCCCTGAATTGTATCGGAAGAGGGATGAGAGGGATGAAGAAAGGAGAGGAGAGAGAAAAGAGTAAAGGAGGGGAGAAGGAAATAGGAAGGTTGGAGGAGAAGAGGAAAGGGGAGGAGAGTGGTGAAGGAGAGGAGAGGAAGCAGAGGGAAGTAGGGAAGAGAAGAAAGGGAGAAAGAAGGTAGAGAAGAAGGAGTGTGGATACAGTGAAAGGGGAAATGGGCGAGCAACACCAAAAGTCATGTGTATGTATTTATTTCATTTTGTTAAAAGTATCTTGTATGTGAGTGTGGAGGGAATGTATGTTAACATCTGATAAGTATTACGGTATATATGTAGGGGAGAGTTTGGAAAAATAAAAAATTATTAAAAAAAAAAAGATGTTCCAATTTGGTCCCATGGATCAGACCAGTTAGACCAGAGATGTCAATCTAATGTTAAAAAGTTGTGTAAATATCACGGTTGGCATGACAGAAACAGAGTTAATCCAGATGGGTGCTAGGCTTTCATTCTGGACTTCCGTAGGGCTCCCACCCTGACTGGTTTTAGACAGACAGACAGCAGGGGAAGCAACTGTGTGTGAACAGGGAGCAAATCTCACACTCAGCGGCACTGATGGCGTTGCCTAGTCAAGTAACGAAATGTCTGCAAGCAAACAGCCAGGCGCAGCGAGCACCACGGAGCCCACAGAGATGCTCTTCTCTTGGAAGCTGTTTTTCATATTTGTGTTTTAAATTGGAAACATTCCTTTTTAAAAAAAAGAATAAAGGTAGATTGAGAAATAACATGCACTTCAGAAGTGCAGGAAGTTTGATAAAGTCCTGCTGAAAGACAGACATGAAGCTTTTCACCTCTCTGGAACCTCTCTCGGTGTCAGCCCCTGGAAAACACAGAAAATAGAGCTTTTATGAAGGATTTTTTGGAGCCAATGCCAAAGATGGTGTTTGGGCTTTCTAATTTCTACCCACATCTTTTCTCCCAAATCTAGGAGAATATTGGGTAGACCCAAATCAAGGCTGTTCCCGGGATTCCTTCAAAGTTTACTGTAATTTTACTGCTGGTGGGGAAACTTGCATCTTCCCAGATAAGAAGTCTGAGGGGGTAAGTAACTCTTGTTAATGTCTTTTTTGCTGTCCCTTTGGAAGATAGTTTGACAAATTTTCATTCTCTGCACGTTGCCTTGATTTTGCTTTCAACAGCATAATGCCCATCAGGAAAAGATTGAAAAGTGAGCAAAAGGCTGTCCCAGAAAAGGGGGGGGTCCACCTATTCTCCAAAGCCCCTCTGTTCTATTCTAAATTCTAAAAAGGAGAGATTCAGCCTAGAGCTACGGAGGAACTTCCTGACAGTGAAGACTGTTAATCAATGGGACAGTTCGCCTCCAGAAGTAGTGGGTGTTCCATCCCTGTAGTGTTTAAAGAAGAGATTGGACATCCATTTGTCTAGGATGGGAGGAGAACCCCGGCCTTGGGCAGGGGGCTGGACTAGAAGATCTCCAAGGTCCCTTCCAGCCTTATGATTTTATGATTCTGTGAATTAGAGGCAGGAAAAAAAGAGCAAAGAAAATGAAATTGAACAAATCTAGTTTCCTTCAGCAACAACCCTGTTCCTTCTCCATCCCTTTCCTTCCTTGCAAGTCATCCGTGCTTCTCACATGTCTGAATGCTGATTCAGATGCTGCGTTTTGTCCTTTGACCTTCTCACTTCAATAGAATAGAGCTGGAAGGGACCTTGGAGGTCTTCTAGTCCAGCCCCCCACTCAAGCAGGAGAACCTATACCATTTCAAACAAGTGACTGTCCAGTCTCTTTTTTAAAACCTCCAGGGATGGAGCACCCACAATTTCTGAAGGCAACTTCTGTTCCACCGGTTAATTGTCCTCACTGTCAGGAAGTTTCTCCTTAATTCCAGGTTGCTTCTCTCTTTGGTCAGTTTCCAACCATTGTTTCTCGTCCTGCCCTCTGGTGCTTTGGAGAATAATTTGACCCCCTCTTCTTTGTGGCAGCCCCTCAAATACTGGAATACTGCTGTCGTGTCACCCCTACTTCTTCTTTTCTTTAGACTGGCCAAACCCAAGCCGTTCTTTATATGTTTTAGTCTCTAGTATTCTGCCTTGCACATCTTTTAAATTTTGCTGTTTATTGACAGACTTCTGAAAACAATTTGCGTTGCTAATAAGCTGCAAAGAAAGCTGAAATATGGCAATTTCCTCAGATTCATACATGCAAATATATCATGTCATTTCCTGTATATTAAATTATTGGTAGGTCAAGTGCATCAGTTTGAGTGAAAAATGTTGCGTTGGAAGTGAGAACAGCTGTCCAGCCTGTTGTCGTCCATTCACACTTTCACTTCCATGCTTCCCTCTTAATTCATGGATCGCACATGAATATGGGTGAATGAGGGCCTTGTACTGGCACACACCCCCAGTCTGCTTTGAAAGTGAGATCTAGAGAAGAGACCAGTCTGGTTGTGACTGTTCTTGGGGCGGGGGGAGCGGGGGGGGGGGAGGTCTAGGGACCATTGGGACAAAAGTTTCTGCTGGGCCTCCTGCTTTGGGTGGGTTAAAAATGGCCCCATGTTGCTCCTTGTCCAGATTGGAATCTAACATGTTGGATCTCCTCTTCTTGGTGTGAACATCTATGAAAGGCCTGTGATTCCTAGGACGCCAGACACATCCAGGCCCCTCTTTTTTCCACATAGATCGGGGCATCTCTGGAGACAAGGCTGAAGTCCCTCGGAGCACTCAGCCTTGAGACGCTGGGACCTCTGGAGGCTTTTTTTTTTTAATTGAAAATTTTTGCAATTTTACAATAAAATCCCTCTCCCACTACCTCCCCACCCTCCCAGAAACCCTCCCCCCATCTTCCCAGAGCTGAGTACAGGGTTAACTAGAACTAAAAATGCAAAACATTTAAACTTAAGTAAACCTCAAACAAAAATTACATTAAAAAAACACAAATTTTTAAATACTTTGAATCCAATATATATATATAATAAAAAGCACTTATTATCTTAAACTTTAAACATAAATTATTCAAAAGCTAAATAATATCTTTTAATATCATACTTATACTGTATAAAGTTTATCCATCTTTTCCACACCAAGAGATATTTCTCTTGCGTTTGATCTTTCAAATAAGCCGAAATTTTTGCCATTTCAGATAAGTAAGAAACTTTAAAAAACCATTCCTCCAAAGTAGGCAAAAATTCCTTCTTCCAATATTGTCCTATCAACAACCTTGCCGCTGTGATTAAATTTAACATTAAAATAATTTCTTTATCATCACAATCAACAATAATACCCAACAAAAACAATTGTGGAGTGAATTTTATCCTTCTCAACGTCTGCAGGCTTTGAGGGCTCAAAGTGTCTGGCTGGCCGCTGCCTCTTAGATGAAAAACTAATTCCATCATTTTCCAGCCAGCACACTCTTTTTGGCACAGGTACATCTCTGTGTCTCTGAAAATGAGGAAACCTCTGTTGCTGTCCCTCCCTCCCCACCCACCCACATAACAGTGACAATTTGACCACAAAAAGCCTCCAGGAGTCAGGCCTGAAGGCTTCTAGGTGGGAGAAGGGGCCTAGCTGTGTGGGACCACAGCAACACTCAATCCTGTGAACATAAAACACTCTTATCCTAAGAATATTTTTCACTTCAATTTCTTTAAGCCAGTGTTTCCCAAACTTGACAATTTTAAGGCATGAGGACTTCAACTCCCAGAATTCCACAGCCAGCAACGCTGGCTGTGGAATTCTGGGAGTTGAAGTCCACATGCCTTAAAATTGTCAAGTTTGGGAAACACTGCTTTAAGCTATGGATCAAAAGGTGTTTGTGTGTGTGTATAAGTGTGCAGATATGTGTCTATTTATTCTTGTGATTAAATACTGTTTATTCATAGGACATATTTATTTTCCTAATTATACACTGCCCTAAAAACAGCTTTTTCACGTTTAAATGTCAACTGCTGGTTCAAGTGTGAAGGAGGCTCCATGAAACCCCTGCAAATAACATAAAGTCACGTGAAAAAGTCTGGGCATGTTTATCGGAGTCAATCCTCTTTCTTTCCCTAATCACGGTAGCATTTTTGAAAGCAGCTCAAATCCGCATCAGATCTTTCAGGCTGGGTTTGGGATGAGATACATCCTCTGCGCTTCCCACTGGGGAGGGGGAGAATTGGGGGTGGTGGAAGGTTCCAGAACATTCTCCACTTGAAGAGCGCAGGGAGCATTGAATTCTCAGCACTCAGCCTCCCAAGTCCCTGAGTTCCTGTCTGCCACCATATTCTTGGCAGCAAACAAACAAACACCATTTCTTGGTAGCAAGAAAGAGACATGTGAATGCACAGAACGCACAGTTAGTCTGAAAAGCTGCTATCAGTGTCAGACCTGCCACAAACTTAAACCTCTAAGTCAGGGGTCCCCTACCCCTGGTCCGTGGACCGGTACTAGGCTGCGGCAGGCCAGCAACCGGTCTGCAGAAACACGCAAAGCCCCATCCGCGGGATGCAGGCAGCACACAAAACCACGCACCCTCTCTGGTCCGCAGAAAAACCTCTCCATGGAACCGGCCCCTGGTGCCCAAAAGGTTGGGGGCCTCTGCTTTAAGCAGAAAACAACCCTTGGCCCTGCCGTCTGCGAGCAGTTTGGCAGTTTCAGTCTCACTGGCTCCAGGTTGACTCAGGCTTCCGTCCTTTCGCGGTCGGTAAAATGAGGACCCAGGTTTTCGGGGGCAACGTGCTAACTCTGTAAAGCACTGTGAAGTGGTATATAAGTGCTAGTGCTGTTTGCTGAGAAAGATATATTTTTATTCGAGATCAAATGTATTGCAGTAGTGCAGTGTTTCCCAAACTTGACAATTTTAAGGCATGTGAACTTCAACTCCCAGAATTCCACAGCCAGCGTTGCATGCCAACATCCTTATGTTATACTCTCCCCTCCTTTCCTCTTCTTAACTGTCTTTCATTTCCCACCCAAGGTAACCAATTAAAATCTTGCAAGCTGTTTTCCTAAGGGTCAGTTCAAGTGTGCTCTGTTATGCCACTCTCTCCTCCTTCCAGCTGGTTACCTTGAAGCAGCATTTCAAGTTGGCATAGCACTTACTTTGGGTTTCCCCAATGTGCCCCCCTTCATCCCCTTTCCCCATAATGTGTCACCACATATCAGTGAAGCACAAGCAAGTAGGAGGTGGCAGCTCACTATCAGATTTTTTTCTGAAGTTTGGCTACCAGGACTGACATAGCTCTCCTATTACAATATCTGGAACTCCTTGGAGGTTCATTGATAACAGCCATCAATAAACATACATGGCCTCCCAAGGACCATGTTGACTGTCCAGTGTTGACTCTTGCAGGGGAAAATATACCCCCTTCGGCGTGGGTTCGCAACCTGGGTGTCCTCCTTGATCCACAGCTGAATTTGGAACATCATTTGACGGCTGTGGCTGGGAGGACCTTTGCACAAGTTCGTCTGTTGCACCAGTTGCGACCCTACCTGGACCGGGAGGCTCTCCTTACAGTCACTCATGCCCTTGTCACCTCACGTCTGGACTACTGCAATGCGCTCTACATGGGGCTACCCTTGAAAAGTATTCGGAGACTACAGTTGGTCCAGAATGCAGCCGCGCGAGTGATAGTGGGTGCTCCTCGATACACCCACATTACACCTATCCTCCGTGAGCTGCACTGGTTGCCTATTGGTCTCCGGGTCCAATTCAAGGTGTTGGTTATTACCTTTAAAGCCCTATATGGCTCAGGGCCAGGCTATTTGCGAGACCGCCTACTACCTCATAGTTCCCTTCGTCCGGTTAGATCCCACAGGCTGGGCCTCCTTCAGGTCCCGTCAGCCAAGCAGTGCCATTTGGCGGGGCCGCGGAGGAGGACCTTCTCTGTGATGGCGCCCACCTCTTGGAACCAGCTCCCCCCGGAGATTAGGACCGCTCCCACCCTATTGGTTTTCCGTAAGCTGCTTAAGACCTGGCTTTTCTGGCAGGCCTGGGGTTTATAAAATCTGAGCCCTGGATGATTGTTCTTGTACTGTTTGTTTTGTTATGTTTTATGTGTTTTTATTGTTAGCCGCCCAGAGTTCTCCGGGAGTGGGGCAGCTTATAAATTTTAAAAATAAATAAATACAAGCTTTCAAGAAGGACAATGAGTGTTGATTTTTGAACTGCCTCAGACTGCTGGAAACTGTTGAGTGTGTGGGGTTTTAGCCGTGGTGCCAGCAGGGTAAAGACCTCTTGCTTACTGGGTGATGCTTTAAAATTGGATGGGCCTTGGATGTCTTTAGACTGCACTGCCATCATCCATCCTTTGGCTTTTTCACTAGAGGGGCGAATCAACCGTCCCCCTGGCCAGGATGGCCTTAACAGGCCCGTTTCTCTCTTGGCTTTCTCCCCACCAACCGCCAACCATCCAGGCTCAAGTTTCTGGGTGCTCTTTCAACACATCCGGCCCCAGGAAGTTTCAGGAATTGCATTGTCGTTTTTTGGTTTTGCTTAAAAGGAAAGACTCAAGTGATTTCCGTGGGAATCTTTTATTGCAGACTGTAACGCTTCTTTTTGTCTTGTCTCTGTTCTTCTCTTCCCCCACGTGCCTCTCCCACTGTTTTCAGGCTAGAATTACTTCATGGCCAAAGGAAACCCCGGGCTCCTGGTTCAGTGAATTCAAGCGCGGTAAACTGGTAAGAGGAACCCACACTCGCCTTTCTGTTTGGCTTTAACCCCTCTCGTATTTTGCAGAGCAAAATGGCCCGTTGGCCCAAAGAGCAGCCAGCTACGTGGTATAGTCGCTACAAGCGAGGGTCTTTGGTAAGTGGTGAAGCTTCTGGCTCCCTCCGCCCTCCGTCTGGAGCACGCCAGCCATGTCCGCTTTCCACGTCTGGCCCCAAGCTAATTTCACTCTATATGCTGAACTAACAAGCGACGCTGGAAGACTCCAAGGATGGCAAAGGAGCAATTGCAGAAGGAGTTTGAAGGCTCCGTTGGGGCCCTCACCATAATCGACAGCACTTTGGCCTTCCTGAGGTTAGCTGCTCCTTTGACCTGATCAGGAGATTCTTGTGAAAGGACAGGACAGGACAGGACAGGACAGGACAGGACAGGACAGGAAAGGAAAGGAAAGGAAAGGAAAGGAAAGGAAAGAAAAGGAAAGGAAAGGAAAGGAAAGGAAAGGAAAGGAAAGGAAAGGAAAGGAAAGGGCTTGAATCAGAACTTGACTCCAGACAACTGGCAGAATTCACAACATATAAAAAAATTAAGTATTTCAATATTCATGGAAATGATATATGCATAAATGGTATTATATTAATGAACTACTTTACAGAAGCTATGTAAATTCTAAGAATTTCATATAAAAATATTTGTCTTTGGAGAAATACGGTCCAAAATAAACTAAAAACGTTACATTAAAATTGATTGAACTGGAAAGATTGGAAGATTCCCAAAATTGAGAGAATGGAATGGAAACATTTTCAAAATTAGAATACCTGAAATCAACTGGTTTGCCTCTTCCTGCCAAAGTTCACTCCCATGTGGCACCTGATGGAATTCAACCTAGTTTTCAATTCACCTTTGAAGCACATACAAATCTGAGTTAATTACGATCACAGGAACCTTTGGGAAACCTGATATCCTGATGCCAACTCTCAGGTGTTCTCCTCACTGGAGCAACAGAAGCACAAGGGAATCCTTACCTAACATTGGGAAGGTGCTGGAATTGCTTGCACTGACTGGTGGGCCATTGTTGAACAACTGAAACATGAGGAGAACACAAGGCTGTGTCTCTTTGGGGGTGGTAATCAAGAAAAGCCAAGAAAGTGATAAAAGATGTAGAATTCATTTCTCTCAGCTTTCATTGTTCAGAAAAGAACTTCTCAGCTTGACAATCTCTGTGCAATGTTTGCTATAGTCTCAGAGCTGGAAGTCTGGCCACAGGTTGCCCAGCTTTATTGGCAAAAAATCAAAATACAGTAAGGTAAATGAAATTTTTCTACTTGAGTTCCATATTCCACAAGTCCATATTTCATGATCTGGAAGGCCGGGAGGCAAAACAGTTTTAGAGGAAGTTAGGCATGTAAAAATTCCTCTCTTTGTGAGGGAAGTGTTGGCAGCACATTTGGAAGCACCCTGAAGAAGAGCAGTGCAAGACTCTGAAGATGCTGACGTTCCACCACAACTATTTTCCTGATGATGTTCTTTGCTGTGCCCATCGCTTCCTCTTCAGCAAGGGAATTCATTCACTCCAAACAACAACAGTGACAGCTGTTTGGGACCTCTTGAAATATTTATTTTTTCCAACAGTCTTAATTTTATTTTAATTTCTAAAAAAATACATCTTACTCGTCTGTCTGCAGTCAACATTACTGTGCATGGAGTGCTTCTGAATGAGATACACAAAAGCTTTTCCAGCTAGGCGGCACTGCCACCACACAGAAAAGGCTGCAGTCACGTGTGTTTGTGTGTGTCCAGAGCTTCTTCCCTGCCTAAGGGAGCCCATGCATGTTCCTAGACTCACCACACTGTACTAACTAGAGAGGCCAGTCCTCCCACCAGTCTTGCCCAAATCATTTTGTTGTCGGGGAAGGGAAGGACTTTGTTTTCAACAGCTGGTTTTTGCTCATCACCTCAAATTTTGCCTTCCCTCTTGTTTTCTTGCTCTCATTATCTTGCTGGTCATCAGGATTGTTTCTTGAACTGGAAATGAGCCACCAGGATCTAGAAGACTTGCAAAGGCAACCGTACCCCATTTGTTCATGCAGTGGGGGTTCCAGATCTATTTGAGAAATTTCACCGTTCCTAAGAAAACTCTTACCAAATTCCTCTGATGCATTAGATGACAGAAATTGAAGAATAATCCTAATATTCACTTTGGTCTATATAGTTGTGGTTGCCCATTTAGCTTACCCATTTAGGTATTACTGCATTTTGATTTGGGGAGCAGCTATCAATGTAGTCCCAGGGCCTTTGAAGGCCATTTGTAGCTCCTGGATCTTAGGACCCAAATGGTGGGTTTGGGGTTTCGTCTCTTGTGTTCTTTTCCCCCCACCCAGAAGGCCTGGAGATGCTCCTTTTGGTATCTCCAGGGCTTCGTGCCTTTTTGAGCTCCTCCTGGTTTGAGTACCAGATGGTTTCCATCATAAACTCTTCATCCCGAGTCTTTGGAGGACCTGTTGCTCTGTTGGCTTGGCTTGAAACTAATTAACTTGCCAACTAACAGTTTTTTGGAGGTAAGATTTATTCCCTTGTTCACGTATTGAATAATATATGATTGATTAATAGGATGGTTTCACCTTCATGGTTCCAATTAGCATTTTTAAAATTCTAAACATTTATTTATTTATGAAATCTATTTGCTGCCCCTCTCGTATGATTCTGAGTAGTTTGTAACATAAAAGCATTAAAGCATTAAAATCATCACTCATAGAAACGCAGCTGATAAAATAATTAACAAATAAAGTCATTAACAGCAGATGGCAAGGGAGGGAGCTGGACACGCAGGAAGGGGAGGTGGGATTAAGTTTTGATTAATCAAACACCTCCAGTAGGAAGCTCCAGTATGAAATATTAATTATTTCCATAATAAATGCAAATTAGGCACCACCTCCCCAAAAAAATTTCCAGTTCTGTAAGTGGGGTGCACTGGGGTTCTGTGCATGGCAGGGAGCGAGAGAGAAGGCTACTAGCTTTTCAGTAAAAAAAATGTCAATTAATTTAATGGACTGGTTAACTAAACGTTGATAAACATCAGTTTAATTTGCATATGTAATTTCTAGAAGTAGTTGAATCCTGCACACACACACACACACACACACACACACACAGACACAGACAATATTCCTTGAGGTAAAAATATATATAATAATAATAGTAAAGTTGGAAGGGACCTTGGAGGTCATCTAGTCCAACCCCCTGCTCAGGCAGGAAACCCTACACCATTTCGGACAAATGGCTGTCCAGCCTCTTTGTAAAAACTTCCTGTGTTGGAGTATTTACTGCTTCTGGAGGCAGGCTGTTCCACTGATTAATTGTTCTCACTGTCAGGAAGTTTCTCCTTAATTCTAGGTTGCTTCTCTCCTTGATTAGTTTCCACCCGTTGCTTCTTGTCCTGCCTTCAGGCGCTTTGGAAAATAGCTTGATTCCCTCTTCTTTATGGCAGCCCCTGAGATATTGGAATACTGCTATCATGTCCCCCCTTGTTCTTCTCTTCGTTAAACTAGACATACCCAATTCCAGCAACCGTTCCTTATATGCTTTAGCCTCCAGTCCCCTAATCATCTTTGTTGCTCTTCTCTGTACTCTTTCTAGAGCCGAGGTGGCGCAGCAGTTAGAGTGCAGTACTGCAGGCCACTTTAGCTGACTGTGTTCAGCAGGTCAGCGGTTCAAATCTCACCGGCTCAAGGTTGACTCAGCCTTCCATCCTTCCGGGGTAGGTCAAATGAGGACCCAGATTGTTGGGGGCAATGTAAAATATATATACATTGCTTACTGGTGTACACCGCTTAGAGAGTGCTTGCACTTAAAGTGGTATATAAGTCTCATAAATAAATAAATAAACATCTTTTTTACATCGTGGTGACCAAAACTGGATGCAGTATTCCAAGTGTGGCCTTACCAAGGCCTTGTAGAGTGGCATTAATACTTCACGTGATGTAGTAGGATATTAGGTGGTCTCTTAATCTCCTTCCAAATTCAGAGGGTGTTTTAGCAGAGGATGTAGTAAAAATTTACCTGGAGTTTCACCAATGGGTTCTCCGTGAGGCCTCTGCTCAAAGATGATCAGAGGTGCAGCTGAGCCAGAACTGAGTGGATAGAAATGCCTCAGCCTGTCCAAATGCCAGCCCAGCTCTGCCAGCTGCACTTGCTGCCATTGGGCTCCCAGGCGCTGGTGTCACTCACTACTCGAGAGATACGCTCTAGTTCTGAGGGGCCCCAATTTCTAATTGCTTCTGCCCATCCTGGAAGAACAGGCGGGGGAGAGGTAATCCAGACCCCTTGGATGAAGACCCAGGTAGGGCACCATCTCGGTCACTGCAACTGGAACAGCCTCCTTCCAGGGCTTGGCTCCTCAGCTGAGCATCAAAAGGTGCTAAGACCCTGGCTGATCCCTGAACCAAAGATGGGAGTTTGATCTGAAATTTCTTCCAAGGAAGTATTCTGCCTGGAGTCTGATGGTGCTGGGCGGCCTCTGAACGGAATGAATGTTGTGTCGGGTAGACGGCCACTCCACTTCTAATTGGAATAACTGGAAAGAAGCTACTGTCAGATCTTTCTGCATCAGAAGAATTTAGGAGACAATAAGATTAGTGATATTTAGTAAGACTTTCAGTTTTGTTTTGTTTTTTTAAAAAAGAGCCTCTTTCGAAAGAGATCTGTTCAGCCTTGGAAGGAAGGAGAAAAAAATATTTTTGTGGTTCTAAGCACAGAAGACTTTTCTGCCAGTCCATCCTTGCTGCTGTAAATACACATTACTATGGAAGAGTCAGTTGCCACTTGTAAGTCTCTTGTGAACAAGTCCTGATCCAGGACAATCCATTCCATCTTCTAGTTCCTGGTCGCTCCTTTTTGCCTGTCATGTAGCATGCTTTTGCTTGCCTCAGTCAGTCATATTGACCTGTCTCAAGACAAACATGGACAGGAGTCCACATAACTGGTTGGTAAAACCTTTGTTTCTTCTCATCGTGTCTGTGTATGTGCGTGTGTTAAATTGACTGATCCTGAGTATGTATGAACAAATTCCCATTCCCTTCTGGCCCACTCAGTCCTTTCGCACAATAACTAATGAACATGAGGGTTTTGTCTGAAAGTTGTTTAACCTTGGCATGCAATACAAGATATAAAGTGAGCATCTGATGCATTGGGTAACCTAATCTTTGACACAAACCCACAGAATAGACTTTCAGATAAATCCATGGAGGAAAAATCCAAATTTCTAACATGGGTGAGTTATCCATGGTTAACCCAACATTCAAGTTTTCTAACGTCTTGAATCTTTCCTAACTGTGGTCCTAATTCTCATGTGTCTATGTAATGATCTTTTTAATTCCACACTTGATTATTCTGCCAATTGTAGGGTTTTCAATTATTTCCTACATCCTGAATGTTGTCAAAACGAGACCTATTTCTTAGCATAGGATTTGCCCACCCTGAAACTCCAAAAATCCCATTTATTTTTCGGAATCAATGGTGGCTGTGTGCTTTTGCAAATGTAACTAAAGAATTGATCCTCCTCAAGGTGGTCCAAGAATACTGTGACACACTTTGTGATAACTTGGGGGGTAAACTTTCTGCTTGCCTAGCCTACCGGGTCTGCTTCTTCCTGGTCTCCTTTCCCGCTTCCCCTCAGCTCTCCTACGTGGACGCTGACGGCAACCCCATCGGAGTGGTTCAGATGACTTTCCTGCGGCTCCTGAGTGCATCCGCTCACCAAAACGTCACCTACAACTGCTTCCAGTCTGTGGCGTGGCATGACGCCACTGCGGGCAACTACGAGAAGGCCCTGCGCTTCCTGGGCTCCAATGACGAAGAGATGTCGTATGACAACAGCCCTTTCATCAGGGCGGCCCTTGACGGCTGTGCGGTGAGTGATGGGGCAAAGAAGAGACTCTTGGGGTGAGGGGAGGGGGGTCACAGCCCTCTCATGCAACCTCGTGGGCTGCTCATGTGGATAGCGGGGGTCTGATTATCTGAGGAGGAGGAGGACAACGACAAGGTGGGGGAGGCAAAAGATAAGAGGCAATAAATTATTTTTTGACTAATGTCTGAAAATAATTATTACTGCATATATTAGCTATCAACAAAAAGAGCTTAATTAAGTGTGATATAATAATGTTTATTGTTGTCACTGATCAGAATTAATTAAGTGCAACAATCAGTACTGGATTTCTCCAGCAAAAGTCTGACTTTGCTTAAGAATATTACATTCTTCTTCCACTAATAGAGATTAGAGTGAACAGTCTTTGGGTGGTTGAATGAATGATCCACTTAATTTGGGGGCAGAGGAAGTGTATGGGGCTCCATCAAAGTGGCGAGACTGGGAATCTCTGGTGGGTACCTGTGCTAAGAGACCACAGCATCTCAGAACAAACCAAGTTTTTTTAGGTTTTCAGGTTCCTTGGTCTGAACAGCATCCTATACAAGAGTGATAATTTCACGTGTCCCTCTTATTAAAGAACTGAATAAGAGACATGACAAGAGCCTTGAAAGCAGTCACAGGGACGAGGGGGTGGGTAGATCCCAAGAGCCAAGAGGTTTCACAGGGAGAGATCTAAAGTTGAAATTAGGAGGGATCTCCCGACCGTGAGAGGTCCTGCGCAGTGGCACGGCTGCCTTCTGGAGTCGTGAGGGCTCCATTGAGGGAAGCCCACGAAGGAAAGTCGGATGGCCTGAGGACTATGAGCTTGGGGAGAGGGGGGGGGGATGAAAAGAACCTCTGAGGTCTCCTCCCAGCTTACCATTTGGAGAAAAAAGATGGAAGATTTCCATAACTTACTGACGTGAACTTACCTAACTTTGCATTTCAAAATTAATGCTTAATGGAAATGCAGAATTCACCTCCCAAAAGTTTGTAAGATGGAGGTTTACATTCAGACAGAAGGTCTGTGCGGGGCTGTCGGCTTCAGCCTCCAGAAGACTCCGCAGAGCACATGAAAGCCCCAAAACAGCATCTGTCTGCAACCCCTTAAAGCTCTGGCCTGGGCCAAGGGTTGGAGGGCGCAAGGGTGTGTTGTCCCCAAAAGGGCTCAGCCTGGGGCAATCAGAGCCAGAAAGGAGAGACGGACTTTCACCCCAAAAATTTATGTAAGCACTTCAGCAAAAGGGTCCCAGCCACTAAAGGAGCTGAGTCTCTGAACAACAGCACAACGCAACCTTTTATACCATTGATTTTCAGAAATAGGGAAGTAAAATTTCACAAAGCTATTACCGTTTTTGGAATTCTAGCTTGCTTTTAGTCTTCGTGCCCGCTTGTCTACGGAGTTATGCCTTGCTTGAGCATAAGTGTGATTTTGCCCCTATGGAGTTATACCTGCTTAAGCCTTGCGTGTCCTTTTGTCCCAGCTTGTGTTTTCTGCTGCTTATTTTCTTGTTGCCAATCCGTATAATTATCTAATTTCGAGTAGGTGTTGTTACATTTCCTCCATTTCAAACTGACACCTTATACAGTTACTGTCAGAATCCAATTATATTTCATCTCTGGTTATCAACTATAGAAAACCCCATTTCTGCCTTCCCTGGATTCTGCCATACGGTGAAGGGAAGGGGGTGAACAAAGGGGCTTTATGGCCCTCACTTCCTTTGGTACACTTCAAAGGAATTGAATGTGGATAGCACCAAAAAGGCCTAATCATAACAAAGGGGGCTATTACTTTTCATGTAGTTTTCTCTGAAGTCTCCATCCAGCTGGCAGTAAGGAAAAGGGGGTGGGAGTGTAATGCCTGAGACTGTCACTGGAAGAAGGGGGTGATTGGGTGGGACTACTGGGGAACCCCTTAAAACCTTGAATGGGAGAGCTTGGACCCCAAGTCCTGTCTAGAACACCTGCAACCATTTTCTCTTAATAAAGGATGCCTGTTGGAAGAATTATCCAAGAGTTCTGTCTTCTTAAGATGCAAAGTGGGGTGGGTCCTTACAGTTAGATTCCTCTTAGGTTTTCACTCTTTCCTAGGATGAGAGCATTCTGCTTCTTAATAGGGGGTCCTTCAGGTACAGCCGGTAGCCACTGTGATGCTGGGGAACGGAGGGAGGGGCCGTTAGCCCCCAAGGCCCCTGGAGCACTTTTGGGGGACTACCTGCAAAGTCTTCTTAGACCAGAGGGAGGGAGGGGGGGAGAGAGGGGGGAAGAGAGAGTGGGAGGGAGGGAGACCTTCAGCTACACGAAAAGTCGTACCTAGATTCATACACTTGTACAAAAATGCCTTATATCAAGGAACGTTGTTGGCAAAAGCAGTGTGCATTAGGCAATATTTTGAACAAAATGTATATATTTTAAAAACATGAACAAAAAGATATAAACCTTAATGGGAATTCTAAAACAATATTTAAGTTACAGCAGGCCAAACTTGATATGCAGTAAAATTAGATGGAAAGATGCCCAAACAGACCGGCTTCGCCATCCAGGGGTTCAGCTGGCAAGGGCCACGGTTTGCAGCATGCTGCGCATTCAGTCCCAGCCAGGATTTTTTTAAAAAATAATCTAAATCTGCATTATTTCCTGTTGCTGAACAACAGAGCGCAGCAGCGGGAGTGGGAAAGTGTAATGGAGAGTAAATAAAATGATACATAAAAGGAGCCTGCTGCTCCGGGCACCTGAACCGCCTCTTCTCCTGCTTTCTTCCTCTGCAGGCAAAGAAGGGTTACCAGAAGACGGTCTTGGAAATTAGCACCCCCACAGTGGAGCAGGTCCCCATTGTCGACATCATGTTCAATGACTTTGGCGAAGCATCTCAGAAGTTTGGGTTCGAGGTGGGACCGGCGTGCTTCATGGGCTGAGGGCCGCTCAGAAGACTCTCCAAAAGAGCAACTTCGTAACCTCATCGCGCCTTCTATTTTTTGGCTACTTCTTTTTTTTTTTTTGTTTGGTCATCACATGCACGTTCTGAAACTGGACAGTTTGATGGGTTTGTCTTTTGACTTGTTCTCCTATTTACCCCGACGTCAATTTTGCCACAAGACCCCCAACCCCAGTCAAAAACCGGACCCCGCTCACCACCGACTCCAGAATCACATGACCTAGAGCCCCCCCCCCGGGTGGCCGAAGCGAGCTTCTCCTTCTGTGCTGCGCCCTTCTTGGAGGCCGCCCAAGGGCTTCTCCGCTCTCGCGCTTGAACGCCTGCCTCTTCAGGACATCCCGCCAGAGACTATGCCTCGTGTCAGCAGCTTCTCTGCATCTGATGGGAAACGGCCCAGTGATCGCCAGTTTCCCGTCCCTGGGTGGTCCCTGAAAGGCCATCGAAAGCCCTCAGCCAGCCGATTCAGCCCCTGCCTGATCTCTGTACAGAAACAAGGACGAAGAACTCTGAAAACCTCTGGATTCTCTTCTCTGCTGGGGTTTCTCTCAGAACCTAGACGGATCTCAGCCAGCCCCAGAGACCTTTCCTCTGGTTTTGTTCTGCTCAGTTCACACAAGAAACACCAGAAACCAACAGCCTTTAAAAATGCCAGGTTCTGACTGCTTATCCCATATGATAAAGGTGCTTCTATTTTTGTATTTTGTAAGTAAATATTTGTATATTATTATATTAAATATTAAATGTTTCTGGGTTCAAAACATGCATGTGAGTCCCCCGTGCTGCACGGAGAACGGGCAGCCCCCTTGGCCCCAGCGTCCGATGCGTTCCCTAAGACCACCGTAGGAATCCGCAGGGAACCGTGTGCTCCCCCCAGACTCAGGAAGCAGGTTCCCTCTGCCCCCCTCCCCAGCCCTCTCAGCCTTAGGAGTGGTACGCCTCAGCCTTACAGGCACCCAAGCAAATGGGATTAAAATTAAGCGTTGCTGAACTTTGGGGGAACTGAGGCAGGCGGGTCTCCAGACTAAGGAAAACGGCTGCCAGCTCGGTGCATCTTTGCCCCAAGTGCACCAGCAGTGTTGAAATTTGTCATATCTGACAAGCAATAAAGATGTATTCTTTATTGCTTGTCAGATATGGTAAGTCTCCAGACTTACCTACTGTGGTTCAATGGAGAGATTTTTTAAAAAATATCTTTTACCAAGAAAATTTCTTATCTTCATTCCATTTTGTTGGTGCTATAGCTGTTGGAGGAACCTTCCAGACCACCCTGGCTGAGCCCTGCCGGGGGTCTCTCCCAGCTTTCCCCTCATTTCAGCCCAGTAATATATCGCCTGTCTCCCCCACCCCCCATCATGACCTTGTAACCCATCAGCCTGGACTCAGCCTGGACTCAATGGTGTATCTGACTATGACCGAGTTTTTACAGCTGGGCTGAGGATCTGGGTTTTTCTTTGGTAGCAACAGGCTATGCGTGCAATGCCTACCAGGGTAAACATGCCAGATTTGTACTCAGTTGCTGAATATTTGTGGTGCTAATTTATGACTTTATTCAATGTACTGAAGTCAAGGCCAGACTTGACCTGTCTCTACAACTCCCCTCCTCTGTCTTTCCAGAGCAAAACTGAACAGTGCAATTGTGTGTGTCTTTCTCCAGTGGGGAGCTTGCAGCAACCACCCACCCTCCACCCCTCTTGCTCACTGCTCCCATGTGAGTAGAAAGGGAAAAAGCACCCCACACCCGGGCCTCGGCCTCGGGCCCAAAAGGAAGGACATCGCTGTGATGCCTCTTCCCATTGCCTTCCTGACCCAGGGAAGCTCCAGGTGTGAGGGTAACTAGCCAGCCTTTGCATCTGTAGATTCCCCTGCTGGGCTGGCTGACTTGCCTTCTGCCCTTCCTGGGGACCCTGGCCCCTCGCCTGCCTCCCTTTCCCACCGAAGGAGCAGGCACTTCCGAGAGGGGCTGTCCGAACATCGCCTGGGGGCCAGGACTGAAAACAGCCACGGGCCACTTTGCCCTCTGAATAGTCCTGTTTGGCCAGTCTTGGCCTTTGTCTCTTGAAGCGGGTGCGAGGCCTTCCCTGCAGCCCACTCCCACTCTTCACTGGCAGGCCCTCTCCTGACAGATTCTGGGGGACCAGCCCCCCCCCCACACACCGGCTCTTTGGGGATTGGTGAGCTGTAGATCCTAAGCTGGAGCATCCCTCCAGAACAGATTCCCTGAAAGTCAGCCGTTCAGAAGCTGCCCTGCATCCTCTTCCCCAAGCGGCAAATTAGGCACAACAATGTTCATGGTGCTCGTTCCCTTCTCTGGGGAGTTTGGGGGGAATCACCGCGTGGAGGGAGGGTGGAGAGCCAAGACACACACTCTCTCTTAGGTCATGTGATTCTGATCTGATTATTTCATCTTCCTTCCTTCCTTCCTTCCTTCCTTCCTTCCTTCCTTCCTTCCTTCCTTCCTTCCTTCCTTTTTTGGTGCTTCTATCAAAATCCTACAGAGTGTTGTAAAACTGTACTGTTGCGTCTTTCATTCCCGTTCCATTTTTCCTCCCCTCCCAGAACACTTAGTTACCGTATATTGCAATAAAATTTGCTTCTTGTATTTGCAGACATATCTTTCTGTGTAATTTTATCCCCTAATATATATCATGACTTGAACAAATGTTGATTAAAAAAAAAGTATGAAAACAAAGATTTAAATACATAGAGCCCCCTCCCCCTTTGAAGTGAGGCTGTGTGGGTATGAATCTCTGCATGTATGTACATGTGTACACACACACACATACACACGGTATGATCAGGTGACCCTATTTGTACAGGTTTCCAAATTCCAACGTTATCAATGCCCATTAGAGGTATTTTTAAGAAAAAAAAATTGAACCTGTGTAATAAAGGAATAAATGTAACCGATATTTTTCAATAAACCAAGTTTACTGTTTCCACCTAACCCCCGTGACATGAATGCTTCTTCTGCCTGTGGGTCCAAACCCAGCCCCACGTTTCTTGATTCCCCAAACCAGCCCAGCCTGGGGTGTGGGGTGGGGGGCAGCAGAAGCTTCACCCCCCCTCTTGCCATAGCTGAGAGTCTTGAAAGGAAAGCAGTGAGGTGGGGCACAGAAATAGGGGCAGCGGCTGCCGTGGATTGGGAAAGAAGGCTGGTTGTAGAGGTGCGTTAGCTGAAACCATGGCTGCCTCTTGCTGCATTTCCTCTGCCAGGTAGCCTTAAATCTTGGGCTGCCTTGTTGGGTCCTCTTCAACGGAGGGAGGCCCAGTTTTCTGACTCCTGCTCTGCAGAGGAGCCAACTTTTTGCATGCCAAGGACCAGCGATAACGATGCCACAGTCAGGGACTCTCGGCCCTCTCAGCAAAAAGAATTTCTATTCTGCCTTCTCCAGGAGAAACAATCCCATGGGTACAGCTGGCATCTTAGTGAAGGTTCAACTCTTTTCTCCCCAATGCCTCCTTTTCAAAGGAATCCTAATCCAGGTCAGCCCATCTAACCAAGAGCGGTAGCCTACTGGTTCTTGACGGGCTCTTACAGAGAAGAGGGGGTCCGCTTATTCTCCAAAGCCCCCGAGGGCAGGGCAAGAAGTAACAGGTGGAAGATTATTAAAGAGAGATTCAACCCAGAACTAAGGAGAAATCCATGGAGGCTTCAGTTCTGATCTCAGGGCCAAGTTTCCGACAAAGTAAGCACAACTGAGATATTCCAATCTCTAATGCAAAACTTTATTGAGCACAGCATATCGGCCCTGATGAATAGAAAATCAGCTCTGGTGAAATTGGGGCCAGAACAGTAAATGGAAAATATAGAAGCTCCCTGCTGATAGTGCAGGCCATGTTCCCCAATTAAGCATCAGACAATTGTTGTGAGAGAAATCTTTCTTTACTTAGGAAACAATCTGAATGACCTGGATTCCCCCAGCTCACAGCCGAAGCATCATGAGGTTTCTTTGAAGCTTGACATTCAGCTTAATAATAATAACAACAACTTTATTGTCACTTTAAATGTACACCAATCGGCATACACCAAAATGAAATTTCGTTGCATACAGCTCTCAAAGGGTCACCACCTCCGATATACACTCCTTGTTCGTGGCCAGTTCAAGTTACAGATCGTCCATTTTAGTCTCTAGGGAGCGAATGATGGCAAACAGGACAGATGGAAACGGGGCTCCGTGTGGATTAGCCCTCAAATTAGCTTATATTCCTGGATGGCTACCTCGCCTCCTTTCCTTTGTCTGATCCTGTCTCTTCCACCTTTTCCTTAAAGAGGCCTTGCTTCTTTCCACCCCTGGAGAACACTGCCGCCACCACCAACTCCTCCAAAAGCCTCTCTCCCTTCCTCTGGGCCTGCCGACAGCCTCCTCCAGTTCCTTTGCTCCATAAGCCCCGGGACCTCCTCTGGAAACAGCCAAATTTGCAACAGAATCCTCCATCGCTGGGCCAGCAGTCAGATTTTGTTGCTGACAGAATTTCAAACAATGCCAAGGGTTTAAGGGTCTCACCAACAGTTCTGAAACAGCTAGAAACTCGCCATGCCAGCAAAGATTGTCGGTTGTATGTTACCTTAGTTCCACCATGTTGCTCAAACACATTAAAACCTTCCTGATCATGTGGCCTATATCCCTTAATATCCCTCCCAAAATTTTTCACCTTCGAGAGCCAATGCAGCTGCAGCCGATCCAGGTGCCGCCATCTTAGAACATCTTAAGAAAACTATGATGCTCACAATGAAGGTTTTGGATTTAGGCAGAAGAGCTTCATGTCAACCACAGGGAGGGTGTGGGCGAGTCCGTCTGTGCAAGGTTGTTGTGGAGAAGAAACCATCTTGGAACATTGCTTTGAGCTCCCAGGTGGAATGGGAAGAAAATGTAACATGCCACTACCACTCCGTGTCCAGAGTCTCTAGAGGGAGGAAACAGCATGCTTGGCCTTTCTCAATGGGCCATGCATGCTTCTTCACTTGGACCGTCATCAAGACAAGACGTCCAGAGATCATCAGCCAACCCCCCGCCCGTCTGCCAGGGTTATTCTGCCTTGAGCAATAGGGGAGCAGGTTCTGGCTGGCCTTGAAGATCTCCTGAACTACCAGGTGACAAAGGGAGGGGGTTGCAAAATGTAGCAGGAGGGGCGACCTTCCCCCATGCCTGTCACCTGTTAACTGGGTTCCCTTGAAGCTGGGATCTGCCACTCGTGTAAGTGCTGAATCTCAGTTTAACAATACCTTGTTGTGCTAGCTGTCAGGCCTGGGGGGGAAAGGTTGTTTTGTGGCACAAGAATCACGGCATAGAAGCTGCACCTGCCCCCCGATGCTCAGCAAGAACCTGGAGTGTGTTTTGACAGTAGGCTACCCTGTGATCTGGGCATCCTTCTGTGGGAGGTTCACACAATGCACTTGGCTAGGCTAAGTGAGGTTGGTTAGTTTGTAGTTCAGCTTTTGACATGAATACAAGCAAAGAGGTCATTATGTTAACCCATGAGGTGGCGTGTCTGGTTTTAGGAGTTAGCATGATTTGGAAGCCCAGCCCCAGTCTTGGGCTTACAGCAGTGGTTCTCAACCTGTGGGTCGGGACCCCATTTGGGGTCGAACGACCATTGCATGGGGGTCGCCAAACAACGCAGTCCGCCATTTTTCCCCCTTTTCCTTAGCTGTGCTACTCCCTTTTGTTCTATTGGCTTTTGAAAGCCAATAGAATAGACTCTCTTGAATAGAGTCTAATTCTATTGGCTTTCCAAAGCTAATAGGAATTGTCCAGGCTGTCTCTGCCCTGCTGAGCCCGCCAAAAGTCCCATTCTTCAAACGGTGCTGCACCAGTTGAGTAGTCCTCGACTTACGACCGGTTGAGTAGTCCTTGACTTACGACTGGTTGGGGGTCGCGGCATTAAAAAGGTTGAGAACCACTGGCTTACAGGGACATCCTACCTGGACTTGTCAAACTAGAAGAGCAAAAGGCTTATAAAATTCTTCAAACCACCAAATGAGTCAAGGTAAGATTCCCTTTCCACAGCTAGATGTAAACGAGAAATCAACTTACTCTGGAGCTCCTTCTAGACCAGTCTGCTCAGCGCCCCCACCTCCACCGTCTTCTGTACCACCTGCCATTTCCCCACTGGGGGAGGAAGGCATTGAACCTAACTCCATCCTAGCCCAGGTGGTCGGTTCCATTCCTAATGTCAACTGTCCAGTTGGCATTTCCAGAAAAAAGAAACTCCTGGACATTATTTTACCAAGAATATAAAACTTTACTGAAAAACTACATGGGCACAGAAGAAGCAAAACCAGCTCTGGGTTTCCCATTGCAAAAGCAAGCATAGTTAATTCCCCCTTTCCCTATGGGTCTATTACGTCCACCAATCACCTCTGTTCATATTGTTATGAGAAAACATCCAGCCACGCTTGGGGTGTCCTTGAAAATGCCAGCAATGTCTCAGTTGCTTAGATACCATCCCCCCCCTTGCATTCCATCCCACCCCTCTTTTTTCTTTGTCAAGCTGCCAGCAAAGCGGCATATAAGTGAAAGGGCGAGTGAGTCCTGACGCCTAAAAGGACCATATTTCCACAAGTTGTCATAGCTCCTCTTCCTGTCCCTTTTTAATTCCTTTCAAATTTCCCAAAGAAGATAATATCTGTTTAAATGTGTGCCCACGTGGGAGGAGGGGGGTGGAAGACGGATGCTTGCTGTTTGCACAGTAATAGTTTGTGTCACTGTAAATTGGAATTTATCTTCTGCTAGGTGTATAATCCCATCACTGAGCTGGTGGAGCTACAAAGGGCCACTCTGCTCATCCAGCGGCTTTGCATAAACTGCCACAGCTTTTCAATTTGTTTCTGGCCTTCCTCACCTTCTGGGAAAGCAATATTGGAGGCTGCAGAAAGAGAGAAACCAGGCAGCCTGTTGGTGGTGGGGCTTGACAGGTGATGTAGTAGAAGGTGCTGGCATAGAGCTAGAGAGAGGAAATTAAATCTTTTTTTTTTTAAGGAAAATATGGAAATGAGTCATGAATTTAAAAGGAAACTATTATGAGCCTTCCAGTGTACACAGGAGAATAATTTCACATATATTCTTTCAAATAATTCCTGTTGTGCTGCTATGTTAAAAAATAAGATTTAAAGGTGCATTCATTTTGTTGTGTTATTTGCAGTAAACATTGAGGTGGGACAATAAGGATGAATGTGCAAAATATACTATAGCAGGTCTGCAACAGACCCTCAGCAGCTGCATTAATACCACCAAGGCACGGGATCCGGGGCTTTATTTTTTATTTTTATTTTATTTTTAAAATTTATAAGCCGCCCCACTCCCGAAGGACTCTGGGCGGCTAACAATAAAAAACACATAAAACATAACAAAACAAACAATACAAAGATAGTCATTCAGGGGTCAGGTTTTATAAACCCCAGGCCTGCCAGAAAAGCCAGTTCTTAAGCAGCTTACGGAAGACCAACAGGGTGGGAGCGGTCCTAATCTCCGGGGGGGAGCTGATTCCAAAGCGTGGGTGCCATCACAGAGAAGGCCCTCCTCCGCGGCCCCGCCAAATGGCACTGCTTGGCCGACGGGGCCTGAAGGAGGCCCAGCCTGTGGGATCTAACCGGACGTAGGGAACTATGAGGTAGTAGGCGGTCTCGCAAATAGCCTGGCCCTGAGCCATATAGGGCTTTAAAGGTAATGACCAACACCTTGAATTGGACCCGAAGACCAATAAGCAACCAGTGCAGCTCACGGAGGATAGGTGTAACGTGGGTGTATTGAGGAGCACCCACTATCACTCGCGCGGCTGCATTTTGGACCAACTGTAGTCTCCGAATACTTTTCAAGGATAGCTTTGGGACAGGGCTGCAGCTGATAGTTCATGCCAGCCTCCTTCTGCCCGGCTTCCCCCTTCAGCCAGTCAGGAGCGCTGCCCGGAGATGCTGGTGCCCATGGGACTCTCTCTAGAAGACCC